ATGAAAAACTCAAGAGTGACAGATTATAATCAGAAATTATCATTGAAAACTTTTTTTCAGTGTTCCACACCTTTAAAGTTAAAGTCCCATTAGTCATCATCACACACTGGTGAAATTCATCTCCGCATTTGACCCATCCCCATGGGAAGCGGTGAGCTGCAGCTGTGGCTGCACTCAGGATTTTGCTGGTTTAGCCAGCCCCCCCCAATCCAACCCCTTAAAACTAAGTGTCAAGCAAGGAGGCATTGGGTCCCATTGTTAAAGTCTTTGGTATGACTGGACCGGGATTTGAACCTCGATCTCCCAGCCCCTGGGTGGACACTACCACTAGGCCACTGAGACACAATCCATGGTAACAACCAAATTCAAATTTAAATTCAAAGATTCTGTCTTAATCCCAGAGGGAAATTAGAGTTTCAGTACACACAATTCTGAGATCAGACATATATACATAGACACATGACAAGAATTGGTGACTGTGGTCATTCGCAACCCGAGTCGCACTACCTTAATAGAGATCAGAGGGTTTATATGAGGATTGAGTCAGGCGGAGGAAAAAAAAAAGGCACTTCAGAGTTACCCTCCACAGGGAGGGCAGCTTTGCTATGCAAAAAAACACCTCAGACAGAAATGCAACAGATTTCAGACATTACACAACATAAGTGTCCACTAGGTGGGGAGGCAGGGTTGGGGACTCTCCTCACATCAGTGCATGCAGCCGCGATAAGCAGCACTCGTCACCTCCGTTTGGACAGGGGAGGGAGGTATTTGGGTTAAGAGAGCACAGCGACTCCTGAAAACGATTCAACTGCCTTCACCGGTCGCAGTCCCGCCCAAGCCGGGATAGGGAGACAGAGTTGCCATGGCGACAGCAGCATTCCACATTTCTTCTGAGGGGGAGTATTCACTTCAGCCTCAGCCTCAAGGGCACCAGATTCAGATAAGAACCAAATAACCAAATAATAAACAAGCTTTAGGTTCAGCAATTTACTCAATTCCCAAAGCAAGCAGGAGAAAAATGATCTTCCATCCCCAAACTTGATGGAAATTCCAACCAAAACATTCCTATTATAGCTACAGTTCATTCCATAATGGCTTGTCACTGCTCAATGATGCTCCATCTTCTTCTCATTTCTATCTGTCCTTTTGTAAGTAACAAAGGCCACTGTTAGCTTACACAGCCTTCATCAACTGGCCAGAAATTTCCCCCATTTGAGTCAACAGGCCTCTGTCCAGCTTTAATCAATGTCTCAGTGAAGAGAGGGCAAAAAAAAAAAACTGCTGGTGGTTCCCTTCAGCAAACCGCATCCAGTTTGTTCAGTCCTGTAATAATGGTGCTGCGGGCAGACTAGCAGCCTGTGACTGGTTGACATGCTCTGACACAGCAGCGGGAGGTGGAGGTCACAGGGGCTCCTGTAAATGTGAAACACAAAAGAATCCACTGCTGATGCTGTCCGGATGTCATGCTAGAAAGAGCACAATGGGTCTGAGTGGGGAGGAGATAAAGCACTGGACGGGGGAGGGGGGGGGGGATTAAAATCTGAACAACTGAATAATGAATTCTGATAAGTTTTGCTTCAAGAGACACTTACAGAGAACGGAGAAATTAAACTGCTGCAAGTATAAATGAAAAGTGAAGTAAGAAGCACACATGAAACTTTTGATTGTCTGTATCGGTCAATATTAGGTAAAAGATGAGCATTAAGATAACTGATGCTTAAGCATGCAGCACCCCTCCCCTACAGCCTTGAATGTCGATTCCAAGCAGCTAAACTCTATCCTTTACACAATCCTGTCATTGTCAAAGCGTCCAGCAAAAAAACTAAAAACCAGATAAAACTAATCAGCCAAGACGCAATTCCAGCAACATTTGATGCCCTGAGACGTCACAAATGAATAGACATTGAGCTCTGAGCCTTACGCGACACTCAGTTCTACTCATTTGAAATAACAACTCTCTTGTTCTTGGTGTTAAAATCTATTAAATGTATTCATTATGAAAAGCTATAAAACAGGACACGAATGATGTTGACGTTTACTAAACCAACCCATGAAAAGCTTCATAAACGTATAAAACATTGTAAACCTGTAATTATAAGTCATACCAGCTAAAGTTCTAAATGTGGCATTTTTAGATTACAGAGTTTGTGAGCAAAGCTACTTTTTGCTAAGATACTGAAACCAGTTTCAATCAAATAACCTTTAAGTTTAACAAACTATAATAAAATAATGTACAGATTTCTCTAACTAAGATATATAAAATATGACAACAGGCTGTCTAGTAACAGCACCTGTGCTTAAAGAGCAAGTCACCCCCAAATCAACAATTTTTTTCTGATAAACTATATAAATGTGTGTCTAATCGTGCTGCAGACACGTGTCGTCAATAGTTTTGCACTTCAGTGCACTTTAGTTACAATTTAAATTTTCTGCCTGAAACTGTCAGTGTTGTGCCGTTGTCAGGTAAAAACTCTTCACTGCATTTGAATTTAAATCTGCCACCGCTATTGGCTAAGAGGTATGCTATGATGTAAACTGGTACATTATGATGTCACAATGTCGTGAGTGTGTGTATTTGTTAGTGGCTCCACCCTCTCGGTCTGCTAGGCAACAGCATTTGTTGCATTTTTCAAACAGGAAGTGGGAGTGGAGTACGCTTCTTGTAAGGGGTGACTTGCTCTTTAAATTCCAACAGATTAGTGCCTGAAAGTAGTTTTTGAAGATAGCTGATGAATACTCGGAGTAGTCGCCCCTGCTGGATGTAAAGCTGATTGAGATGTGAAACTCCTCACTCAAGAACACGATGTTCCAAAGAAGTAAAAGAACACAACAGAATACCAAAAACACCAAAGTTATAGGAGTAAAATGATTCTAATGGAGAGGCTGTACTGCTTAGGGCCTACATGTTTGTGTAAGAGAAGAGAGAGAGAGAGTGTGAGCACAAAGAAACGCTGTACAGATCAGAACTGTACAAAGAGCCCAGACTAAAAGCTTATCCACACAAAGATTTAGCTAAAAGCAAACTGGAATATGAGGACAAAGCTCAAACCCACAGATTCTACATGTTGAGGTCACAAATTCACCCCCTCATGCTCGTCGTTCTAGATTTGCCGCTCTCCTGTGACCACGGCAAATTAATGCATGAAGCATTTCAGGAGCTGATCCGGTCTAAAAGCAGCGTGAGTTTCGGGGTTTGGTTACACTTGGGGAGGGCGCTAAGACAGGCACCACAGACGGGTTCTAGCAGCGAGTTCCAGAGACTGCCTCACGTCAGTCAAAAACAAAGAAGGAAAGCAACACTCGCACACATTGCTCTGACCATTAGCCTTAAATGCTCTGGTAAAACACAATGTTCCTTGTACAGAACTGAGCAGGTGGCACACAGCAAATCTGCTCTAGCCTGTCAGTCAAGTCGCGGAGTGAAAAAACGAGAGCAGGTTTAATACTACTGAGAAGCTTTATGTTCTCTGAAACAACCCAACTCTTGCTCTGTGTCACTGGTCCGTCACAGCTGCCATAGTGGAGTCAAGTGAGCATAAACTTGCTCAAACGAGCACAGTTTCAAGCAAGTAAGTGTAAAAATGCCTCAGGCAGTGAGTCAAAACAAGTTTGATGGTATGCATTTATAAACTCTGTATCATTTGCAATATACAGACAATTAATATTCTAACCTGATATAATGAGATGAGTCAGAACGTGTCATCAAAGGGGGTTTCTGCCATGTACATTATAGATATGTTTGTGTCACCACACATGCTAAATACATCCTTATTTAATAAATAAAAATCAGTTCTTCCCCTATAGTTTCTGTTGAACCTGTTGGGGCAACATCTACTTGTTTTTGATTTCATTTGAACAGCCCCCCCCCCTTGACTACACTTTACAGCCATCCCATCAGCTGTTTTAAGTCCCTTCCTCTTGTGGTTTCTGGCTAGTAACAGGCTGTCCAATCACTCAGCTGGGTTTTCACTGTGCTGGAACAAAAACAAAACTACTTGTTCATACTGCTGTTAAAGAAAACGTCATACAGACTCAAACTGTGTTGTTGTGGCCCACTTTCTCCCCTCAACTCCTTGTGTTAGCCATGAGTGAAACAAATACATACATCAGCACCTCAAGAACGAACATGACTAAAAAAAAAACAACAAAAAAACAGGGATGCATCAGATGCTGATCAACCCGTGATACCGTGAAAATGTAAGGCCAAATTCACAGCCAGAACCAATTAAATAGAAAAACACACACATTACTCAGTGCAGAACAGTGAGACACTGATCAGGTGGCCATTTTGATGTTGAAAATACCCAACAGACAACCCAGCGAGCTTAGCAGCATTTCAAAGAAAAAGAAAATCAACTGAAAAATAGAATAACACGTTTATAAAAGCCCAGAGTGCTAGTGACAAAGCAACGGTTGTCTATAAACACCCAGAACATCGCATCATAAACGCTAACGTGTTTTGTAAGTAGAACAAAAGAAAGCTGTTTCTTCAGTTAGCCTGTTATGTAAACAAGCTCCTGTGTAAATAAACGTGAGGGTGCAGTTTGACTCAATTCCCCCCGCCATCAAATACAGCAACCAGGACAAAGAAATAAATTACGACAAGGCTGCTGATGCAGACTTATATGGTGGAGCTACAAGATAAAAAGGGACGCTAGAGTTTACTTGGACGTCACTGTTTTTAATGCAATAAACCAGCAGCAAACCAGACTAATGTTTGGTACGTTATGTGCTAGAAAATGCTAAAAGAAGCTGTGGCCGTTGTGATTGGCTAATACAGTTGTCCGATAAGCGACTGAAGGTTCGCAGGACAGAAATAGCTAACACTTGCTAGCAAAAGGTTGTTTACACAAAACACTGGAGATTCACAATGTAGGCTCCTGCTGTCGGAGGGGTCACAAAGACTAATATCAAGCAGCATTATAAAACAGGTTAAAAAAAACATGTTTACAAACGTTTCTGACGGCACACAGACTGATGTTTACGTTGAGAAAGGATACAGTTTCACCACATCGGTATCCATTCGCCTTTTACCCGGACTTGGAGACGACATTTTTGCTTATTTCCACCGCAGAACACCAGAAAGTAAGCTGAAACCCAGCCCTGGAACGCTAGACGGCCCAGCAAGCGGTACTATCCGAAGGCTAACATTTGTTTCGAAGATGTTGACAGCAGAACGTCCTAGCTGTTAAATGTGTCTCCGTCCTAATGAGTGGCTGAGCTATACGTTAGATCTCTCCTGTGCATCTCACCATGGTTCTGACAAGAAAGGATCCCTCCGCCAATTACGTCATTTGTGTGCGACACAGGATAAATTCACGGCCATGTTTGTAGTTTTTTAAATCATGAACGTTCAGGATTATTTGTTTAACAGGCTATTAATTTGAGGTTTTAAGAACTTAATCTGTTTGTGGACATATTTAAAGTTAGACACTCTCACTACTGTAGTACAAACTCTGACAAGCCTCTCAAACGTGAATGTTGGCTGGTTGAAGTTAGCATAATAGTTAATGGTAATAAACAGTTCAGTATAACAAACGAGAAAACACAAAATTGGTAAAAATGTAAGTACTTCGTTTTGAATGTATAATTTACCATTTTTTTTATTATTCTTGAGCTGTCACAATGCAACATGTAGGAAAGGCACACATATAAGCCTTACACTCAGCCTATTGCAATGTTGAATTTCTTTTTCTTGGATCTGTAAGTGTACAAAGGTTTAAAAAGGAAAAGGAAAATTGGAATACGAATTCATTCAGTAATAGTGATGATTTGTTGAATATATAGTAACCACTTAAATCAGTGCTCACACGTTTAGTAAGCATGTGTTCCAACCTATGTTCTTATAGTCATGTTCAAAAGCCTAATTCAATATCCCAGAGACATTGTTAGTAGGTGGTACATAAAACAGTGTAAATTAAACCATATTGCTGTAAATGATAATGCTTTTAAGTGTCAGAGGAAGGACACACAAAGCTAAGCAAACACACTGAGGATGATTTTATTAAATCCTTGACAAAAAGACAGAATTGACAATTTTATCACCAAGGAAATCAGAAAAGGAAGTTGAGAATTGGTTTGATGTTTCTGGCACAAGGTTCTACTTTTCTGCAGTAGTTAGTTTAAAAAACCCTCACATTGCTCTTGCTTCTAAGTACAATGTTTAAAACATAAAAAAAATTTGCTCACAGTTCAGTATGTTTTTCTAATTTGAGGTTAATGTCTCTTCACTCTTACGTAAGCATAGCCTGTCCAGTGTTGAGGTAACTGGCCCTTTCCCTTGTCTCAAAAATGTCCATGTAAATGGGTTTGTTTGAGTTTGACTGTTTTTGTATGCATATCATAGTCTCTCCAGGCTACAGCAGCAGCAGCACATTTCAAACGCCAAGTTGAAAAGAAAAAAATATATATATATATTGTAAAAAAATGTGTGCTTCACATTTTACTGCTTACAGGAGAAATGCATGTTAATTTCCCCAATAAACACTGACTGTAAACACAACTCCAAAGGGTGGCATACACTAATATGCTACCCTCCTTTTATAAGTGATGGACCCTACACCAGATGAAAAGCAAGGTCAGTTCATCACTTGTTGGTGGATCTGAACCGTCTACTGAGATGTTGAAGAGGAGGCCTGCCACTGACGTAATATAGCAAACACCTTTTTCGACTTGTCACGAGCACCCTAAAAGGAGAAGACCATCCATGTTAATGTTTTCAGATTTCATGTTAGGAATAAATATGCAGATCAGAGCGCTTGACTTGCCTGTGCCAGGCTTGTTCCCTGTGCATCAGAGTTGTTCTTTGTGGGCAAGAGCATGTCAAGAGCAGCTTTCCAACCTTGCTGACTAAGTGATGAACCTCCGTCCAAGACAGAAATAACCCTCAAATCCACATTCTCTTTGCACACAGAGACCCAGGGACACCAGTCCCTGTGCTGAGCGAGGGGGTCAAATGCCTTTCGGAGCAGAGGACCATCCTAAAATAAGAGAGATTAGATTCCATTAGCAAGCTGGTTTTATTGGTTTCATTTGGATCAGGATCTAGGTTTTAACTGTCTTATCTGATGAATCCTAAATCCTTTCAAAGTGACTTCCTTTTTATTTAAAACATTATCTCATGCTGGCAAAATCCAAAAGAAGTGGCAGAAGGTATTCCAGATCAGAGGCAAAAGGGGAAAATCTATACCACTTACACACTAGCATCGACTCCACTCCGCTCTGTCTGCATTCGTTCCACACTGGCCCACGCTATGGGCGACGATAGCACAGGAGTTAAGTGCTCGCCCCGTAATCGGAAGGTTGCAGGTTCGAGCCTCGCTCGGTCTGTCGTTGTGTCCTTGGGCAAGACACTTAACCCACCTTGCCTGCTGGTGGTGGTCGGAGGGACCGGTGGCGGCAGTGCTCGGCAGCCTCGCCTCTGTCAATGAGCCCCAGGGCAGCTGTGGCTACATCACAGCTCATCTCCACCCGTGTGTGAATGTGTGTGTGTGTGAATGGGTGAATAACTGATTGTTGTAAAGTGCCTTGGGGGGTTCCAGGACTCTAGAAGGGGCTATATGAAATACAGGCCATTTACCATTTACACTGCCTTAGGAATACCAACGTGATTGAGCACACGGGCGGTCTGTGATGTCATGAGCGCATCTCCGAGCACATGGGCAGGGCAAAAGAGTACGGCGAAGTCTGCGGTGTCTCCAGTATTATACAAAAGCAGCCTGAGCAGTCTTGCTTTTGGACACTCTGATTTTGCATCCTGCTTTGCTGTGTCTGGCAGCATTGTGTGTGTGTGTGTGTGTGTGTGTGTGTGTGTGTGTGTGTGTGTGTGTGTGTGTGTGTGTGTGTGTGCGCCTCCTCACAGCAGTGAGGGACAGAGAAAAACGGCTTCAGTCAGAGGCTTGTTAAGTCCAGAGCATCCAGAATGATATTGAATGCGCATGCGGGAAGCCCCCGCGAGTTGATTCTATCCACCAATCGGAGGCTCCCCCTAATGGTAGGTGGGCTTATGAGCCAGCCAATCAGTCAGCAGTGGACGTGACAGTCCTGGCCCTGTTTGGCTCCAGACAGACCACGAGAAGGGACATGAAAAGACGTCCGGTTGCGGGCGGGAAAATTCAAGGTTATCTAAATGAGAATACTCCCAACCCGGTCCAGGCGGAGTGAAGCTGATGCTAGTATGTAAGGGCCATTAGATATTCTAACCAACAACAACAACAGAAGTGTTATAATGACACCGTCATAACAATCGAGCGGTGGTGTACTTTATACATGTGGACTAGAACAGACGGTTTTATTCATGAGAACAAATGATTAATTCAGGATTAACATTTAAGTCTTACAGGACCACCAGTCGGTGAAAGGCACAAGAGCTTGCGCGGGTGTAGACAGGGAGATCCATCGGTCCCCGACGCCTCTCCCTGTCCTCGGCTTCGAGTAGCTGGTCTCTTGCCTCTAGCCAAAGGACTTGGCAGCTCCTCATTGGGGCTGGGCGAGTCTCTGATTCTGGCACGCGGTGCAGCAGGAGAGGAGCCTTCACCCTGTATCACACACCAAAAATGTCTAACATGCACTGCTGAAACTCTAATAAAATAAGCACAAAGGTGTAAAAAGCTTTCCTATTACACGGCAGATGGCACAATGTTACCGTTTCTTCCAAAAGATAGAATAAAATATCCCAGAATAATCTGTTTATTTTTGTTGGCAAACTGAGCTCTGGAACTGAAAACTCATTATGATTTACGGTGTTGGGTAAGTTACTTCAAAACTGTAATGCATTATTTATTACTTGTTACCCTCATTTTAAAGTAATTCATTACATTACAATATTACTGATTTAGCAAATTTACTGATTAAATGAGTGTCCCATACCTTTAAAGGGATACTAGACCGTTTTGGCTTGCTTTTAGCACCCCCTAGTGTCCATTCAGTAAAACCAAAAGGAAAACATTGCTTTGCTGTGCGTTCATCTTTTTAACACCTTTTTTAACATCTGAAAGCGGAAATGTTTCCCCAGCCTTCATTAAGTGTCTACAGGAGCAATTCATAACCAAATACAACAAATCAGCTGTGTTCACGATCTATAACCTGCAGGAAACGTGGTGGAAGCAGACTGCAGTGCCAGGTATGTCAGCTCCATTTTTTTTAAGTCCAAAAAAAAATTCAGACCAGCACTCTGAATTTGCACATCCAGTGTTCTGGCCACAGGGGGCGATTGGGGTCTAGCTGACATTTTATTACCCCTTTAAAGCAGGGGTCCGGGCCTGGAGAGCCGGTATCCAGCACATTTTAGTTCAACTCTGTTTCAACACACCAGATTTCAGTCCGCAGAGCCCGATGAGCTGCTGCACAGGTGATTCATCCACTGAATCAAGTGTGTTGGAGCTGAAAAACCACTAAAACGAGCTGGATACCAGTAGCCTAGTGAACTAGACCAAATTCTTGCTTTGCAAAGTTTGGTCTAGGCATGCTCCATTGGAACCTCCGCAGCTCCTACCAGGACTCTGGCTAGCCAATCACAGCTCTCTAGAGGGGTTTCAAACACATAAAGAGCTGTGATTGGTCCATAATGGTGGGCCAATCATAGTGCTCTATCTGCTTAGTGAACAAATCACAGAGCTTTATCCGCTTTGTGGGCCAATCAGGGTACTCTATATGCCTGGTGGGTGGGATGATGCAACAGAGTGAAAGAGTATGTCACATTCAACATTCATTGTCCAGTGGAATGCGAAGATCATTTGAAAGACAACGGTAGAACCCGCCCCACAACCGAGAGCCGACAATGGAGCATGGCCAGACTAAATAATACATTTATTTAGTTTGGCTTGCCAGGCTAGGATACCAGCCCTCCAGACCCGGAATCGAATTGCCATGCTGTAAAGGGTCATTTTACCACATACTGGCTCAAGGAAATTATCTAAAAATCTTCTTTGTATCCCTTTAAAGTATTCAACATTTCTGTGCTAAAATCTTTTGCAAGCTTATACCAAAAATATCTAGAATGTAAAATATTCCTTAGAGCTTGCCTGGTCACAGCGAGTTGAGTCCTGGCTCCTAAGCTTCATACGACATGGAGTTGTCGTTATGGTGAACGAGGCCAATGCGGAAGGGTCTCCCTGACTCTCACTGGTGGACACCGACACTGAGGCTTGAGCAGAGTGTCCTGTAGTATCTGCGGGAGCTTCGGGGTCACTCCCAACTTCCTCCATCTGATGGAAATTCCACATGCCCACCTTCCTCATACAGTAGGAGCAGGTCAGGATGGGCAAGCTCATGGCATGAAGAGTTGTGCTAAAATGAAAGAGCATTGTTTTGCACTTAAATATTTTATTGATTTCTTTGTATTTTTAACACACATTGAGGGGGAAGAGGTTGGTCTCACCTTGCTGCCCAGCCACAGAGGGAGACTATGCACGCAGCCACCTGCACACCCAGAGGTTCAGAACATGGAGTCACTCCTCTTTTTTTCTGTTCTTCTTCAATCAGCTGCAGTACAGTGCTGATAACGTCCTCAGTCAAAGACTGGAAGAAATCAGTGGACATGTGTTATACATATATGATTAAAATTACTTTTGCTGTTCAGGACAAACAAAGGATCTTTTCCAAAGTTAAATGTGTCCTTTATCAAACAGGAGTGATGAAAGCGTTGCGTGTAAACAAAACAGTTTACCACAGATTTGAGCTGTTCAGGCATCATGGCTGGCAGCTGCTGCGCCAAGAGACAGGCACTCTCAAAGCGCTCCAAAAGCGCACTAAGAAGAGCTGATGGTTCGGAGGCAGGAACCAGCCAGAACCGCTCTGAAAGGAGAAACATGCAACAGCATATAGAAAAAATTAGTGTCATCCTTCATTCTTAAAACAAAAATCAGCTTCCAATAAGCCAGACTTTATTGTCAGCACATTTTAATGTGGTTTTATTTAGGTTTTGGCTGTATTTTTATTCATCCTCTCACCATTTTCAGAGAAATATTGTTTTTGTTTGTTTGTTGGCATTTAACTCTTATTTATTTATTTATTTAGCACATTCATTGAGCAGTTACATTTGTTGTATTCTTTCAGATTTCACAACATTACAACAATAACAACGACTTCGCAGCAGTAGAAGCAAGTTGGTTCTTATCTAACCTGTCACAAAGGCACAATATGTTCTCAATTACTTATTTAATATTTGAAAAACACCTAAATATTCTCCTTTAACTTAAGCTGGTGAAGGTTCTCAACCATCCAGGTTATGGTAATCCAGAGGGTTCAAATGAAGGCAGCTGGACTTCTTTGGTTTCTTGAAGACGTTTCTCTTCTCATCGAGGAGCTTTGTCAATTCTGACTGGAATATGGGAGAGTCAAGCTTATAAGCTGTAGCTGTCTAGTAGGGATGTGTATTTTTGAAATTCTGGCAATACGATACATATCATGATACAGGGGAAATGATATGATATATCACGATATATTGCGATACATTCAGTCAGACGTTACAAGCAATTTTTTTTACTGAATTTATTGTAAGAATGTTCAACAGTCCAAACTGATACGTAACATGTTTAACATGAGGTATCTGAACCATGATGGAGGGATTTACATTTCAGTGGTGGAAACAAAACCCGCTGCACACTGCTGCCAACTAGCGGGTGGCGATTGAATTGCGCAAAACGAAAAGAAAATACACAAATGTTTGCATGTAAATTCTTTCAGGAATTAGATACACACCTTTTGAATATCGATGTAATAATCACAGGAAAAATTATCACGATATATTGCCATATCGATATTTCCGATACACAGCTTTTGAATATCGATATAATATTGCTGGGGAAAATATCACGATATATTGCCATATCGATATTTTCTTACATCCCTACTGTCTAGTGTTATTTAACGAGCAGAAACTACTCTGGTTACCCCGTCTCTCATCCTCTGATGAGTTGTTAGCCTCTATTGCACATGTGTCAGACACAAGGCCCGCGGGCCAGATGTGGCCCATCACATCATTTAATGTGGACCGCGAGAGATTCAAGTGTCTTAAAATAAGTCTATGCTGCTTCAAAGCGCACATTGGCTATAAACTACATTTCCCATAATGCATGGCAATTGTGTTCCCAGTGCAGTGACTCGCCACTAGGTCGCAGTGTATCCACTTCCATGTTTAATTAATGCAACAAGTGAAAATAACTATCCACACATCATCACAACATGTCCAGGAAGAGGAATAGTGATGTAGAAGGAAGGTGTTTCAACAAAGATGGAACATGTTGATGGTTCAAGGAGAAAAACTGGTATGTCTTTACAGTCATTAGCATCCATGCTACTAGCATCAGCGTCTGCAGCATTACCTCCTCTGCCTCGGACAAACTGAAAACACTCCTCTTACTCAGCGCCAAGTTTACTCAGCAATTAGCCGACTATGAAGCCCAGAAATGGATTTTAACAGCTCAGTAATGTTTGCTGCTGACATAGAAAGCGCACCGTCCAACTTCGAGACCGAGATGATTTAACTCCAGTTTAGCGACACGCTCAAGTCAGTATGACTCTGTGGCTGCTGCAGCTTTTATCCCCCTCCCCAACACAACTGCGTGGTCCAGATGCTCTCCATGTCCAGCAGCACAAACCTGTGTGCGCAACTGTTTCTCACTGACAAACTCCTTCCTCAGCTCAGAGCCCAACCCCACAGATGCAGGTCTGGCTGGAACAGGTGAGCATCACAGGAAATCAGAGTGGAGAAAACTGGGATTGAATTATTTTGGTTTCATTAACCTTTTCTGCTCCAAAGCATGAAAGTTATTAGGTGAGATGTTGTATTTTCATTTAAGAGGATTACAATTGTTTTTAATGCTGTCGGCCTATGAAAAAAGATTTCACCTACTTCAAAACAGGAAAGATTACAGATAGAAGAATAGAATAGAAATAAAATAGAAAATCCCTTAATTGTCCTTCAGTGGGGAAAGCTTGGTGTCACAGCAGCAACAACATTCATTACAGAAGCAACAAAGGAGAGTAAAAAATAAAGAATAAACAAGAAAACATAAAATAGAAACACTTAAAAGAATCAAAGGATAAAAAATAAGAAATGCTGAGTATATTCAGATTTTATGGAGTAAAATATTTTTAAAAATTTGAGACATAAGTAACGAATACCACTGATGTGTGCTTTATTTAAAATCAACTTGCTCGTGTGTAATTTGGTTATTCCACATTCAGTGTTTCTGCAAAAATAAGTTTGTTTCCAAATGAAAAAGTTCAACCGTTCATATCTGTAGAGAAAAGAAAATGTGCACATTTGTCGTCACTTTTTAAAAAATATTGAGTTTGGGCCGCAACTTCGTCCCAGTTTTTCATTTTGGCCTAGTGTGAATTTGGGTTTGACAACCCCTGCTCTATTGTGAGGGAGTCGTTGTGTTGATTAGACGCAGGAAGGTGTGACCTAGACTGAAACTGTTCAAGCCTGCCGCACACGAGAGCAATCTGCTGAGCAAACGGCTCGCCGTGTGCGTCTGATTTTCACTGAGTTTCCGCCTCACGAGACGCTGAGCTGAATATCTGACCAGTCAGATATTTTCCACCTCACGGGGGGTAGTAACTCGCCGTGTGCGCACTACTGAGCTGTTGGCTGAGCTGAAATATTCTAGTGGCCAATCAAGCGCATTCTCTGGCGCTCACATGACCCCAAGATGTATACTGATGCAGCCCCCTGCCCTGCCTGCGTGTCTGAAAAACAAACAAAACGGTACCTTGCGGATCGATGGGCCCACTGTTTCCATTACCCTCTCGAAGGATCCGGGCGGCGGTACTACCAGAAGGATTCTGGGTCTTCCAGGTGCATCTCTTGGAGTAGATTGGCATAAACTCCTTGCCTGGCCCTTCTGTCCAGCCACCGTACACATACTCTCCTAACCTTAACATGTCAGTGGCGGCGACGCCTCATCAACAAAAAAAGTAGAGGAATTTCCTCTGTTTCCAGCTCTGTCTCCGTTTTGTTTATTTTCTGACATGCAGACAGGGGGCTGCCATCTTGGAATCATGTGATCAGAGAATGCGCTTTGATTGGCCACTAGAATAGTTCAGCTCAGCCGCCAGCTCAGGTAGTGCGCACACGGTGAGTTTCTACCCCCGTGAGGCGGAAACTATCTGACTGGTCAGATATTTGGCTCAGCGTCTTGTGAGGCGGAAAACTCAGTGAAAACCAGGCACACACGGCGAGGTATCTGCTGAGCAAACGGTCATTCGAGGCCGGAATGAGATTGAGATTCAAAAGAATGAGAATGAGATTCAAAGCTGCATTATAAGTGCTGGAATGGTGAAATCAAAGCCCCCCTGCCCTATTTAAAGTGGATTTTTCATGTTTGACAAAGAGCTTATTTTACTCCTCTCTCAAACCATCTATCTTCTCTGTCCAGAATGTGTACTTTGTCATTTTCAAAGGTGTGTCCCTTGTCCTTCAGGTGTAGGTGGACTGAAGAGGTGGCTCTCCTGTGTTGTGCCATGCGCTTGAGTAATTGTTGTTTAGCTACAAAAAAGTTAACCTTTGTAAAGTGCCTTGAAACGACTCTGGTTCGCTTTATAAATAAATTGAACTGAACTTTCGGAATTCCCAGACAACATAGATTTACATCACAATTGCAAAAAAGGTTTTCAATTATTGGAAGGAAAGTATAAAGTAATTAAAAGTGGTTTGTGCAGTTCTGCTAACCAGTTATGACAAAGTAGCTACAATGCAGCTCCTACCTGGACATGGAAGGTCAGGCCAGGGACAAAGTTTTTCATGCTGCGTCTGAAGCCGTCTTGATATTTCTTCAATTCGGTTTTCATCTATTCAAAGAGAGATAAACACTTAAGCTCTCAGTTTTAGCAAGCGTTCAACTTTACACTAAAACCTAACAATGTCTGTTTGTGTAGATTCAAGTTTCGCTCACATTTTCCTAAGTCTAATGTTGGTTGTACGGATGCACAAAGAAAAGCCTGGCAGCTGGAGCATTTAAGCATATCATAGTCGACATTGATCCAACCATATCTAGCGCAGACCAGTGGGGACAAAATGCGTGGCTTCCCTGCCCATTTCAGACAGTTTACTGCTAAGGAAATGTTCACATTCATATGCACTACTGCACATTAAAACATAACCAAGTATTTTCAGATTTGATACTCATTAGCATGCAGCATCATAAAAGAAAATGGTTAGGTCAAAGTGGAATGCAGTGAGAAAAGGATATTGAAAACGATTCCACTCTTGAGAAAAAGGCTTCTTTGTTCGTTGCCTCGCACGTTGCTGGATTGTTGTTTTTTACACCAAGAACTTTCAACTCTTCTTGTCCACTGGAATCAACATCAACAAGAGGGAGACCACACAAACAAAGCTTTAATTTAGACATCTTGTTAAATAAATTTGAATAAAACTATTAATAACCTCCCTGAGACAGAAAATCCCACAACGATCACTGGAATATCCTTTCAGTGTGTCCCAGGGCAGCTGTGGCAACATTGGAGTTCATCACCACCAGTGTCTCCAAACACAAAAAACATAGAACCATCTAATGACTTGTATGTCTTTGTAACCTGGTTAAATTGGGGTTAGGTTTAACGTCAGTAGTTAGTGTTAATCCACTCCTGTTTCAGATTGTATCTTTTACTTAGAGCAGAGGTGAGCAGAAGACGGCAGGATTTGAAGTTCTATTTCCTGATATTCAGACATCTCGCCTCTGATTGGCTAACAGCAACTCGGCTCTACCACAGACTCTATTTGCTTTGCAACATTGATTGCTTTATCTCCACAAATACCACAGGCCTGAAGGAGTTCTGCTGTGTGGTGGAGTTGCTAATGCTCAAGTTTAGCTTCTACTACCAGAGACGTGCTGTGCTGTTTCCTGGACGCTAAATCAACAGCCTTCCCCTTCTTCAGCCAATGTGGGTGAGTCCATGAATGGCAATTTTCAGTGTGATGTAGATCTGAGTGGCTTTTCTAATCAGAGCGTTTCCCCGTTTATTTACACATTTAACCAAGAGGCAGCCATTTTTTGATTGTTCTGAAGAAGTCAACACCGAAAGGACCAAAATTGATGAGCTAGGTAAACTGGCTGCGGCTAGCGGAGGTTTCTGGCTTCTTCCGTCTCCCAGCCGGGAACAGCTGCTAGACGAATCTCCCATCTGTTCCCATCTCTCATGGCAGCCAAGCATCAACATAAATATACTGGACATCTCCTTTCCATAGGTTCCAATATCACTTTTTTGTACTAAAATGGGAGGTGGCCACCACCGCCATTTTGACCGTGTCACAGGTTCCGTCAAGCCCAGACAATTCCAAAAAAGGGAAGAGAGGTGGCGCTGAGGGTGGGGCTGTAAGGCTGGGATCAACTGAAGACACCCGGTCGAACTAGCTACAAGCTAACCTGAAGCTAACCCAAAGCTAACACGAAGGTGGTAGCTAAGCTAACGGAGGTAGCAACCTAGCTACAACCAGAGTTAACTGTGCACAACACCAGAGCTTCTGAGTCAGAGATACGCCGTGCTGACCGCTGGGTAAAACCGGGTGGAACACAGAGGTCTCCCGAGACCTCCACAAGCCAGCAGCCGCACAGCAGACAAGTGCCTCTGCAATCTGAGATGTGCAGAGCTACCGCTGGGGAGAACCGGGTGGAAAGGTTTCCATCCCAGAGCTCCACAAGCCGGCAGCCCGCGCAGCACACAGAAGCCGCGATCAGACAGAGATGCACCGGGCTGCGGGGAGGGGAGAACCGGGTGGAAAACAGAGGTCTCCTGAGAACTCCACAAGCCGATAGTCGGAACCCAGCTCCACCAACATGTTATATTTCAACCCATTTTCTAAAGTGCAGCATTTTGTTAAATGCACTGGGTTTTACCCTATTACATTTAAATTTCACGGTTAAACAGTGCATGTTAAAATCTAAGCTCATCTCGGCAGTGACCTAAAATACATAAATATAATTTTACTTACCGAACAAAATGAAGTGGAGACTCCTTGGATGCTCTATTAGTGCAATTAATGCCACAGCAAGTCATTTTGTCCAACCATTGCACAAATAATATCCAAAAAAGAATACACAAACACAGAGACTCAAAATCCCGGAACAGTTTCTAAGCCAGACAGAGTCTCTACCGAGGCCTTTCCACGGAGCTAGCTCGGTGGTCACATGGGTCTGAGGCGGTGGTCACGTGTGTCCGATGCTCATTAATTATACAGAATTTTAGATTTTTAATACACTTAAACTGAAGAGTGATAAAAATATTCACCCCCCTCAGAGTTGTCATGAGTGTAAACTAGATCATTTAAACAAAAAACATGTTTTGGTACCAGGCTGTAAACATGTTTATTTCTGCTGTGAAATTGGTATTTTTAACATGGGAGTCAATGAGGATTTGCTCGCTTCTGACACCAGCCCCCAGCAGATGAGGGTGGAACTGCAATTTTTGGTACTTCCGGGTTGGGCCCAATTTTAGAGCAGCATTGTGGGGGCTTGCAGCCAAGCCGCCCAGCATTCATGCGAGGCTGTAGTCATCCTGATTGCCTGTGGAGCTCTGAGGAAGACCACAGAAACACTGCAGGTCTTTGAGTTGACGCTGCTTCACTTTAGAGTTGCTCAACTGCATTCTGAACCACCTGTAAACGGTCCGGGGAGGTTTTGCTCAGACAGGTGAAAAGCGAGTTGCAGTAGAAGAAGAAGAAAATATAATTTCTATAGCGCCTCTCAAGATGAAAATCACGAGGCGCTTCACAAAATAAAATAAAAAAAATGTTAAAATATAAAAAAGCATTTAGAAAATGTTTAAAAATATATTTAAAATGAGCAAAAATAGGCATTTGGGATTTAAAAGAAAAAATGTTAAGAAAGAGAGAGAGTGAACAGGAAAGAGGGAAATCAGTGGATCCTGAGGAAGGTGGAATAGGTGGGGAGAGCAGAATAAAGAGAGAGTGGTGAAGAAGGTCATACAAAAGCCAGCTTGAACAAGTGAGTCTTCAGCTGCTTTTTAAAGGAGACCACTGAGTCCACTGATCTCAGGCTCAGGGGGAGAGAGTTCCAGAGTCGGGGGGCCACAGCAGCAAATGATCTGTCACCTTTGGTCTTTAGCCTGGTATGTTGCACAACCAGTAGGCTTTGATCACTGGACCTCAGGGACCTGTTGGGGGGGGGGTAGGGACTGAGAAGATCACCAATGTAAGATGGTGCTTGTCCATGTAAGGCCCTATAGACCAGAACCAGGATCTTGAAATGAACCCTGAAGTTGACTGGCAGCCAAAGAAGCTGGAGGAGAAGCGGGGTGATGTGGGTGTGTTTGGAGGACTTGGTCAGAAGCTGAGCACAGGCATTCTGAACCACCTGTAGACGGTTCAGGGAGGTTCTGCTCAGACAGTTGAAAAGAGAGTTACAGTAGTCTAAGCGTGAGGAGATGAAGGAGTGGATAATTGTCTCAAGTTCAGAGCGGGACAGAATGGGACTCAGCTTAGCAATGTTCCTGAGATGGAAGAAGGAAGAGCGAACAAGAGAACTGACATGAGAATCCAGGGTGAAAGCTGGGTCAAAGGTCACACCAAAATTCCTGACAGAAGGTTTGGTGCGGGAAGCAAGCTGACCAAGAGAGTCTCTGACTTTGGGAACCAGCTTGCACAGATGAGGATCTCAGTCTTATCTTCATTCAGCTAAAGAAAGCTCCCAGCCATCCAGGTTTTAATAGAGTCTAAGCAGGTGTGTAACAGCTGCAGCTTAGACATCTCATGGGGCTTAAAGGACATGTACAGTTGGATGTCATCTGCATAAACATTCCTTTGAAGGAGCGCAGAATGTGATGAAGAGGAAGCAGATAGAGGAGGAAGAGCAGAGGCCCCAGCACAGAACCTTGTGGGACACCATGGGTAAGAGAGGTGGTGGAGGACCTAAACTTGGAGACGGCCACAGAAAAGGAGCGCTCAGAGAGATAAGAGGAGAACCACTCCAGAGCAGATCCTGATAGGCCTACGCAGTCTCTCAGCCTCTCCAGTAGCAGGTGATGGTCAACAGTGTCAAAGGCTGCAGTAGTCTAAGCATGAGGAGATGATGGTATGGAATGCAATCTCAAGTTCAGAGCGAGACAGAATAAGACTGAGTTGGAAGAAGGAAAAGCAGCAAGAGAACTGACATGAGAATCCAGGGTGAGAGCTGGGTCAAAGGTCACACCAAGATTCCTGACTGAGGGTTTGGTGGTGTAAACTCAGAGTGACCGATCATATTTCCAAAATAACAAGTAAAAAATGTTTTCTTAATGAACTTGGCCTTTAACACTTTAAAATTTTTCTTTAAGTGCTGCCCCATTTGCTTTTCCTCTTTTACCTACTGATTACTGTAACGATGCTACTGCTGGAAACATTCCCAAGGACTTATGGTTAATCTGGGTCTAATTTTACTAATCACAATAAAACATTGTTTTGTTGCTCCGCCATTCCAAAGAAACGTCTGCTTCTTATTAGTCGATGTTCAGTGTTTTCTAAAACTTATTTTATGCACGTATGTAGATCTGAATTATGAAGTAAATCTAAACCATCTTACCACTTTCATAACACTTCCTAAACTGCTAGACCCGAATGCCTGGTGCAAGTCTGGTAAATTGAAGTTGCACATCTGAAACTTGTCTCGTTATTACAGTGGTATGCACATGAATGCTCCCAGTCATGTCCTTCGGGCTGACAACTCTGTCTGTGCAGACCTGAAACTCCTCCTGCAGCAGAACTAAGAACAACTGCTAAAATGAGAGGCTAGGCTACTGCGGCTAACTCAAACGCCGAACGAAACCCCGTATTTAACAGAAAACGAGGTCGTGTGCAAACAGGTACCTGTTGGAACCGACATCTGGTGAAGATACTCCCTCACTGAGAAGTTCGCGAACTTTCTCTGGAGAAGTGAGAAAAGCTTTATGTTGAACTGAATTACCGGGGCGAGCACCGTCGTGCATCGCCATTGTCGACGGTTCTTCTTCTTCTATTTTGACGCTGCCTGTGGAATTACATCACTTCCGTCTCTCGTAAACAGCACTGTCCCCAGTGGGGGAAAAGCGCTACAATCCCAAAAGGGAAATTGATAAAACACATTTAAATTTGTATTTATGAAACAGGATCGAACACGATGATCGTAATGGAATCGTGGCAGTTGTTCCAGAGCTGTCAACTTGATGGAAACACAAAAACTCAACGATTTAATATCTGGCTTTCGAGAGTGGTTATCCCCCTTTAGCGGATGTAAACTGTTACTACAGCATTTACATAAAGCTAAACAAGGCATAAGTAATTAGCACTTTCTATAAATTCTTTCAAAATAAGTTATACTATTTTAAAATTTCCAAGATTTTAAATTAGTGCAAGTAGTCTTTATTACGGACTCCAATTCACAAGAAGTCGAAAAACATTGTACAAATAAGATAAAATGAAATGAGCACACACAATAATACCACATTTAGTCTAGATAACGAGAAGACATATGTATTCACTTATACAAACAATTAGCAACCACATAAACTCATATATATATATATATATATATATATATATATATATATATATATATATATATATATATATAAACTAGGTAGGAAACTACCCACTAGCACAAAATATTGGCCTTGTGTTTTGGTGTTTTAGAGGCCAATGTACGACATTTGGGTGACTTTGGTGTGAATAACCCAAAATCATGATGGTTGGGTAACTTTGAAGTAATCACCCCAAAATCATGACATTTGGATGACACTGAGTTAAAAAAACACAAAGTCATGATATTTCTATGATGTTGGGGTGAAAACCCCAAAATCATAATATGTGGATGACATTAAGGTAAAAAAAAAAAACAACTAAATCATGATATTGTTCATGCATATGTAAAAATGCCTATTTAAAAGGCGTTGTCGTCATCTTCTTCCTCCGCTTATCTGGGTCCGGGTCGCGGGGGCAGCATCCCAACTAGGGAGCTCCAGACCGTCCTCTCCCCGGCCACCTCCACCAGCTCCTCGGGCAGGACCCCAAGGCGTTCCTGGACCAGATTGGAGATGTAACCTCTCCAACGGGTTCTGGGTCGACCCCGGGGGCCTCCTGCCGGCAGGACATGCCCGAAACACCTCCCCAGGGCGGCGTCCAGGAGGCATCCTGACCAGATGCCCAAATCACCTCAACTGACTCCTCTCGATCCGGAGAAGCAGCGGTTCTACTCCGAGTCCCTCCTGAATGTCCGAGCTCCTCACCCTATCTCTAAAGCTGAGCCCGGCCACCCTATGGAGGAGAATCATTTTGGCCAATTGTATTCGCGATCTCGTTCTTTCTTTCATTACCCAAAGCTCATGACCATAGGTGAGGATTGGGACGTAGATCGACCGGTAAATCGAGAGCCTGGCTTTCTGGCTCAGCTCCCTCTTTACCACGACAGATCGGCTCAGTGTCCGCATCACTGCAGACGCTGCACCAATCCGCCTGTCGATCTCCCGATCCCTCCTACCCTCACTCGTGAACAAGACCCCGAGATACTTAAACTCCTCTCCCCCGACCCGGAGTTGGCAAGCCACCATTTTGTGGTCGAGAACCATGGTCTCAGATTTGGAGGTGCTGATCCTCATCCCAGCCGCTTCACACTCGGCCGCAAACCTACCCAGCAAGAGCTGAAGGTCAGAGCTGGATGAAGCTGGGAGGACCACATCATCCGCAAAATGCAGAGACGAGATTCTCCTGCCACCAAACTCGACACACTCCACACCACGGCTGCGCCTAGAAATCCTGTCCATAAAGGTAATGAACAGAACCTGTTACAAAGGGCAGCCCTGGCGGAGTCCAACCCTCACCGGGAACAGGTCCGACTTACTACCGGCTATGCGAACCAAACTCACGCTCCTCTGGTAAAAGGACTGAATGGCCCTTAACAGAAAGCTACCTACCCCATAATCCTGGAAAGCCCCCCACAGGGTGCCCCTGGGGACACGGTTATAAGCCTTCTCCAAATCCACAAAACACATGTGGATTGGTTGGGCAAACTCCCATGCCCCCTCCATCACCCTTGCAAGGGTATAAAGCTGGTCCACAGTTCCATGGCCAGGACGAAAACCACATTGCTCCTCCTCAATCTGAGATTCAACTATCGCTCGGACCCTCCTCTCCAGTACCTTGGCGTAGACCTTTCCAGGGAGGCTGAGGAGTGTGATCCCCCTATAGTTGGAACACACCCTCAGGTCACCCTTCTTAAAGATGGGGACCACCACCCCAGTCTGCCACTCCACAGGAACTGCCCCCGATGACCACGCAATGTTGCAGAGACGTGTTAACCACGACAGCCCTACAACATCCATAGCCTTGAGATACCCAGGACGAATCTCATCCACCCCTGGGGCTCCGCCGCTGTGTAGTTGCTTGACTACCTCAGCAACTTCTGCCCCCGAGATTGAACAGTCCATCCCCAGATCTCCCGGCTCTGGTTCCTCCTCGGAATGCGCGTAGGTGGGATTGAGGAGCTCCTCAAAGTATTCCTTCCACCATCCGACTATAGCCCCAGTTGACGTCAGCAGCTCCCCATCCCCACTGTAAACAGTGTGAGCGAGTTGCTGCCTTCCTCTCCTGAGGCGCCGGACAGTTTGGCAGAACCTCTTTGGAGCCGATCGATAGTCTTTCTCCATGGCCTCACCATACTCCTCCCACACCCGATATTTTGCCTCGGCAACTGCCACTGCTGCACCCCGCTTGGCTATCCGGTACCTGTCTGCTGCCTCCGGAGACCCACAGATCAGCCACACCCTGTAGGCCTCCTTCTTCAGCCTGACGGCTCCCCGAACCTCTGGTGTCCACCAGCGGGTACGGGGGTTGCCACCATGACTGGAACCTGCCACCTTGCGACCACAACTAGCAACAGCCGCCTCAACAATCGCAGAGTGGAACAAGGCCCACTCAGAGTCAATGTCCCCCACTGCTCTCGGGACGTGGTCAAAGCTCTGCCGGAGGTGGGAGTTGAAGACCGTCTTGACAGGCTCTTCTGCCAGGCGTTCCCAGCAGACCCTCACTATGCGTTTGGGTCTGCCAGGTCTACGCGGCATCTTCCCCTGCCATCTGATCCAACTCACCACCAGGTGGTGATCAGTTGACAGCTCTGCTCCTCTCTTCACTCGGGTGCCCAAAACATACGGCCGCAGGTCAGATGATACGACTACAAAGTCTATCATCGACCTGCGACCTAGGCTGCCCTGGTACCAAGTGTACTGATGGGCATCCTTATGTTCGAACATGGTGTTCATTATGGCCAAACTGCGGCTTGCACAGAAGTCCAATAACGAAACACCACTCAAGTTCAGATCAGGCAGGCCGTTACTCCCAATCACACCCCTCCAGGTCAAGCTGTCATTGCCCACGTGAGCATTGAAGTACCCCAGCAGGACAATGGAGTCCCCTGATGGAGCACTATCTAGCACTCGTCCCAGGGACTCCAAAAAGGGTGGGTACTCTGAACTGATATTTGGCCCATAAGCACAAACAACAGTCAGGACCCGTTCCCCGACCCAAAGGCGCAGGGAAGCTACCCTTTCGTCCCCCGGGGTAAACCCCAACACACAGACATAGAGTCTTGGGGCTAACAAAAATCCAACCCCAGCCCTCCGCCTCTCACAAGGAGCAACTCCAGCAAAGGAGAGTGTCCAACCCCTCTCAAGGACTTGGGTTCCAGAGCTAATGCTATGTGTCGAGGTGAGTCAGACTATATCTAGCCGGTACCACTTAACCTCTGCCACTAGCTCCTGCTCCTTCCCCGCCAGCGAGGTGACGTTCCATGTCCCAAAAACCAGTTTCCTTGTCCGGGGATCGGACCGCCAAGGCTCCTGCCTCAGTCTGCCACCCGATCCACACTGCACCGGACCCTTCATGTTCCTCCTGCAGGTGGTCGGTCCACAGTTATTTGAAAGGCCTTCCAATTAATTAATTAAATAATATTTATGCTAATATTATGCTAATTGAGAGTAGCACAATGTCAAAATGAAATATTTTTCAAGGTTTTTTGCTAATAACTTTGCAATTGTATATCGAATCTCTGTTGAAAAGTCATAGCACCCCTCCCACTCGTTTTGATGTGTAATTTGCGGGGCTGCATGCAGCCATTCGAGCCATAAAGGCAATTAATGTTGAAAACTCCCCAGGTGCATAATAAAAAGGACCCTGCTTGCCACAGTAGCAGGTCCTTTAACTAGCACATTTCTGAAGAAAGTTTCAAAGGGACCTGCCCCCCTGGCACAAATAGTGGTCATGTGCTTAAGAGGCCAAAGAATGATAGTTGGGTGACTTTGGGGTGGATAGAAAGAAAGAAAGAAAGAAAGAAAGAGAGAGAGAGAGAGAGAGAGAGAGAGAGAGAGAGAGAGAGAGAGAGAGAGAGAGAGAGAGAGAGAGAGAGAGAGAGAGAGAGAGAGAGAGACTTGATGTTGTTTCTTAACAAACTTTATTAGTGAAATTGGGTATGTTTTATAGCAACAAAGTAAAGCACAACAATACAAGCAAACAAATAAAGGGGCCAAAGTGATAAAACAGTGTTCAAAGGATAAGAATACAGAGCACAATCAGATATTACAAGGAATAAAGAGGGGGGCAATGTGTTACCAGTTGTACAAGTAATATTCTTCAAGTAGGTTCCAAGTTTTTATAGCTTTTAAATTTCCTGAGTTTTTAATAGAATCAGCATATTTTTTTTATTTCACAGATGAAGACAGGTAAAAAAGGATTGACATGGGTATATTTACACTTATGAATATAATATTTAGCTAAAATAAAAATTAGGTTCAGTATGTAGATTCTATTACTCTCTTTGTCTTCAAAAAATCCAAAAATAACATGTTTCAAACAGAAGGAGACATCAGGAAGAACATTTTTACTGCAGAAGATCTGAGATATCAGACCAGAAATTTGAAGTATTTGTACAGGTCCAGAATAGGTGAGTAATTGTTTCAGGATGATTGTTACAGAAAGAACAGCAGGTGTCAATGTCCTTTTTAAATCTTTGGGAAATGAAATGTTTAATAGGGTAAGAGTTATGTAATATATTAAAAGAAACCTCTCTAATTTTATTAGTTAAAATATATCTGTGGGGTAAAAGCCAAGTTTTATTCCATGGAATATTATTTACAGTAGAGTTCCAAAACAAAATAATATAGGGAGAGGAGATGGAAAGCTGTTGAAAAAGCCCTCTGATAGATTTATTGCATGGAGAGAGACTTGTTGATGTGTACGGCATTACCACGACAACAAGCTGTACCAATCTTCCTCTCCAATATGGCCACGCCAGTGACGCACTGCGCCGTGGGTGGTCTTTTACGCACATTCACGCAACGTCCTAGTAAAAATCTCAATGATTGGTCCAATGAGTCACAGCCAGTAAGTGGGGGTGAAATGTATGAATGGCTTCAGACCTGCTGCCTGAAATGATACATCAGCGCTTTAGCTGAAGTTCTTGTTGGTGTGTTTGTTCGTTGGAAAGTCCAAAAGAACTGGGTTGTTCAGGCGAAAACGATGTCGGACGCGGAAGGGGCTGCCAGTTCAGAGCGGCTGAACACGTTTGAGAAAATGTCAAGCAGGCCGCCGAACGGAGCCACGCTAGCAGGTTGGTCAACAACATTAGCAAGATGTGTTGGTTGTTAACAACAACAACAACACAGTTTAACCGTGTTACAGTTCCTCAGCCTGACACTAAAGCTGCTGCTCACACCCGCCATTTACAGTCGCCTTGGGCTGACATGAAAGTAACCATTCCCTCTGAAAACCAACACTCGGCTTTAGCATGTAGCACGTTAGAACAGCACCCTTCATTCGTTTCGTTTAACTTGGCCATATCACAGGTGAGGTTATTCACAAGAAAAGGGTTTTTTGTTTACTTTGAGAGCTATAGTTATCTAAATCTATAGATTTAACCTAAACACGTAAAGACCAACAATTCTTAGTGATTATTTTATGTCTTGTAAGTCGCTTTGGACAAAAGCGTCTGCTAAATACATCAACATAAGCATTTTTCTCTGTGCTCTTCTCCTTAACGCATCCTCAGACTTGCCTGGATTGATGCTAAAATTGCATTTTAAAAACTGGATCATTTGTCCAGATCTTAGCCGAGTCGTTCTTTAGCAGAAATCGTGACCGATTCTCTTGGTGATGATTTTAAACTTGCTCCAAACTGAACTGAGACTCAGATTTGTCCTCCATGCTGTGTTGTATGCAAACATTTCTTAGAAATGCTGTGGGTTAAAAAAAAAAGCACATTTCATTGTAATACTTGTAGGTGTTTTCATTCAAAGACGTTAATAAAAAGATTTTTAACACATGACGTGATGTTTGTCAGCCCATGTCTGTTCAGCATCTTCATTAGAAAGTTGTTTCTTTGTGCCTCTCCTGAAGCTGTGCTTTTTTCTTTTTTGTAGATCATCGAACACCCCCTGCCCGCAGTGGACATCGCTGCGTTGCTGACAACGCTAACTTGTATGTGTTTGGAGGTTACAACCCTGACTATGACGAGTCAGGAGGCTCGGAGAATGAAGACTACCCGCTGTTCAGGGAGCTGTGGAGGTACCACTTTGCTACCGGCTGTTGGCAGCAGATACAAACCAAAGGCTACATGCCTACAGAGCTGGCGTCTATGTCAGGTTGAAAACGACTTCCTACTCACTTGTACAAAAAATACTCCTACGAGTGTCAAAACTGAGTGTCTGTTGTGTTTCCTTAGCCGTTCTGCACGGGAACAACCTCCTGGTGTTTGGTGGAACTGGGATCCCCTTTGGTGAAAATAACGGCAATGACGTTCACGTCTGTAATGTGAATTACAAGCGATGGTCGCTGCTCAACTGTCGAGGGAAGAAACCCAAAAGAACCTATGGACAGGTAGCCTGGGAAATGTTTTTTATTTTTATTTTTAGGGTAATGGTCCCACATGGCCAGGACCCGTAAACATCGTTAAACACAGATGGGTATCTTTTCTCTTCCAGGCAATGGTCATCATAAATGGCTTCCTGTACGTGTTTGGGGGAACGACAGGCTACATCTACAGCACAGACCTGCACAGGCTGGACCTGTCCACCCACGAATGGATTCACCTTAAACCCAACAACCCCCCCGACGACATGCCTGAAGAACGGTTCGGTGTTAGATTTTGTGATTGCATCAGAGAGTTATTTTCTGATTTCCTTTTAAATGACCATTAGGGCTGCAACAACGAATCGATAAATTCGATGAAAATCGATTACTAAAAGCGTTGGCAACGAATTGCGTCATCGATTCGTTGTGTCGCACAACTCTTCCAAAAGCGCCCCCCCTTCCCACCCGCCGTTGCGCGCAGACCAGAGCAAGTCAGATCAGCGCGAGGGAGAGCCGGCAAATCAGCGCGAGGGAGAGCCGCAGATCAGCGCGAGGGAGAGCCGCAGATCAGCGTGAGGGAGAGCCGCAGATCAGCGCGAGGGAGAGCCGCAGATCAGCGTGGAGAACCGGTAGCGGCAGATCAGCGCGAGGGAGAGCCGGCAGACTTGCGCTGCTGCGAACCGGTTCCGCATTGTTGCACAGCGATCCAGGCAGCTGCTTCCAGCGCACGGTCCATTCTCAAAATGGCGCAACCAAAAAACTATAATTAGCACACGATCGTTCATGTCCGCACATGTTCTCTATTTTCTGTCTTATTTGTGCCTGAAGCTCGCTACTGCGGAGCTCATCACCTGTGCTGTGGTGATGTCACCTCACGCAGCATCGAAAACGCGCTCTCCGCTTTATGGTCAGGAGATCCCTTTGATCTGCTCAAAAGTAACTGATGAGGTGAAAAGGTAAGAATCCAGGCAACAGATTTTCTGGAGAATTATGAGGAGATGCAGGAAGATGAGAGACAGACAGGACAGGAAAATAGTTCAATAAAAACAAGAAAACAAAACAAAGTGTTGAAAAGTAAAATGTAGGTAGAGTTATCACCACTACACGTTTTTACCTGTAAAAAACAATAAGTTATACACATGTCATATTTATACATCTGATACAATTCAGATCACCTTCAAAACTCAGTCACACACCCAGGGCCGTTTCAAGACATTTTGGGGGCCAAGGCAAAATGCCCCCCCCCCCCCCCCCCCCCCCCAATAACTGGGCTCCCCAGAAGCCTCTGTGTAATTCATGCCCTCTCCAGTAGTGTTAGTTATACGGTGTTTATAAAAGCCCCTCAGACATTACTGACATGTTCTAATATTATCAGATGAAAAACTAAATTATCAGACATGCTGTCTCATCTGCTTCTTTTATAAACTTGCAAAAAGTAACAAAACCATTTGAAAGCCACTATTTGTGGATTCTCTGAAAGTTTCCATGGAGTTTGTGACAACTTATTTTTTCATTGATCCTATCGTCTAATCTCACAGCTGAAACAAGCATCCTTAATCATCTGTGCACAGGAAGCTTACCGATGCTGTAGTAAAACAAAAGGTATAATAATTTATTATTAATAAAACCTTGTTGCAGCACTAAAGCAGAAAAATTAGATTTTGCATTAAATATGCAAAATATTTACATATGAATTGTTTTAGAGCCCTTTAATTGGCAGAATCTGATATTAATTTAGTTCTTACAAAAAATGGGTCCCAACGTGGTTTGTGTGGCGTTGCCATAGAGTGACGTCATAGGCACAGATCCCCTGTCCTCTTGTTTGGAAATGGAAATATGGTCACCCTATATTAAACAAACTGTCCACCCGGGCTTTTGCGCTGCACAGAGACGCTTCGCTGCCTACGACTGAACGTCAGTTGAGAGTCAGTCTCATGCAGACTGACCAATGAAGAGAGGGCCTCAAGTTAAGACCCTCTCCTCATTGGTCAGTCCACACGAGGTGGGTCAAAGGTTACTCTGGGCGGGTTACGTGTTGTCAGGCATTCAAGTATTGAGTATATTTACTGCATATTACAGTAAAATATTCTGTATGTGACCACATTATGGTGATCCTTGGGTCGTGATGATGGAGCCCTTGAATATTGTTGCCCAGGGTACAACAAAGTGTTAATCTGGCCCTGGTTCCGCCGTCACATTCCCGCAGAAACTGGTTGATCACACCGGGGCCAGACTACTAGCATGTGGTTTTACAACCACAATGTCCTCAGAAGCAAAAACGCTTTTAAAAGGGAGGGATGAGTCCTAACTGTTGCTGCAGGCGTGTTGTGTGAGAGTGCAGTTATATACTGGTTAATATATTTTTGGGTTCAGTTGCTTTCATGTGGCCTAATGTGAGTCTATTTGGGATCATTGGAATGATCAGCAGCATTTCTTGATGTGACTTTATGGCAGTTGCCCAGGGCATCATCGCAAGGAGGATGGCATTCATTTACTTTTGTTTTATTTGGTATTTTTTCAGTTATTTTTGGAAATAGTGATCAATTTTGATTAATTCACAGCCTATGTTTAATTACATTTAAAATAAATGTCAACAGATGAGATCAAACAAAACAGATGAGAATTGCCCTTAAGCTGTTTAACTTGGACCAAGCATTTTAGGTCACAGATAGATGTAGCTTAGGGTCTCTGTCTATACACCTTATAAGACAATTTAGGTGATGGCATGTTGTTTTTCTGCTATTGAACTGTTTTCTAATAATGTTGTGTTAAATAAAGTGAAGGAAGGAGAGAAATAACGTTTCCCTAGCAGTTTTTAAAAATTTCCCCATGTAATCCGATTAATCGATTAATCGTGTCGAGACCCCATCCGATTAATCGATTATCCAAATAATCGTTTGTTGCAGCCCTAATGACCATCATCGCTTGTTGCTTTGCATTTGACAGCTACAGGCATGAAATAGCACAAGATGGACAGAGAATCTATATTCTGGGAGGAGGAACGTCTTGGACATCATATCCTCTGGATAAGGTATGGCCACAGTGGATGTATGTCTCTAGTACACCTGATATGCATCTTGTGAATCTCTTTTTTTTTTTTTTTTTTGATAGATTCATGCCTACAGTCTAGAGACAAATTCCTGGGAGGAGATCACAACTAAACCTCATGAAAACATAGGTCCGTATCCTTTCAATTGATTTATGCCTTCTATGTCCCCATGCTCATTATTCTAAAATCCCCATTTGTGACAGGATATCCTGCTCCTCGACGATGCCATAGCTGTGTGCAGATACATAATGGTAATTAGGGATTATTTTTAATATTACGTCATTTCCTCCTCATGCGGCTGCCTTGATGTTATTTTTACTTTCTCTTGAGTCTCTGTACCAAACTTTGATCTAAAATGAATTCTGTGGAACTCATTTTCCCTCCTTGTAGACGTATTTATATGCGGAGGCTATAACGGGGAGTTGATTTTGGCGGATTTGTGGAAGATCAACCTTCACACTTTCCAGTGGAGTAAACTTCCAGCAGAGATGCCTGAGCCAGCCTACTTTCACTGTGCTGCAGTTACCCCGGTTAGTACTCCTCTAGTCATTTTGTCCTTGCCTACCTGCTGATGTAAACTTTAAAGGTGCATTACAGTGATCCCTCGTTTATTGCGGTAGATGCGTTCCTGACCTGGCCGCGATAGGTGAAAATCCGCGAAGTAGGGACACCATATTTACAATACAGTGTCAGAACCCAAGTTCCCAGACCAGCCTCTTCCAGCTAGAAGGCCTCCACTATGGACCACAACTCCCAGCATGCCCTCGCGGGGATCCCCTCCACGTCGCACCTACGTCACAAACCGCGGCTATAAACAGAAGTCGCCTTTCCAGCTCACTACTCGGTCATTGTTTCTTCAGATTCATGATCAGAGTTTCCAACCTACCGATCCATCCTACGAACTATCAGCTCATAGTAAGTTATCATACTTACTTCTGGAAAGTCTGGCATTTCTGTGTCACTTCGTTGACGCTCGAACGCTCGGGAGTTTCCTAGATAAATCGTGAGCCGGCGTTTCACCGACGCTCTCACTTCCGCATCTGTGAAACCACGCTCCCTACAAGCTCAACTCCCGAATCCAGCTTACCAGTCTGACATACAGTACTATATTGAATTATCATATGATCACATTCTCTTTTTGTGGGTAAAACTCAAGAAAAACATTTTTTACTTGGTTTTTTATAGTTTTATTACAAAAAGTGCATTTTATGATGAAATTGATGGAAAAAAACTGGAATTTCTTGATATTTCGCATAGAAAAATGCCGCGAATCGGCGAATTTCCCTTGAATAAGGCTCCAAAAAAAATCTGCGAAGTCGTGAATCCGCGATAAACGAACCGCGAAGTAGCGAGGGATCACTGTAGATGTTTTTCTAGAACATTTTTTGCCACATTCCTTGAAATGCTCTTCACATACTGATAGCAACCATTAAATCAAACGTTTTTGCCTCTAAAATGTTCAAACCCAGAAAAACCTCATCCAGTCATTGTGAACATCCCATTCTTAACTGATTTTTTTTCCTGATCTGTCCGTCAAACTGCACCCTGACCACCCTTTCTCCTCTGCACAAACCCCTCTGTGTGCACGAATTGCATTTTCTCAACTTGAAGCAGCTGAATAGGAAGTTTGATTCGGTTTGAAAATTCCCTTTAGGGGTTCTTTTGACTCTGGTTCTGTTCTTGTTGGGACATATTTAGGTGATGCCCCCGTTGTCTGAACGTAGCCCGTCCTTTGTCGGCTGGAAGAGCCGCCTGGTAGCTTATTTCCTTGTGTGTGTGCATGGGGAGCCAAGGGTAGAGTGAACGTGAGGAGGTCCAGGGTGGATTGTTGGTTGGGTTTTTCCCAGATTTTAAGTGATGCGAAGCTGCTCTGATTCTGAAGTTTAAGGGTTAATCACACCCTGGGTGGAATCTTAATTCACCCACACTTCCTGGTACAAAAGACTTCCCTCTCCCCAGCTACTTGGGCCAGCTCCTCCAGGAATCCCGAGACGTTCCCTGGCCAGTCGAGAGACATAGTCCCTCCAGTGTTCCCTTGGGTCTCCTCCCAGTTGGACGTTCCGTAAAACCTCACCAGGAGGCCTCCTGACCAGATGCCCGAGCCACCTCAACTGGCTCCTTCGACATGCAGGAGCAGCGGGTCTACTCCGCACTCCAGCTTTCCCTCACTTGTGAACAAGATCCCGAGATACTTAAAGTCCTCCGCTTGAGGCAGGACCTTGTCTCAATAAATCAAGAAAGCTAAAACCACTAGCCTGGCCTGCCAGACTCCTCCTCTGTTTAATTCTGCACATAGAAAGGGTCTGGGACCTTTCCTATTCAAATAACCCCACCCCGTGAGAATTCTAACTGAGCCAATCCGTACGTCACACACCACAACGTCGAGTTTGTCCAACAAGGTGACTGAAGCGGAGGTCGCTGCGGCTCTTTCCTCTGTTCTAAATGACTTGAATGTCCTTTAAAACCACAACAAGTAGAAGCGCTAAAAGCCTTTCTTCCAAAAAAATAGGATGTTTGCGCCGTTGCCAGACGCCTTTTGTTACTACAGCTAAAACACTACAGCGTCGTGCGGTACAGTCTGCATTTCCGTCATTTTTCTGATTGGTTATTTTTGAGCTGCCTAGTCCCGCCCCTCAAGTGCCTCTCTGCCTGTGAGTAACCAGACTCTTTCTCTGTGCAGAATTAAACAGAGGACGAGTCTGGCAGGTAGAGGTGTGAATCTTCACTTGTGTCCCGATTCAATTCGATTACGATTATTGGGTCAATGATTCGATTCGATATCCCGATGCATCACGATTATTTCATATTGATTTGTTTTCATCGATAAATAGAAGATGTCAGATAATTGCTTTTTATTTTTATTTATTTTTATCAAAAACTTGACACAACCTGCCATCCCTCAAAATCTCTCCATTCACAACAGGTTAGGACAAAACATTTTAAACATTTAAGAAGATTTAACAAAGTAAAACAATCTGTTTCCTCGTTCAACACCACGCCTCAGGCTGAGAAAAACACGCTTCGCAAAAACTCACAAAATCTAAAAAAGTACTGAAAACCTACAGGACACATAATATAATAATAAAATCAATAATGGGTTCATATATGAGTGTTTAATGTCTCTGAGCAGCTCTAGAGTCAAATATTTATGCCACAGTTGAAGGGTGTCAGAAATAACACCAAATGAAATGTTTGACTTAGTTTATTTTATTTGAACCCAGCGGTTCATTTCTGAAATGTTGGAGAATGAATCAAGTTCTGTTTGATGCAGAAAATAATAAAACATAAAACAAATTCTACATTTCCAGTAATATTTAAGATGTGTGTTTTATTCTTTCTGATAACACCAGCAGAAGGCTGTGGGCTGGATTAGGATTAAATTACCCAGCTGATGGATCTCCTTCACTAACCAGCTAACTACAAACCTTTCCACTAACCTGTCCTGTGTAACCCTCGTGTCCATGTGACCCTCACCGTGTAACCCTCATGTCCATGCTGTCTCTGGAGGAGCAGATAGGAGACTAGATCTCCTGTAACTTAAAATGAACCAAAGCTTCCTCCCAGCTTCTCTTTAAACTAAATTTAACATCAGTTTATCTTCATGAAACAAAAGAATAAGGTGGAAAGGAGAACTTCTATCTTCTATTTCTCTCTCCTTTTAACTTCACCGTGTCCCTAAATAAAAGAGACAGACGATCATGCTGCAGCCGCCGTCATTGACCCCGCCCCCTCCCCAAGACCGGATCTCCCTACATTACAACAAGCAGTCTGACTGAGCGCTTCCAGGAGAAATAATAATTAAATTATGAAAATAATAACGTGTGTTGGGAGCATCGGTTTGGAGGAGCGTCCTCCGATCCTCTCTCTTGAGTGAGCAGACAGTGTCTCTCTCTCTCTCAGTCGCTGATCGAGCGAGCAGAGCGCGCCATATGACAACCCGCTCAATGAACTTTATTCACGACTCAAATCCAACAGAACCGGTCGGGCTGATTCGGTTCGGTCTCAGGTTACAACTCTAGCGCTCAGCCCTGCAGTACCACATTAAGGCGGAACCACTTGGTAAATGTGGAGGACGCTCACTCTGACAGATTTGGATGTGCGCTGGTGCCGCCGTTAAAAAAAAACAAAACTACATTCCACTATAATAGATTATGGCGTACTCTTCTACGATGCAGAATCGTTTATGTCCGCATCCCGATGCATCGATTATTTGATTTTTTTCCTCAGCTCTACTGGCAGGCCAGGTTAAAAGAAACTGCCTCATTTACCATAAAAACACCACACTAAATCGTTTTAACGTTATGTAGGTGCGTTATGTTAGCCATTAGTGTAGGAAAGATGCTAGCAACCGGTAAAAATGTAAAACAAGCCTTGGAGACAAGCGTGGCATGGGTCTTCTGGAGTGGTGGCTTGGGGGTGATTCCTAGAATAAAGGGGTCAAACTTGCTCCAACAGCTTTTTCAGGATATCTTCTACCTTTAATAACACATCCAGGAATTCCAGTTTGTTAATGGATCTGGACCTTTTGACCAGGCCTTGTTAGCTCTACTTTATCGTTATCATACAGTCACGATGAATCCGTCTCGGTACAGACTGCATCTGACTGCTGCCTTTGTGTAAGGCACTGAAACCGCAACAATAAAAATCATGATTTCATCTGTTTAAATGTTCTTTTCTGCCTTTGTCCCTAGTCTGGCTGCATGTACATCCACGGCGGAGTAGTAAATATCCACGAGAACAAGAGAACTGGCTCTCTGTTCAGGATCTGGCTGACTGTGCCCAGCCTGCTGGAACTTTGCTGGGAGAAGCTTCTCAAGGCATTTCCCCACCTGGCTTCTCTTCCCGCCTTTCATCTGTTTAACCTGGGCCTCCCGCTGGAGCTCGTAGAACGCTTAAAATGAGCCCAGCAAAGGGAAGAAGCGGACGGGTCGGTCAAAAGACATGAATCAAAAGGAACGTCGTCCCTTCTCCTGCCTGATGTAGCCCCGCCTTAAAACCAAAAACTATGGGATGCCTTTTAAGTTGTGTTCCTTCCTTTTGTCATGATGACTCTATATGGAATGTTTTATGGATTTTACTAAAATTCCCATGCTGCCACTTGGCTTCAACAAACTGACACTTGTAAAAAAAAAAAAAAAGTTTATTTTGCCAAGTCAAACACTGTCCGCTGTCGTTTTTAGACAGCAACCTCCTCTGGGAAGAAAACTGAAGTATATTTAAGGACTAAATGACTTTTGCTGGTGTTTTATTCCCATCAACTGCTGTTTGCACATTTTGTTTGGTTTTTGTAGTTATTCTACATTTAGTCTACAACACATGCCAATGTTTTCTCACATTTTAGAGCATGTAACACCCTTCTGCCATGTTTTCTTTGCTACAAAGGGACTTTCCAAGCTGAAAGCTGCATCATTTAAGTTCGAACATCAGTTCTTTAGTTACTTTTTCAGACCCTATTTATTCAACATGTTTCAATCACACATGCTGCCAGCTTAAATGGAAGTGGGGGAAATGAACTTGAGCTTTGAGGAAAACGGATCTGTGAATATTAGATATAAAAAAGTGTTTTTTGTTGCTGTTGCATGTCTGCTTTTGCCTTTTTCTTCGTTTTATCATAAATCTGCTTAACTTGGAAGGCAGTTGAGCATCAGCACTATTGTTTGTGGCGTTCATTTAAAACCAAGCGATGCATCACTGACCGCGGTGCTTTTAAGCTTCTTTGAAATTTGTTTTTCCAATAAAGAATTCTGTTCATCTTTGCTATTATGGAAAAATCTGTTTAATTCCTGATCATGGACTCAATCAACTGGATGTAATGTATTGCTCTATGCCTCTCTGCATGCTCTTTCTCTCTCTCTCTCACACACACACACACACACTGACTGTCTACCTCTTATCTCTCTATAAATAAACCCTGCGAACAGATGTTCGAGGCATTTGCTTCCGCATCTACCACAGTTATAACTGTTTGGCTTGTCTGCTCATTGTCTCCTTCTGTCTTCACTCTAGGAAATGGGTTATTGATAAACATATTGATAAAATCCGTGACATTATTTGGTCCTCCGAAAGCCGGGGTCCCATCACCTCGCGGCGCCAAGAGCCGACGCCGGAGGACAGACGACAACCTTAATCTCCTCCAGAGCTGAGTTTGCTGGGGGGTCGGTGAGGCTAGGAGGAATGCGGATCGACGAACTACTCAAGCCCCGAGTGGAGAGAGATTCGGTGAGACAAGTTTGTTGTTGTTTGTCTTTGTGGTACAGAGAAAATCCTAGGTGACCAGAGAATAAAGTGGTGTCGTCCGTCGTGAATAGGATGGCTTTGACGGGTTCTTTTGAATGCCGTCTGTATTGGCTTGGTTTTCTGCATTTTAGCCGAAATTAGAAATGCAACTCTGGTGTAAGAAATAGATGGTGTCGTCCGCCGTGAATAGGATGGTTTTGTAAATCGGTATAACTATTGAGATTCAAATTATGGTGTCGTCCGCCTTGAATAGGATGGTTTTAACAGATTCTCTGAACACCGTCTGTATTTGGCTTGGGTTTTTTGAGCATTTTGCCAGAGAAATAGAAACGTTGTTCTAGTTATCTTGTTGTCTTGAATGCTGTCTGCTTAAATTGTTGCTTGGATAAATGAGACGTGTGGTATCAATGTATGGGGAAAAAATAACTCACAAAATACCTTTTGAGTAAATATGGATGAAAGTGTAGATATGTGGAAAGGATCTGAAAATTATCAGAGAATTGATGGAAGACGTGTTTTTGATAACCGCTGACGTGTCACAAATGTATTATGCTGTGAGGGAGCACAGTGCGATGGAGAGAAAAAGGGTTGAAAATGTGTGACAGGAGGCAAGGCCTGCCTGAAAATCAAAACATCTGTGCTCTGAGCTAATATGGTCTTATCAATTGAGGCCTGAAGGTTATAACTAGAAAATGAAAATGGGAAATATAATTTGAACGGCTTCTCAAAATTGTTATTTATTTGTTTCAGCTGTTAAGCACAGCTGCTGAAGACTTTATTGCATTTGAGCCCCTCTATGTGGACTTCAGTAAGTCCACGCAACATATTTCATGTTCAGAATACACGCTGTCCACTGGGGTGAACATGTAATAAATTTGCAAATTATCAAAGGTTAAAATATTTGTTGAAATTTGTTTCATTCACACTCAAAGATGAATGAGAATAATTGTTAAATAATTGAGGTTGAAGGTTTCATAATTCGTGCATCAAAAGGTTGGACACGACCCAAATATTTAATTTCTGGTATCTGGTGAGTAAAATAATTTGAACTACGGTATAAACTGTGTCACTTTTAGTGGCTGAAAGGGAAAGGGTTTTAGTGGAATCCCTCAATTTGAGACATTAACTGTCTATCAGTACTTAGTAGTAAAATAAGTGCCCAAATGAAAGGAAAAGCTAAGAGTGTATGTTTGGTCAAACAGTAATCCCAGACCAATTTAAACTAATGACTGTTGTCACATTGCATTTCATCTCCTTATTTTGTTTTAAAATCTTCGTTTCTGATGTTTAAAACCAAGACAAGGGAGTTCAGCTGATGACAATTGCACCCATGTGAACAAGAACTGGTGTGCTGTTGAACTCAAAACTGCATTTTGAACACTTTAAAAATATTGTCATCAATTGACTCTTTCTGGCGTCTGTCAAAATGTAGCAACTTGTTCAGATCTCCGATTAGCGGACATTGTGATCAGAACAAGGGGAGAAATTGTCTGGCAGTAAAATTAAATGAGACAGCAGATTAAAGCTGCTGTAGGAAATTTGCATTTATAAAGTTTTAGTTCCTTTAATTCTTCATGTATTCTCTGCATATGAACTTTTAAATGCTTTAACATAGGATTAAAATCTCCTCTGTGCCTGGGTTAAAACTGCAAGGTTGTTTCAGAAAGACATACATATTGTAACAGACAATATTCTATCAGCCAAGAGGCTGAAGCAAAAATCAGGACGGTTTTGGGAAATAATTGCTGAATGAAAATATCAAACAAAGAAAAGTAAATGCTTTGAATTAAAAATGGAGTCTGCACACTTGAAAATAAGTGTGGAGCAGTTGGACAGTTGATCTGAGATTCTCTGTCCTCCGTGAGATGTAAACATTGGGCCATGTTTCCTAAATCGGTAGATTACGTTAATTTTAACACAGCTGCATGGCCTTGCTCACTTAGACTTGGGAGAAATAAACTTATGCAGTTTCAGACTAAAACATTTAAATGTTGGTAGATTTTAAACAACTTAATGAACACAATTATTGCTGAACACATCAAATAAATTTATTGACATTTAAATCATGTAAAATTAGTCAATGTCTAAATATTACTTTTATTTAAAGGGGCATTATGGAAGTTTGACAGCCAAAACATGTTTAGAAATAATAAATTTCTTCTTCATACATTCTCCTGCAATGCCCTGGTCCTGTAGAATGAGCCCTGGCATTTTTACTGTGATTGCCTGTTTTTCTGTAAAATCACAGAAAAAGAGAGCTGCTCGGGTCGAGCAGGCTGCTTCATGCGCGCTCACGCTCAGGCAAAGCCCGTAGCATTTGCTATCCGTAGCTTTAGCAGCAGAGAGAGAGGTAGTGCCAACTCAGCGACTTTGTCGCTGTTCCTAACGCCTAGTGATGAACCTAGCTACATTTCTGAGGACCCTTAGCTACTTCCTTCTAGATATTTCCTGCAAATTAGCAACAAAATAGCCATTTTCGCTCTGAACCATTCTTTGAACATTGTTGCAGCTGTCATCAAGGATATACATTTTTGCAGATACATAAGACATCACTGGTGATTTAGCTCACTTACTAAGACAACGGATTTTCGTGCAGAAGACCAGGGTTTGATTCTCTGATTGAATATAGTTTTGATAAGAGTTTATTTTTCACATTAATGGTTTTTTTTTTTTTCACAGTAAGATGCCCAAATTTTTATTTGAGACTTGCGGAACGGCATTGAATTCACAGATAAAAAAGATGTGGGTTCAACTTTCATTTTGGAACAATTTTTCAAGCAAGGGAAGGGAATGATCTGAGCATGCAGGAAGACTGACCCATCATAAACCTTTGTCGGCTGTGCTGAAGAGAAAGGTACCAAATTATTTAATTAATTAGCTGCGCGTTCTCCTGTCCTCTGTCCTCCGGGCCACCCACACACACACACACACACACACACACACACACACACACACACACGCGCACACGCACACGCACACACACACACACACACACACACACACACACACACACACACACACACACACACACACACACACACACACACACACACACACGACTGTCTCAGCTATTATTTTCGTTAAGGAGTGTATACGTACAGCATGCACGCCTCTTGCACAAGCCTACTATTAAAGCTGCCATTACGCTTTTGGCCTGAGGGGGCAATCACGAGCATAAAAATTCAAAACTCCGTAAAGTCCCTTTAAGGGTAGATGGTATGAAATTACCCACTTTCATAATTTGGTTTTCATGAAATATAATGAAGCTTAAAAATCGTTGTACATATATAAATTTATTTTAAATAGGATTTAGATGATGAATGAGTGATTTGGCGATTTCGTAGTAAATAGATTTTTTTTTTTCATTTTAACGTAATTCATGCAACTTCTCAGGGCCGCATGCCCTGAAAATGAAAATCCCACTGTTTCTTTACCAAAACCCAAACAAATGAGATTGCTGAGTCATGCTGACCTGCTCAGACAGGAGGGATCAGACGTCCCTTTTCGAGTGGGATAGTTATCTGATTCCTTTTGCCAATCTAACCAATCGGGGCGACGGTGGCACAGGAGTTAAGTGCTCGCCCCGTAATCGGAAGGTTGCAGGTTCGAGCCCCGCTCAGTCTGTCACTGTCGTTGTGTCCTTGGGCAAGACACTTAACCCACGTTGCCTGCTGGTGGTGGTCGGAGGGACCGGTGGCGCCAGTGCTCGGCAGCCTCGCCTCTGTCAGTGCGCCCCAGGGCAGCTGTGGCTACATCGTAGCTCATCCCCACCAGTGTGTGAATGTGTGTGTGAATGGGTGAATGACTGATTGTGTTGTAAAGCGCCTTGGGGGGTTTCAAGAACTCTAGAAGGCGCTATATCAAATACAGGCCATTTACCATTTACCAATCTGCTAATTATCTGACGCTTGTGCGTCTGTTGAACACCAATAATACCTTGACCATGAGAGTAAATCAAAATAATATTTAAACAGGATGTAGAAGCTGCCCCTGATAGGAGATCATACGGCCTGTCATGGAATGTCTCAGATTGGAGTGACGGTTAAATGTTTTGTTTTGAACCTAAATCACCTTATCCTTAGGAAGTTAGAGATTAATGCATGACGTCCTGACCCTTCAAAAGTAGTGATTGTGTTTTTTTTAACATCATCTTATCGTGAGCCTAGTTCTGGTTTGCGTGCCTTGAGCAGATCTTTAGACATTATCCATTAGACTATCCAATATCCTTATAAACATTATCAATTTGAGATTTCTAGCTATAATGGTTTATCTAGTTTGCTGTTATCATATGACTTCTTCAAAGGTCAGACTCCTACAAGAACCGTGTGTTTAATACATTTACAACTTTGGAGATTCCCTTACAAATGAGTCTTATAAAGAAATCTCCCCATTTATGGTTGACGTTACCTTGACTTGATTTTGTGCTCATGATTTCAGTAACGTCTACTTTGTGATGAGTTTTTTTTATGAAGATGTTACATTAACTGAATATTTAAAGTATGTAGTTATTTTAAGTTATTGAAAGTTCTCTGACTTGTGTTATCTATCCATTTCTACACTAGATTAACTGTTTATGTGATAATATTGAACTCTTTCTGTGTAGGTTAGTGAACATTTCCTGTTATTTTTGTTAAATCTTTACTTTGCCCCTGCTTTGTATCTAGCCAGCTCCCACTTTATTATTACTTTCCAAGTTCAACAAAGAGAGAGCAGCTCTCGCCCTTGACTCCATCATTGTTTTGTTATTGCTAGACAAGCATTATAAGACGACACTTGTCCTAAATGTCCCTTAGGTTTCATCAGTGGCCTGGTGACCTGACACCTGTTATTTGATGGTCACATTAATATGACAATCACCTGATTACATATGCATCTAGTAGTTTTTAAGTTTGCTAGTCTTTTATTTTTTGTTTCCTGAGTATAAATCCTTTAGTTGTCCATTATCACATTTAGTTATACTCCTCTGCTTGACCCTTAAGCTACTTAGGGTTCTTCCCCAAGCACTTTCTAGGTTCCTGTGGTATCACCATTTTTACACAAAGTACACTTTTGTAACTTATGAATTATTTCTTTTACTTTTTTTTCTTTTGCTTAGAACGTCTTTTCCCTTCCTGAAACGGTTACCATCTTTCTGGCATAATGAGAGCGAACATGTAGACTCTATATTTTTGTTTTGTTATTAGTTGGGGACGCTGACAAGCTCTCCCTTTTTTCCCCAGATGGGTTGATTCTTTTGATTTCACTGGATTTCAGTTTTTGCTACAGCTCTTTTACTACTGTTTCTCCTGTTACTCCTAGGTGATGTAAATCACTTTTTGTGTTTATTTTCAATTTTCTTTACACGGATTGTGGCTTTTTGTTAGTTTAGTTGTTTTGTTTTTTATACACACTGTGTTGCACGACTGCGCCCACTGCTGACGTGATCCAGTAATTGCAAGTTCCTTGGGAATGTGTTTTTTTTTTTTTTTTTTTTCTCACATGTATGTGAGGTCCACTTTTAACATCGGGTTAGCGAAATGCTTGCCAGTACCGGACCCTTTTCTTTATGTCTTGTTTCTGGTGAGCCCTGAGTTGCTTCATGCCTCAACAGGAGGGGAGGCTGATAATGTCCTCACATTACTACACTACCTGGATGGAATTACCAAAATATTAGATGATTGTTGCTGAAAACATTTCAAAATCAACAGTGATCTCCCAGAATTTTCTTGTGCTTTTTCGCCACAGGTCGTGAAACCAGGAAATTGGGTTCTGATGAAGGTGCTGAAGCAAAACAGATGGGGCAGCCTGAGGTCCATTTGAAGTACTCCTCATCACTCCCACTGCTGTGAATTTTGCTGAGAGGCCATCTCAGATACATCTACCCCAGTGAAAGATAAGATGAGAACCGCTTCGAGCTTGCTGGGTTCACCACACTGTTGAGGTTGGTGGTCATCCTCATGGCCCTGCACTTGGGCTGCCTCTCAGCACCTGATAGAACAACAGAGACAGCAGCATTTGAGGGGGTACTGGAACTGGAACTGAAATGACAGATTGGGGCTCCCCCTGAGCCCACCTACATGACAACGTGACCTGCATCCACCTTGGCTGAAAACCCCTTGGAAACAACTACAACAGGACACAGCGAAGAAGAGACGCTGTGAAAGGATCGACTACTTCAAGCACCTGCACCCAAATCTCCATACTGGTTTCACGGTCAAAGACCTGTAGGACCTTTTCGAGGACAAGATCAGCTCCCTGACATTTGGACAACTGCCTCGGCACGCCCTGCTAGCTTTTCCAACTCTACAACCATCTTCCCGAGGTTCCTTCGCACTTTGGAATGGGAACCCCTGCTGGATACATCTGGAAGTGCGGCATCTCTCTCTGTCTCTACCTGCCCCGCAATTGGTGTGGCCCCTGTAGCTTGGCTCGGCTGCAACCCTCCTCATCTCACAGAGGAAGGGGTTTCTCTGAAGACATCAGAGCTGACAAAAAGAGAGTTTAAGCCTGTTGTGGCTTTCCGCCCATTCTCCAACCACGAATTAATAATACAACACCATCCTGATCTACGGAAGAGGACTCTGACTTTCAAACCTAATCTCCAACCACGAGTCCCAGTCCACGGACATGCCCTTTAATGACGAACGCCTCAGCTCTACCATGGTTAGAGCTGCTTAAATTAATATTACACCTTAATTTTTCCTCCTTCACTGAAAGATTCGTCTGCACCTTGGAGCTTAGATTTAAATTCACATGTTTCAATACACCAAACTGATGTTTTCTGTGTATTATATGGTTTTGCTGACCCTTCCCAATCTCCTTACAGGAACTGCCAGAGTTGTAGAATTGTGCATCACAATATGTATGAAATAGCTTTTCTTAAGGTTATAAATGTGTTGATTTAGCTGATTCTATTTCCTATCTCTGTGAACTGCTGTAAGATGTTATTGTCAGTGGTGTTTGCCTTATTTGTGTTTATTACCTTATTTGGACTTATTTTTCATCAGAATCATTTTATTTGTTCTTATTTTGCTGTTTTGTATTGAACTTTGTATGGAATTATTCTTTGGACAAGTTAACAGGATTGAGATTACAATCCGTAATAGACAAATGATTGCAGCATCTCATGCTGTTTGCCTTTTCGTGTTGATTCTGAACCTTTTATATCTGATTGCGGTGTTCATCACTTTAATTATTTTTCGTGTTTTGATGTTTATCATTTTTGTTTTGCTTTTATCTCGAGTTAATTGATTTGTAACCCGTTGGCCCGTATGACTACTGAGATGATCACCTTTCCTGGTTTACCCCTCTTCCATTATTTGATTTTTGTGATGTAGCTTTCATATTTAGTGGTGACAAGTTATGGAAGTGGGTAAAATTTCTAATTATTTTACTTTTTATTTTTCCTTATTTGGTTTTGTTGCTTCCTTCTGTTGGATTATTATATTCGGATAAACAGGAGGGAATGTTATGGAAAAATCTATGTTTATTAATTCCTGATCATGGACTCAACTGGACATAATGTATTGCTCTCATCGACATAAATATACTTGCTCTATGCCGCTCTGCATGCTTGCTTACTTACTCATACACACACACACACATTCTTGTCCCACTCACACACACTGACTCTCTCTACCTCTTATCTCTCTCTATAAATAAACCCTGTGAACAGATGTTCGAGGCATTTGCTTCGGCACGTGGCAGTTATAACGGTTTGGCTTGTCTGCTCATTGTCTCCTGTCTTCACTGTAGGAAATGGGTTATTGATAAACATTGATAAAATCCATGACATTTGCCAACAACAGTTTTGCACCGAGTTATGTTGGTAACACGCCTTTCCAAACATTTGCTGCAGGTTGGTCTTTTTTTAAACATCCCGGGTATGTCTAGTGTTAAGGGCCAAGCTTGGAGAACAAGATGCAGCATGTGTGTTTATTGGTTCTTGATCCATACCTGATGTTTCACTGATGCCAAATGTTGTACTTAAATGTCGTCAGGATTGGATTTTGCCCAAAATGCAGAACCTCGCCTTCGTCTTTTGTTTTGCCTTCAATCTACTCCATTCTGTTACTTTTGTGCATCAATTTCTTTTTAAACAAAATCCCATTCAAACATTTTGCAGGATACTACTAAAATGTTTGGTAGGCTTTTATGAATGTTTGTCAAAAGTGTTGATATCCATGATATCCATTTGTTTTGCTTTGATAATGAGCAACACTGACCCCAAAACTAAAACCTGTTTTTTCATAATTCTGCGTGAGTGGCTGTCGCATTCATTTAGAGAAAAAGTACAGATGCTTAATTTTTACACTTTTAATCAATGATGCATTTATTACATTAAATCAGGATTTCAAATTACATGTAATCAAAGTCACAAAGCAGCAAGAATGAGAACGTGTCAAAACCAGACATCCCTTTTCTCTGCTCCAGTAACAAAATCCTGTCCATCTTGTGTCACCAAACCTGAACCACCCCACAATGAACTAATGGTGAACAAATACCAGCCTGACGGATCAACACGAACGAGGAGAAGGAGCAAAGAAGTAAAGGGCTAAAAGGATGAAGTAAACCACCACAAGAGCCGTGCCTGCAAACAGAACAGGGAATAAAATCTTTAGACTTCATTACAGTTTAATAATCAGCATGATTTACATGGACCAGTCTACTTTCAGCCATCTTCTAAACACATCTGAAAGGTGACGACATTAGTAAAAAAGGAGAAAACCTACCCTGAAAGTAGTCACATTTTCCATCCATGAAGATGTAGTTAACCAGAATGACACTGAAGATGCTGGCCCAGAGGTGAACATCGCTGAACACGAGAACAAAACCAACATCCTGAAGAAGCGACGGGAAACAGCCGGGGTCAATTAAACAATCATTCATTCACCAGGCAAAGAAATGGACATCAGTTAACGTTGCATCGTGCGTGTACACACACACACACACACACACACACACACACACACACACACACACACACACACACACACACACACACACACACACACACACACACACACACACACACACACACACACACACACACACACACACACACACACACACACACACACACACACACACACACACACACACACACACACACACACACACACACACACACACACACACACACACACACACACACACACACACACACACACACACACACACACACACACACACACACACACACACACACACACACACACACACACACACACACACACACACACACACACACACACACACACACACACACACACACACACACACACACACACACACACCTCTAAGTTTAGGCATTAAAGAGAACTATACATACTCACATAGAACGCATTAAATAGGATGAGGAGTGGAATCTGAATCATGCAGACTTGCACAGCAATACAACTTCCTACTTCAAGACTGAAACGAGATGTTTAAGTTAAACCCTTCAATGCAACACAAAGTCAAATCACTTCAGGGGGTTTGTTACTTCAGTTTGACAGTAAAAGTACTGAGACGCATCAAACCTCAGGCTGATGTTGTTTTGCAGCGCAAATTGGATTCCGTTCATTATCTCAGGAATTTCTGGCACCATAGCGATCACAGTGACACCGATGAAGTACTGCAAGAAGACATGGAGACACCTCTGTGCAACTTAACACCCGACTTTAGTGAATCAGCACTGAATACAATTTGAGACATAATGAGTTATATTTACCTGGGAGATGGAGGAATGAGTCAGGATGGGCTCAATGTTTTCAGTGCAGAGGTCCGCACAGCACGTCATCAGCACCGTGGCGACGATCAGCACGACCAGAGCCCTCCATCGAGACCAGTGGACGACATGGTGACCTGCTGCTGATGGACAGGAACACACTTGGTGAATACCTCCTTTTGTTGGAGGGAGCTGACCTTTTGATGCATGTCAACAACTTTTCACATTGTTTAATGCTTAAATCCTGGTCAAAAACAGCTATGCTGCAAAGTGAACCGAGTCACGTTGCTGTTGGCCAATCAGAGAGGAGATGTTCAAATATCAGGAAGTGAAACTGAAGCTCGCCTTCGACCTGGCAATCTTCTAGATCCTGAAACAGGCGCACTTATAAAAGGCATGGATTCCTAATGGAGACCACTGCAAATATAATTTAAAATGACTTTAAATGTCAAAGCGTTTCCACTTTCAATACAAACATACAACACTAAGTGTTTCAAACTCATCTACAAAGTTAATTTATTTCAGGAATTAATCTTCAAAAATGAAAACACACGAGACAGACTCATTCCACGCAAAGCCAGATACTTCAAGCCTTTATTAGTTATAATTGAGATGATTATGGCTTACAGCTTATGAAAACCTCAAATGCAAAAGCTCAGATCATTAGAATATTGTGAAAAGGTTCTAGACTCAGTGTCACACTCTAATCAGCTAATAAGTCCAAAACACCTGACAGAGTTCCTGGGCCTTTAGACGTTCTCTAGGGCCCAGTTCCAATGCTCACACTTCCACCCATGCAGCCTTCAATTGTGCGTTCTCGTCCAGGGGTGAGAGTGTGTAGGGTGTCCATGCCCCTTTTGCACCTTTGCTCCACATCGATGTGGACTTTGGTAATTACCCACAACCCATTGCTGCAAGGGACTTTTGAGAAGGCGGCGGAGCAACGGCTTAAGTGGCCTTTCCGAAAATATGCATTTTCAAATGAGAGAAGTTTACTTTAAGAGGATGAATGATATTTATTCATGCTCTGAATGTTTTAGACCATGATTTTATTTGGACGCTGATGAATTTAAATGGTTTGAAAGTTGTTAAGACGCAGGAAACAGCGACAGACATCCCGGCATGCATCGCGGTCAGTGACGCAATGCTCCCTGTTCCAATTCGGCACACTTGTGTACTACGCTAGCAATTTTTCTGCTGCTTTTGATTCACCCCGTTCTTCTCAGTTTAGCGAGCACTGCCTCTCCATTCTGAACAACATCTGTCCAGTCAGAACCAGATCAGTTCCTGCAGTGAACCCTACTCCCTGGTTTAATGACAGCCTTCTCAGCCTGAAGCGCCAATGCAGAACAATTGAGCGCTTGTGGAAGAAAACCCATCTCCACGTCCATCTGCTGCACCTAAAGGATCTTCTGACATCCTTTAACTCTACAGTCGGAGACACTAGGGTTTCCCATTTTTCCAACCTGGTGTCCATGAGCAAAGGGAACCCCAAGGTGCTGTTTAACACCATCAGCAGCATCGTGTCTCCTGCCTCTCCTACAGCCTCCATCCACTCTGGTGCAGACTGTGAGAACTTTCTGTTTTTCTTTGTGGACAAAGTCAATAAGGTTAGATCTAGCATCTCTCCTTCAGCCTTATCGCCGCCTCTCCCGAATACAACCAGGCCCGTCATCCTAGATAGCTTCGCTCCTGTTTCTTTGCCTGAGTTAATCAAACTAGTTAACTCTATGAAGACATCTGCATGCCCCCTCCACATCTTACCCTCATCTTTGTTTAAAAGTGCATTTCTGTCCATCGGTATCAGCGTGCTCTCTATAATTAATGCTTCTCTGGTCTCTGGTCAGGTCCCTGCTTACTTTAAGAATGTTGTAATCCACCCACTTCTTAAAAACCCGAGTCTCGACCCCTCTCTCCATAGCAGCTTCAGACCCATCTCTAAACTTCCGTTCATCTCCAAGATCTTGGAAAAGGTTGTGGCTAAACAACTCACAGCTGCTCTTGATGAACATAACATCTATGATAGCTTCCAGTCAGGTTTTCGTGGAGCTCATTCTACTGAAACAGCTCTTCTTAGGGTATTTAATGACCTTCTGACTCACAGTGATGGAGGGGACTGTTCTGTTCTGGTCCTGTTGGACCTGACTGCAGCCTTTGACACTGTTGACCATCACCTGCTACTGGAGAGGCTCAGAGACTGGGTAGGCCTATCAGGAACTGCTCAGGAGTGGTTCTCCTCTTACCTCTCTGAGCGCTCCTTTTCTGTGGCCGTCTCCAAGTTTAGGTCCTCCACCACCTCTCTTACCCATGGTGTCCCACAAGGTTCTGTGCTGGGGCCTCTGCTCTTCCTCCTCTATCTGCTTCCTCTTCAGCACATCCTGAGCTCCTTCAAAGGAATCTCCTACCATCTTTATGCAGATGACATCCAACTGTACATCTCCTTTAAGCCCCATGAGATGTCTAAGCTGCAGCTGTTACACACCTGCTTAGACTCTATCAAAACCTGGATGGCTGGGAGCTTTCTACAGCTGAATGAAGATAAGACTGAGATCCTCATCTGTGCCCCAGACAAGCTGGTTCCCAAAGTCAGAGACTCTCTTGATCAGCTTGCTTATCACACCAAACCTTCTGTCAGGAATCTTGGCGTGACCTTTGACCCAGCTCTCACCCTGGATTCTCCTGTCAGTTCTCTTGTTCACTCTTCCTTCTTCTATCTCAGGAACGTTGCTAAGCTGAGTCCCATTCTGTCCCGCTCTGAACTTGAGACAGTTATCTACACCTTCATCTCCTCACGCTTAGACTACTGTAACTCTCTTTTCACGTGTCTGAGCAGAACCTCCCTGAACCGTCTACAGGTGGTTCAGAATGCCTGTGCTCGGCTTCTGACCAAGTCCTCCAAACACACCCACATCACCCCGCTTCTCCTCCAGCTTCACTGGCTGCCAGTCAACTTCAGGGTTCATTTCAAGATCCTGGTTCTGGTCTATAGGGCCTTACATGGACAAGCACCATCTTACATTGGTGATCTTCTCAGTCCCTACCCCCCCAACAGGTCCCTGAGGTCCAGTGATCAAAGCCTACTGGTTGTGCAGCACCAGGCTAAAGACCAAAGGTGACAGATCATTTGCTGCTGTGGCCCCCAGACTCTGGAACTCTCTCCCCCTGAGCCTGAGATCAGTGGACTCAGCTGTCTCCTTTAAAAAGCAGCTGAAGACTCACTTGTTCAAGCTGGCTTTTGTATGACCTTCTTCACCACTCTCTCTTTATTCTGCTCTCCCACCTATTCCACCTTCCTCAGGAACCACCGATTTCCCTCTTTCCTATTCTCTCTCTCTTTAACATTTTTTAATCACAATTGTCTTTTTTTTGCTCATTTTAAATATATTTTTAATCATTTTCTAAATTATTTATATTTTTTACATTTTTGTGAAGCGCCTCGTGATTGTTATCTTGAGAGGCGCTATAGACAAGATATTTTCTTCTTTTTCTTCTACGCACTCGAAGCCTTATTGCACACATCACAGAAAGGCGTAGGGCACAGCGCGAGTATCGGGATTGGGCCTCAGTCTAAAGTGAATTACTAACACAATTAAACTTTTGCACCATATTGTTATTTTTATAGTTTCACCTGTAAGTTGTAGGATACAGATGCTCTTAGTCTTTGTGCATACTCACCATTTGTGTGGCCCCCGTGGCAATCGCTAATTTGAATATCGTAGATGTGCGAGTGGGTCTTCAGTGTGAAGATGAGGCCAATCAGATAGGAAGCAGGCAGCAGAACAGAAATTGTGTACACCAGAGGCCTAGAACACATTTTTAAAGTGAACATGCATGATTTTAAAAACGGGTGTTTGTCGTTTCTGGACTTACTCGATGCTGGACAGGATCAAATGTGGGTCCGTTTCACTTTGCTGGGAAGAAAAAAAAACAACTTTCTGAGATGAGGCAGAATTTAATCCTATAGCATCAAAGATTAGAAGTTTGGAATGTTGATGAAATCTGAACTAATGGCATCATCTGTTGCTTGTGCAAACACTGAAGGAGGACAAACACTGCTCACCGTGTAGTAGTGACAGTCCTTGCAGATGAAGGGGATGCTGGAGTTGCCTGAGGTGTTGGAGCAGCTCTCACAAACCAGATTACCAAAAGTCTTTGAGAAGAGGGTGGGTGCAAACACACCTAAACAAGCAGAGTTTAGACACACGTGAGCTGGGTTTGGGAAACTATCGTTTCAAAAATGGCTTCCTGGGCCTCGCTTACCGCCAATGGAGATGAAGAGCAAAGCAGAGCTCACGCCAGCAGAGCGACTGTTAAATCTTTGCTCACTGTGTTTAATGCCTCCAATAGTCATACAAATGCCCTGTGAACACACCGCGAGGTTGGTGAGCGGGTTTTAAGCCTCATTAACGCATTCACCTGTTACTCCATCACTCACAGGAATGAAGAGGATGCATCCGAGCAGCGTCCCGGTGAGGGCAGCTTTCACAATCTCCTCGTAACATTTGGTGGAGGCGCGGTGCCCCCGCAGCAGCGCCGTGATGTAGAAGGTCATCTCCGTGATGGAGCCAAATGTTGCATTCACCACTGCTCCCACTGCAAAGTTACTCTGAGCAGAAAGGCTACAAGATGGAACACAGTCAGTCAAAAGCTGTAACCCTTTATTTAATTTGTTTAGTTGAGATGGAAACACTTTACCTGGCTATTCCCATACCAATGTAGTAGGACAGGGGGATAATGGAAGTGATGGCTATGGTAAACATTGTTTCTGCGCTGACATATTTATGCTGTCGGTCAGAGTAGCCGACAGTCAAGGTCATAAATACCAAAGGTAGCAGGTCTGAAGGGCGTTCTGTTAAGGAGAACAATCAAATCCAGCAGCATCTTTAAGGTTTGCATCCAACGTTGAAAGGATACTGAGAGCAAAGATGTTGATTCCTTGGACGGTGTATTTGTAGTAATACACGTTAAAGGCATGGTAGCAGCACAAGATCACTCTGGTCTCACACACAACCGTCTGAAAAACAGAGCAACAAACAGCCAATAAAAATCCATCCGACCAGTTCAGATCATTTAAAACTAAACAGCTGCTATTAAGAAAAAGAAGTAAACTTCATATGAGGGGTTTTAATACCTTGTCCAGTTTGAGGATCTGAACATCCTCTGGTGCCATGAGGAGGGCGGTGGTCATGATGCGGCTGTTCATTTTTGCTACTGGGATGCTGAAGACCAGCATCCAGGAGAGCACACAGGCGAGGGAGTGGACGATGGCCAGCACGGGGTATGCCAGCAGCAGCCAGATGTAGGTGCTGACACGACACTAGAAACACAAAAGGGATGATAAACAGCATCCAAATACCGATTTGATTCATTCCAACTCTCCTACCCAGTGCTTCGAGGGTTTCTTCGGAGGCAGAGTCGGAGCAGGAATGTCAACAGGGATTGGAGAAGACACCAGAAGGGGGCCGCAGTCCTTGTCCTCGATAAGATCCTCACTGTCGCGTTCGTTTGGGATGACGTCACAGTTTGTTGACATCACAACAGATCCATTGGTTACATTACTAGCCTAAAGTTTGAATAACAGTTATTTTGTTTATCACGGCAAACCTTGTGTATGAAAAAAAATACATATAATGAAATAAACTGAAAATATTTGGATGTTTCAAATCATCTGACCTTCTGTATGGACTTCCCAAACGGCCAAATAAAATACCATGCCAACTTGAAACAAACTTTTCCTAAATGAAGCAAACAAGACAAAAAGGAAACTTTGACCTGTTGAAGGAATGGAACACTCATTGAATCAATGCATCTGCGGTGGTCTAGTAAGAATTAATGCCTTGCAAGTCATCGAGATGGAAAAAAAGTGCACCATTTCTAGGAACTAAATGTTACCGACATCACAGCTGAGCTTCAGACGGCAGGTTTTGGAGTCTTATTTCCTGATATTTGGCCGTCTCTACCACTGACCATCTCCACAAACAACACAAACCTGGAGGAGTTTCTGCTGTGTGGTGGAGTTGCTAATTCTAACAGTTAGCTTCTGCTAGTCGAGACATCCTCTGATTCCCAACAGCCTTCCCGGTGGCAAGTCAAGATGGTCGAGTCCACAAATGTTGATTTAGATCTGTCTGGATTTCTAATCCTAGAGTTCCATTGTCTACTTTCGATCAGAAGCTAATGCCGGAGATAGTGTAAGAGACTATTTTCATGTTAAGCCTGCATGAAAAACTTAGAGTGACTGATTATAATCAGAAATAATCATAAAAAAAGGGATTTCAGTGATCCGCACCTTTAAAAGAACTCTAACGTGACTGCAGTGATATATACGTACCATAAGAAGCGCCGCAGATGGTTAGAAACATTACAGGACAAATGAGCAGGTAGAACAGGGAGATCCACCAGCCAAATAAAAACACATAAACTATGTTCCCAAAGGTGACCACTGACACTGTAGGAATGAAAAACACAATTTAATGTTTTCATGTAAAACAGTGGCTGTGGATGAGAATAGAGGTGGAATTAGTAAAAAAAAAAAGTTAACAACCTTCTTGATGCCTAGCAATGCTAAGATCAGTGTGCAGCTCTTTGTCGATGTCAGATCGGTCTTCAAGTGGCTTCTCAGTTACGTTGCCTTTCCATTTTCTGAAGCCAAACTGAGAAAAAAAAATGCTTTAAAGTTTAAGATTAGTGGAGTAATTTTTATACCCCCAAAACCAAAACAGTTGGCGCTCCTTAGGGTGCAGGAGAGTTTTAAGCGACAATTTTCTCTTTTCACCTTGTAGTTGTTGGCCTCTCGATGTGCTTCAACCTCGTTCTCAGCTCTGATTGTGGCCTTGGAGGTGCCGTCGTGCCATCCTTCTTCTCCACCGCGTGTTGGAGAGGTGCAATGTGCTCCTGAATGGCAGACAGCTGTGCATAACCCTAACCCAGGTGCATAAATTTGGGCACCACAAAAAAGAAATTAACTCAGTACTTAGTGGATCCTCCTGTTGCAGAAATAACAGCCTCTAAACACTTCCTATAGCTTCCAATGAGAGTCTGAATTCTGGTTGAAGGTATTTTGCACCATTCTTCTCTAGTTCATTCATGTTTCCGAGCATGGACAGCTCTCTTTAACACACACACACACAGATTGTGAAGAGAATTTCCCCTCTGTGAGATCAATAGTTTATTCTATTCAACAATATTCAGGTCTGGGGACTGAGATGGCGATTCCAGAACGTTTACTTGTTCCTCTGTATGAATGCCTTAGTAGATATTGAGCAGCGTTTGGGGTCGTCTTGTTGAAAGACAGCCTCGTTGCAGCTTCTGCTTTGTCAGCGATTCCTGGACATTGGTCTCCAGAATATGCTGATATTGAGTGGAATTCATGTGTCCCTAAACTTTAACAAGATTCCCAGTCCTTGCACTGGCCACACAGCCCCACAGCATGATGGAATCACCACCACGTTTTCCTGTAGGTAGCAGGTGTTTTTCTTCTCTTTCCTCCTCAACGTCCCTTGTTATGCCAAATAACTCAGTCCAAATGTGCTTTAGCATACCTCAAGCAGCTCTGTTTGTTCTGTGGTGCATCACTCTCTCATACAGCATCTCCTTGTGTAAAGTGCACAGAATAGTTGAACCATGCACAATGACTCCATCTGCAGCAGGATGATGTAGTAGGTCTTTGGTGCTGGTCTGTGGGCTGACATTCTTCACTTCTGTTTATCCCAGATTTTTCTTGGTCTGCCACTTTGAGCCTTAACTAGAACTGTGCCTGTGGTCTTCCATTTCCTCAATTTGTTCCCAACTGGTGAAACAGACAGCTGAAATCTCTTGAGACAGCTTTTCTGGATCCTTCCCCTAAACATGACGGTGAACAATCTTTGTTCTCAGATCATGTGAGAGTTGTTCTGAGACCCCCATGTTGCCACTCGGAGAATATTGAAAGAGGAAGGAAACTTACAATTGGCCTCCTTAAATAGCAAGTCGCCCCAAAATCAACTTTTTTTTCTCTTGATAAACTATTAACGAGTGCCTAATCGTGCTGCATGTCAATAGTTTTGCACTTTAGTGCATTTTAATAAAAATTTAAATTTTCAGCCTAAATTTGTCAGTGTTGTGCCGTTGTCAGGTAAAAACTCTGCACTGCATTTGAATCGAAATCTGCCATCGCTATTGGCTAAGAGGTACCCTAGAATGTTAGCTGGTACCATATGATGTCACAATGTCGTGAGCCTGTGTGTGTATTTGTTAGCGGCTCAGTGGCCTAGTGGTAGAGTGTCCGCCCTGAGACTGGGAGATCAGGGGTTCGACTCCTGGTCGGGTCATACCAAAGACTTTGAAAAAATGGGACCCAATGCCTCCCTGCTTGACACTCACTATTAAGGGGTTGGATTGGGGGGTTAAACCACCAAATGGTTCCCGAGCGCGGCTGTGTCTGCAGCTCACCGCTCCCCCAGGGGATGGGTCAAATGCGGAGAACAAATTTCGCACACACACCTGTGTGTGTGACAACTAATGGGACTTTAACTTTAACTTTAACTCTCGGTCTGCAACAGCATTTGTTGCATTTTTCAAACAGAAAGTGGGAGTGGAGTAATACTCTGGTAGGGGGTGATTTGCTCATTAAATACTCTCTCCTTACTGGATTCACCTGTGTATGGAGGTCAAGGGTCACAGAGCTTACCAAACCAATTTTGAGTTCCAATAGTTAGTTCTAAAGGTTTTTGAGTCAATTAAATGAACACAGTACCCACATTTTATGCACCAGCCTAATTTTGTTTAAACAATTATTGCAAACTTTCTGTAAATCCTATAAACTTTGCTTCACTTCTTAAAACATCCCCGTGTGTGTCTCCTATATGACATATTTAGTGGAAACATTTTATCATAACTATTAACAATTCATACAGGAAAATCATGATAGTCAAACTTTTGCATCCCACTGTATCTTGCACGAATGTAGTCTCATTCACCTCTGTGCACAGCAAGCAGGCATTTTGGTGTGAAGTGGCAAAAGTGGTGTGCAGAGGCATCCAGGGAGGGGGTTGCCATCGGTCCCATCTCTGGATGCTGAGGTCCATGGTTAGGGTGGATTTGCAGCCGTGGAAACCGGTGATGATGCTCAGAATCGCAACAGTTCTCTGAAGATTTAAAAAAGATAAAGTGGCCATTACATATGACATGTGGATGACCTCCTGCAGAATGTGTGTGACTAACAGAAACCTCCTGAGAATCATGCAGCGTCCCTTCAGTGAAGTCAAACACGGTCTGATCACGTCGTCAGTGCATTGCAGCACAAGAAAAGGAACCTTAAACAATGATTTTTTTTATAAAAAACAATACATGGCTTTGGAGCATGTAGTCCTGAAACACCAGGCTTCTCTCCTCAGCTCCAGCGGTTTGGTAAAAGGTTTAAGTCAGGTTTAAAGGCAGGTGTCAGCCAAACATTTCTGACTGACATTACAATGCACGTGATGAAACATTTCCTCACTCAGTTCTTATAAAAAAAATATCAGCAAAACTGTCCCCACCATTTGTGAAATGCCCACATCTACTGGTGTCATCTCAACTAAAATAACCTCAGTTACAAACAATGCTTCTAAGTCAACTTTCACCATCTAATTAAACCATCTAATGAAGTCATTGGCAACGCAGGTGATTTTAAGTAGCACGCTGAAGACAAACAACGAACTGCAGCAAATTCAAACGTTTGCAGTTTTTTTTAAACATCGTAAAAAAACGCAGGTGTGCAGGTTGGTATCACCTGTGGACTCAGCCACTGATCTTCTCCGCAGGTTGTCCAGGTCTCCTGGTACCAGTGACGAGGTTTTGTAGGACATGTTGCCAGCTTAGACCCCTTGGTGTTACTCCTACAACAACACGACTGCTCCAGGCTCCCCGCCCCTTTATGTCCTCTGGGCTGTGACTGGCTGCTCGTTAAAGCCAGGAGGGTGGAGCGGAGGTAGATGGAGAGCTGAAATCAGTTGTATTTAAACATTTTGTGTTTTCTAAACACGCAGCAGCGGGGTTCCTCACACACATTATTAATATGTGCCAAAATAAACGATTTAAGAGTCGCCTAAAAACCCACCTCCTCGGCTTGGCGTTTCCTGAAAGTGTTTGACTTTGGCCCTCTTTTATGTTGATTTTATTTCCCTGTTTTCATTGGTTTACTCTAACCCTTGTTTTACCCATTTGTCGTCTAGTAGAATGTTTTACCTTTTTTTTGTAATTTGTCATTTCAATTGCTTTTATCTTCGATTTATTCACCATATTTAACTTGATCATGTACTATGTTCAGCGCCTTGGGCTTCCCGACAGGGTTGCGGAAGGCGCTTTATAAATAAAGCTTTGACTGATTGATTGATTGATTGATTGATTGATTGATTGATTGATTGATTGATTGATTGATTTACAGTAAACCATTTGAGAACAATTTAGCTTTAGTGCCCCCTAGTGGGCCAGGACAAATACAGCAACCAAACATTGTTTGGATTGACCGGAAACTCATCCTTTTCGCGATATAACAGCCCAAAATCAACTTTGGAAAAAAAATCCGTCTTTGTTTTTGTCCTCTTAGGAATAATAACATTACGGAGAAAAATGAGAACGAGGAGGAGAAGGTGAAGGTGAAGAGGGACCCACATTAGCGCTACAAATCAGCACCTCAAATTAAACAAGAAGGGCAATTGCCGCCCTCCAGTGGTGGCAATCTGAAACTACACACTGGTTGTGTTAAACCCATATTTATATGTCGATGGTTAAACCCATCGACATACATATAGCGGTTAAACCACGCAGAAAAAAACATTTTTAACCTCATCTCACAGGGGCAGATCTACAAGGGTGGCATAGGGTGGCAGTTGCCACCCTAAAAGAAAGCCTTGCTACCCCTGCTGCCACCCCAGCTGGCAGCTATAAATTCAAGAAAAATCTAAGAAATTTCAACTCTCAGGCTCATAAAGACCTATTTGCATTCTGCTTTGACAGAGAAAAGACTATCCAGCTAGGCTGTACTCAGCATTGAATCAAAACGGGCAAAATCTTTGGATCTTGATGAATTTGTAAAGTGTTTTGCTGAGCAACATGCCCCATCTCGCCATACTTATTTTTTACCTCACATAAATAAATAAACAAACAAACAAATAAATAAATAAATAAATAAGTACGTAAATAAATAAAAGTAACTAATTAAGACAGAAGACACGTTCAAATAATTTTTTATTTAACGCTTTAGAAATCTTCCAAAGTCCATCATAAATAATGACATTATCTAACCGTGAACTTATTCTCTGGTAGATCTTGTTTATGCTGTTAGCTTATTTATTTTAGAGACATGAAATAATTGTTCTACAATTAAAATAAATGTAATAATTTATCCACAGTTTTATCTATTCTTTTCCTTAGTTTTGCTCATAATTAATAACTTTAGTGAGTTTATTTTACATAGCAACAATTGATTAGGCCTACAGCATCATTTAAAAAAACTGAATCCATCTTATTATCACTTTAGCAATTTATCTTGTCATTTTGCTCAATGGTCTAATCTCTGAATAAATATTGTATTAAAAAAATTCTCGCTGGAGATTTCTGCAAATGCTGGAGCCCATTTGGTAACCGGCTTCCGAAATCCACCGGAAACAAAACCCTTTCACAATAAGATGAAGCACGATCTCTGTAGGTTCACTTTTATTTGAAAACAAAACCACATAGTTTACACAAAACAAAATAAGTAACAGTAATACAAAAAAAAATTTCAATACATGAAAATAATCTTCATTTATTATTTTAATAAACTGGAACATGTTATTTATGCATCATGCTTTATTTTTATTGCCAAATTTACCACAATTTGGAAGCTGCTAATAACATTTATATTTCACATACACATCTCTCAGGAATTTATTTTTAAAGCTTGACAAATTTTTTTTGTGTTGGCTAAAGACCAACAGCCTCTTATTACACGATTCCTTTTTACATTATTTTGCTTCAGTAGGAATAAAGACACCACACAGAAATGTTGGTGTCACACAGCTCAAAGAAGCTGGAAGGTTAATCAGATAAATCAGATGACAATTTTTTTATTCATTACATTTGGAGAAACGTTAAATTATTTAAACTACACAAAATATGTTCATGCTGGGAAATCTCTAAATCCACATTCAGACATAAAAAACAAAGATTCGGTGAAAAATGCCTTGTAATCCAACCTTTTGATGCAGATGTTATTACATGTTATTACTTATTTTAACAGCCAGACACAGACTAAATCTAGTTTAGACCTAATATACACAAAGAGGAGAAACACTTTCTTTCAACATGTACAACATAAAAAGTAAAAATTATTATACAATAATGTGTTGAGGAAAAACTTTGTAAATTTCAGCCTAACTGCAAATAGATCTGTTATTGCTCCAGGCAACAAAACATATGGACATAAATCAAATATATTCAGCACAATAAATGCTCAGTTAGGGATCACTAAAACTTTGATGCTATTTTTTTAACGTTTTTAAACAATAAAAATGGCCGATGCAAAATTACGTGTTGTTAAAACCAAAGTGAATTTCTGCAGAGTGAAATTTAGAAATATCACACTCAGAATCTAAGTCTACCATTTATTTCTGTAGTACTAGTAAAAATAGTTAATACTACAAGTTATTTGTAAGCTTTACTAGATGGTACTGGATTGGGAAAGAGAACATTTTATGAAGACAATAAAACTCTGGATATTTAGTATTTAACTCCTGATTGTGACGAGCTCACTCACAGAAGAAAACTCACTGTGTTGTTTCAAGCCATCAATAATTTAGCTGCCTTTTCTGTTTCGTCATCGTAACATTGCCTTTGCAATTTTATTTGACACATAAAGTATAAAAATATTTTTTATTTACTTATAATTTTTTTCCCTTCTAGTTTTCATAAAACACCACACACACACACACACACACACACACACACACACACACACACACACACACACACACACACACACACACACACACACACACACACACACACACACACACACACACACACTTTTAACTGACCAGGTTTAGTTACACTTTAGTGTCTCTGAAAGTTTCCAGCACTTTTCCATGCTAATGCGTGTGCATCACAAAGCAGTTTCTGGGGAAGAGTTTTAAAAATCCGAGTCAGCATCCATAAGCTCCGCCTCCATTAAATTGGTCCTGGAGTGGATAGGTCCACAGCCGGCCCTGCGGCCTGCCGGTACCCGAGCCACATGAGCCATCCTCTCCGACAGCCCGTTGGTGAGATCCAACTCTCCGGGGTAGAGTGAAGACCCGTTGGGCTGCCAGCTGGAGGATGAGGGGTGGCAGCGAGGCCTGAGGCCCAGATTCTCTGGACAATCCATGTGGGTCACTCGGTTGGACAGCAGGTTTTTGCCGTAGTTACTCTGACATTGCAGGTAAGGGCACCTCTCTTCACAGGATTGAAACTCTGGACAAGACCCTGGAAGGACATCCTCTTCCATCTTGTGCTGCATGCGTAGGTTGGCGACCAGGCTTGGGTGGCGAGGAAGCTTGGGTAACTGAGGCACTGAGCTGGTAGGAAGCTTGGGTAAGTGAGGCACTGAGCTGCGGCCAAACTCACGCTGGTGTTGACCCTGGTGGTCCACGACCTCCACGACTGGATGTTCCTCCTTTCTTCTTTTCTTTTTCTTCTTCTTTTTCCTTTTTATCATCTCCGGGGAAATTTCAGCCTGCACCATCCATAACCTGTTCCTCTCCTCTGGGGGAGGCACTTCAGAAAAAAACAAACAAATTAACCACAAAGAGGTTACCTAACTAAAGATATTTAGCATAATCAGTGTAACAGCCATAAACACTCCTCGGGTCTGACCTGGTGTGCCAGTGGGGGTTACAGAAATGTCCTGGGGGAGGATGGCCCCTCTTCTGGCAACCATTTTGGTTATATGTTGTGCCCACGCTGACGACACATCATTGGATGGCTCGTTTAGTTCAAAATTGATTCCAGCTATAAAAAAATAATCATAGAATCAAAATGACAAAACCGCTGGAAATGAAAAAGGAAACAGAAAATATGCAACTAATTTAATTTAAGAAAAAAAAAAGCAAGCGAATGCGGCCCGGGTGGTCACAGAGGTGAAAACCCGGGCGTGGGAGGAGTTTGGTGAGACCATGGAGCAAGACTGTGGCGTGGAACATTCTGGTCCACCATCCAGCGCCTCAGGAGGGGAAAGCAGTGCGCTACCAACACCATTTATAGTGGGGACGGTGTGCTGCTGACCTCTACTGGGGATGTTGTGGATCGGTCGGCAAATACTTTGAAGACCTCTTCAACCCAAGCAGAGTCCTGGGCTCTCCAATCTCTAGTGCTGAGGTCACTGAGGTGGTCAAAATGTTCCTCGGTAGCAAGGCTCCGGGATGGATGAGATCCGCCCAGAGTTTCCTAAGGCTCTGGATGTTGTAGGGCTGTGTTTATGTAAGCTAAACACAACCATATATAGTTGTGTTCATTACAATATCGCGTGGACATCAGGGGCAGTCCCACTGGATTGGCAGACTGGGGTGGTGGTCCCCCTATTTCAGGATGTGTTCCAGCTACAGGAGATCACACTCCTGAGCCTCCCTGGTAAGGTCTATTCAGGGGTTCTGGAGAGGAGGGTCCATCAGATTGTCAAACATCGAATTCAGGAGGAGCAATGTGGTTTTTGTCCTGGCTGTGGAACACTGGACCAGCCTTATACACTTAGGGGGGTCCTGGAGGGTGCGTGGTAGTTCATCCAACCAATCTACATGTGTTTTGTGGATTTGGAGTAGGTGTTTGACCACATCCCTCGGGAGGCCCTTTGGGGGTACTTTGGGAGCATGGGGTACCAGAAGATAAGGTACCAAAGATGGAGCTCGAGCTCGACAGGCGGATTGGTGCTGCATCTGCAGTGATGCAAACGTTGTACCGATCTGCCGTGGTGAAGACAGAGCTGAGCCGGTAGGCAAAGTTCTCGATTTACTGTGTGATCTACATTCCTACCCTCACCTATGGTCACAAGCTTTGGGTAGTGACTGAAAGAACGAGATCCCAAATACAATTGGCCAAAATGAGTTTTCTCAGCAGGTGGCCAGACTCTCCTTTAGAGATAGGGTGAGAAGCTTTGTCATCCAGGAGGGGCTTGTAGTGAACTTGCTGCTCCTCCACATCGAGAGGATCCAGTTGAGGTGGCTCGGACATCTAGTTGGGATGCCTCCTGGACGCCTCCCTGGTGAGGTTTTCCAGGTACATCCAACCAGGAGAAGAGCTAAAGGAAGACCCAGAACACGCTGGAGGGACTTTGTCTCTCAGCTGGCCAGGGAACACCTTCTGAGACCCCCAGAGGAGCTAACCCAAGTAGCTGGGGAGAGGAAAGTCTCTCTGCTAAGACTACTGCCCCTGAAACTCGACCCGGGAAAAGCGGCCAAAAATAGATGGACGAAAAAAAAAGAAGTAAAACTTAAAGGTAAAACAATACAAATCCTATAAATTCAATAATCATGTCAGATGTGATCCCTTAAAATCACTCAAGACACTTCAATATTTAATTATTTACCACAAGGTTGAGCTATAGAAACCAGACACTGGTTTTACATACACAGTCAATGGTTTTACCCTACTTGTAACATCCGTTTAAATCTCAGGAGTGATGTTTGCACTCACCCACTGGGCCATCATGGGACACAGTGTGCATGCTGAAGGACAGCTCCTTCTCTGGGTCCTTGTGGAGCTCCTTTCTCAACGCAAACGCCTTGGCGATCATCTTGCTCTTCTTAATCCTCTTGGGTTCGTTGTCGCTACGGCCAATGATTCTGGAAGAGAGGGAGGGTGGTAACAGCTGCAGACCCTAGTTTAGTGCTGGCTTATCATCAGCGGCTTGCTTACTTGCACCAAGTGCGTTTCCAGATGAGGATGGTGGCTTTCGTCCAGACCCAGGTGCTCATGGCAATTCCAGTCCCAAACATAGAGAAGAGGTTAATCTTCTCCACCATCAGGCTGGGACGGTTTTTAATGGTGCACTCGGGGATGGGCTTGTTGGTTTGAGATGCAATGGTGACGTTGGCTTCACACCTGTTGTAAAAATCACACATCTCTCTCTCCAAACACATCCACATAATCACTCAAATGGTAGAACTCCTAAATAAGGGTCTTTACAGGTAAGGCTGGGAGAAGTTGGTTTACAATTTTGATGCTGAATTAATTCTAATCCAGCCAGAATCAACAAAGCACTTCTACCTAGATCTTCTAAACTGTATCATTTCATTTCCACCTTTTAAATAAAAAAAAAGGGGAAAATGTGCATGGACGGACATAAATGCATCTCAACTTTGTTGAGGATAAAACAAATGATCCACGTTTAATTTTACTTCATGATTTAACCATGATCATAACATTGTTTTGGTAGTTTGTGTTATTTTACAAACAGAGTTGTTTGTTAAATGTGAGCATGAACACTTACAGCACATAATCTCTGAAGCTCTTCTCCCATTCAGCCTGATTGAAGAAGTCATAAAAGTGGCAGCCGAATGTGATGAAAACAAAACCGAAAGCAAGGAATCCAAATATGCCTGATGTGAGAGAAAATATCAAATTACTCTGACAAGTATTCTTTATTCCATCATTTCTTCTCTTTTAAGAAATAGAAAGACACACCAATCCAGCTATCAGTGTAAACAGGACATTCTCATATCATTTCAGTTTGACGTTTACTATTTTTGGTCATTTTGCCTGCTGCTCTGAAACATTAGTCCAAGTTCCTTCTCTGATTTTAGCTCTAAAAATTAGGACATGAAACTGGACAGGAAGTGACAGAACTCACCCAGTCTCAGCATCGTCTCATTGATTTTACTGGCAGCTTTCTCGCTCAAAAGTCCTGGATGGTTGCTCTTGATGGAAAACAGGGTCGTGACCCCTACAACAAACAGCACACTTCATTCAGAACACATCTTCATGGGGTCTGCTTTGTACATTTACTAGGGATGGGACTCGATTAAAAAGATTACTCTAATTAATTGCAGGCTTTGTAATAGATTAATCTTGATTAATCACATTTTAATCGTTCAAAAACATTTGCACCAAAACAATTTTTGAATCAAAATGAATGAGGCAGAGAATCAAACAATAGACACTGACATTATTATTGTAAACTGTTCTAAACTCTAAAAAATACTTATAAATTTTATTTCAAGTCATTATTTATGTGTCAGATGAAACTTCAGCCATTTGACAAACTCACCCTGGATGAGGAAGTAGCCACCGACAACAAGCACCACACCAATAGGCGCCAGCACAAACCCAGCTCTGTACCGGTAGTTTTTGTAGCCAACAAAACAGATCCCACTCACAGAGTCTCCGTCCACCTTTAGATCACATGACATGGAACAAAGATGGAATCAGTTTCAGTCTTAAAGATTTTAGTGTGTCACACCTGAAAGGTTTCAAACGCACCTCAGCTATCGCAAGGATGGCCACAGTGAGGATGAACGGGATGGACCAGGTGACCATGTGGAAGTAGGAGGTTCGGCCGGAGAGCGGCTGGTGAGTGGTGCCCAGAGCTTTAAAGGATGCGTGCCAGGCATAAGTCAGCATAACAAACCAAATCACACCTGACATCAGGGAGTAGTAAACAATAATAAAGATGGTGACGCATGACAGCGTTTCTGAAGACCTGCAGAGAGCGGAACAGGAAACGACTACGAATGATTTTATGTTCTTTTTTAAACTTTTGTCACCAAACACAAGGCCGAGCCTTTACACTTACGAGGGCTCTCCGAGCCGCATGGTGTTGTCGCTCTTGCACACAATCTCTTTCCGAGCGCCGTCCAGGAACTGGGCCAGCCAACCGATGCTGCCCACAAAGAAGCAAGCATTGATGTAGAAGAGAATGACAGCTGGGTAGCGGTTGGAGTTTTTCCAGTCAGCAAGAAATGTGGCCTGAATAAAGAGAGAAGGGAGATGGCGGCTGAGCTCAAGACCATGGTGAAAACTGTTATTCTTATAGAGACTCTAAAAGACCATGTGGGTGTTATGGCACATCCTCCGCACAGATCAATGCTCCATTTAGCTTTTTTCTAATTAAAAAAGGGACACCGATCAACACGGCAGCATCAAATTCATCTGCACACCTTTTGGGCTTGTGTTTTTGTGGTTATGCAGTCAAGATCTTGGTGGAGAGGTTATTGTGTTTGAGCCTTACCAGAGTAAAGAAGGTGCAGAGCAGCGTGATGGTGCCAAAGTAAGCAATGTAGGCGTGCATGTCACCGTGCTCCTCCTCAGTGAATAAAGGGTTGTCGCACTGGATACCACAACCCTCCACATCTTTATACCAACTGGACTGAATGTCGGTCTTCACCAGGGGAGCTTCACAATGACCCGACGTGTTGAACTTCAGCTTCGTCACCTCGTTCTGCACAACAAAGATCAGGTTAAAGGACAGTAGATGCAGTATGTTAGAGAGATTGTGACCAGAATTCCCCCCCATCTGACAGGTCTTCTCCTCCAGACCTGATCTCAGATCTTGCTGGAAGCAGACAAAGAGAACTATCCCTGGAAAAAGAAACAGTGAAAACATACCGAACAGCCCAGAGGGAATTTGTCACATTTGAGGAAGCTGGGCCAGCCTCTCTCCTGGTCCACGATGCTGCAGGGTTTACGAGTGGCCACACACAGGCTCTTGCTGGGCAGCTCAACTCGGCCATTCTCACATTTGGGCATGTAGACGGCACAGAGCAGTGGCTGGATGACAGACCAACACCGAGGAGCATTTCTCAACCCTATCGGGAAACAAAAACAGGCAGAAAAAAACAGTTTTTGTTTATGTCGAGGATTGTGGCGATGCCCTTATGGAGCTGGACCCACTCACATCAAATTATAATTTAAGCTAAATGATAAGCTTGTTCAAAGTTGAAAATTTTTTTGTTGCTTAAATTTTACACAGGCAACCTGAAAGCTTCATGTAAGAACTAATCAGCTTTCTTCATCATTTAAAAGCAGGAAAGAGCTAGAGTTACATTCTGTGGGGTTATGTGAAAGAATTAAGTGTTAAAAAGTGAAAGGAATGAACAGATTCCTGAGGGGATTCACCAGGATCTGAATCAAATATCAAAAGGAAACAACTGTCTTTTTACTTTTCAGAAAAGTTAATGAATAGATGAGAATCACATTAAATGGTTATACTGGTAATAAAGTGAGTTTTATTGGCAAAATCAGACTTTCTTTGATTTCCTTAAATGATTTTATTTCTTCTTTACCTGCCTCTGAATACCTGACACATCTCATCACAGGTCTTAATCACACTTATCACCAAAAGCACAATTAGACTCAACATTTGTATTCTAATAAACCCCTTTTGTTCCTTTTAAATGGTTTTTGATGCAACAAGTTAAGTTCTCAATAAAACTTGGCGATAAATTAGTTCTCTGGCACAAAATTTACTGCATTTTCAAAACAACAATAATGATACGTACTCTATACATGTTACATGTAGCCCACACATCCTGGCAATCATAGTTTAGATTTTTTCATGAGTTGCATGTTAGTTCATCCTTTTCCTGGTTTTATTAAAGCTTACCAGACCACATGGTCAGCTTCTCAAAAGCTTCTTCTTGGGTGCTGGAGTCTTCTGCCAGGATCAGAGAGGTATGCGTGTAAGGTAAAGGTGATCCCAAACATGTGTTGTATTTAAGGGCCTCACAAGTCGTGGTCTTCTTGCAGGTATCCTCAAACATGGATCCATTTGGAGCCAAAATCGCCCCACAGCCCGACAGCCAGGCAGCCCAGAAGCAAAGCATCCCATAAAGTCCAACAAAGGGACTCCAACCCTGGGAGGACATCTTGAGAGAAGACGTCAAACTCTGAACAAACTAGTTGTGATATTCCTGAAGCTTCAGAAGTCAGATCCACCACTAATCCAGGAGAAAATGCTTTCTTCGTTAGATTTGGACGCATCCAGCATGTTGAGGCAAAGCTGCTGGATGGTTATTCAAGTTTTCTTTCAGTCCTCACAAACTTTTTGATGCTGCCCTTTTTGACCGATCGCTGCAGTTGGATTCTGACTTCCCGCATTATAAAGCTTTAAAGCCACAAAGTATCCTCAGGCAAAGAAAAGATGGTAGATCAGTTGAAAATGCTATAAAGTGATCATCAGAAAAGCAAAAGAAGGAAAAGTGGATCTGCCCTCCCCCCACTTCCAAAAAAAGTTGAAAAAGTCTGGATCTCTGTAATAGGATCTCATGCACCACCCCTTCTTCAGACTCCTTTTTTCCAGCAGAAGCAGAAAACATAAGATGCAGGAATGCTCCTGAAACTCTTTGCATGTCCCAGGAAGTGATTTCCTCCTGGTGGAGGATCTGATGGGAAGTGCCTCGGTGTTTTTGTGTGCTCCTGTGAGTTGCAGCTCAGTGTCTAGTTGTTTTTTTTGCGTCTCTGGTATGCACATGGTGGGGGGAGAGCCAGGGCAACAAAACCTCCCTTCCCATCCCCCCCTCTGCTTGTGGAAGAATGTGCCTTATGGCAGGACCTCCTAAATCCGGCTTCTCATCTGAACAACCCCCCCTCCCCAAAAAAACAACAACACAGTTTTGACAGGTTTACTCGTGTGTGGGAAACTTTGTTCCCAGTTCTGCATTAGAATGATCTCACACATCAGGATCAGATCTGAATATAAATACTGATGGAACAAACTCCGGTCTAACAATCTAACAACTTATTTAACAGTTTTACACAGAAATAGTATGTTAAAAAATCTTGTGTTTGAGCTGAGATGGAACTAGAAAGAGATTATAACTCCTGTGCTGAAACATAAGGATGCATTATGGATACATCATGAAATTTGGTTTTATAACTACAAATATATCACTTTGGTACATACTGAATGAATTGTGCTGATTAATTAACAAAAACCTAGACATAGATTTTCTGCATAATATGAGGTCTTTGCTGTTTTTGCGTATTTTTATTAACATTGTCTCCGTGAAAGTTAGATATTTTAGGGGTTAGGTCTTTGGTAAGCTGATTCATGCTAGGAAGTCCATGTTTGTTTCCAATAAAACAATCTCTAGAAATAGTAGAAGTCAAAGAAATGATCAGTTAGAAATTAAGATGAGAAATCAGTAATTACAAATGGAAAACCATACAGTCCAGAGATTAGGCTTTGACAGAAATTCACGCTTTAAAACACACACCTGGACCAAATGCTGTGTTTGGGATTTCCTCAACGTCTCAAAATTGGTTGAAAATCAGATCAATAAAGGTGCATTGTGCAGAAATGAAGTAAGAAAAACATCCTGTGGTAAAATGTGGTTACTGCAACTGCTTTAAACAACTCTGGAGCTTTTTGCCGGTCATCGTCAAATTACAACTGTCTGCAGTATTATCTCTCATGACACATGGCAGCCCCACCTTCACCGATGGTGAACAGTAGTTAAGCCCCTTCTTCCTTTGATTTTAAAGGAGAAAATCTGATAATCCCTGCAGCCAGCTGGATATGAAACATGATTCAGTATAAACTTCCTTCCAAAATGACTGAAACATTACTCGTTTGGGATTTTCTCACGGTAAAAGTCTCACTACATTCTTACACATTGCACCTCTAACTTCGAGACAAACTAAATGGCCAAGGCCGACAGTATTTTTCTCTTGTTCCATGTGTGTTTGTGTGTGTGCATAAAAAATAAAGTGGGTACAGTTAATAACTCCAATGCACATTAAATCAGTTTCCTTTGGGATATTCCTAATAGGCTGAGCTTCCCCTCGTCTTCTTAAGGTGGCAGTTGAAATTACATATAAATAAAAATTAAGAAAACAAATTAAGACATTTATTCTTGCTAAGAGTATCCTGAAAACTACAATTCCCAGCAGCTGATATGTTACCATCCTTGAATAGATCAAACAAAACATGCATAAATGTGGCTACAGATTATTTCTCTCTCAGACAAAATTAGGTGGAATCTCTTCAGCCCTGTATGAATGAGAGCCTGGACCTCCTTAAAAGCCTCTGCAACATGGCTGTCTGAATGAGTCAGAGACCCAAAAAAAGCAAGGACCACACACATAGCAATGCAGTCCAGAGCCACACACACACAATGAGACGCCCACACAGATGCAACTTCTATCTCAATAAATCAGAACCTTTCACTCGTTTGTGCAATCAGACGGGCGATCCGTTATTCTGGAGTGTTCTAAACAGAAAATCGGAGAGGAGGAAGAGTAGCAACTGTAAACCAACAGACACGTTATGTTTAGAGTAGACTTGCGTCAGAGCTGTTTCTGCTCCAAAGATTACAGGCATCAGCTTGGAAGCTGAGAGTTCCAGATTTTCACTGATCTGGTGCAGAAACAGAATGAGGTTAAGATGCTTTTGCTTTATAAATAGTTTGAGATGTTTTGGTGAGTTTACCACATGAATACCAACGTTTTTGAACATATTTCAAATTCAAACACAGCCTTATCAAAACAACGATGATTCCTTCTCCAGCCTAGAACACAGTTTTAGACACTAGTGTTGACTAAAGGCATACATACCCAGTAGTTAAATAATGGATATGTGTATTAGTGTGTTTTATTTATGATGTGTATGCATGCATTCACCAGCTTTAGAAAACAACGAAAAAAAGAACATTTCAGAAAACACACAATGCAAAACACCAAAATCATCTAAAAAATAACATTTCATAATGGGAAGTCAGGATTTAAACTGAATTCATCTATTTTCTATGACATTAAATTTGAAATGAGATGTCATTTACAGCTTTATTATTTTTATTTCAAACAAGCCAAACAGAAGCAGTTAAATGCTGCATCAATACTATGTAACTAGTCGTCCCCATCCCTCACGAGGTCTCTTTAGTCTCCATTTCCAGCTCAGAGGCTGATCAGCAGCTCTACTACAATTCTCATGCATCAGGTCTGCAGGTTTAGTGTGAAAAGCAGACTTCTTAACAGAGGGAAAATAAAAGCGAAGTGGTTAGAAACTTTGATACAAAGATAAACAAACACATTATTGGATAAATTCCCCAAAGAATGGTGGCAGCATCTATGTGGTGACTGAGTACTTTTAGTTGTTTAATTAAAAAAAAAGAGTTCTACAAAATATATTAAGGATAAAATCCCGTTTCATTTGATTACAATAACTGAAGGAATACTGTACATCTTTTTATACTCTTGGCATTTATGAGTACAAAAAAACAACAACCCCGAGTTGCATAACTGATGTTTGGGAAATGCAAGTCTGGTCCCTTTCCAGCAGGTGGCAGTTATGCTTCGAGTCTTAAAACTTGTCTCTGGGCAGGCAGTGTGTTTTCTTCTAGAATCCTGTAGGACCAAGAGAAGTGAGAATCTGGTCCTGGATCAGCTCCATGGGTCAGACCGATGCTTCTGGTTGTAGTTTTGCAGCTCGATTTGGTCTTTGATCTGATTTATCAGGATCTGAGACAAAAGGATGCCGACCAGCTGCCAAAACACAAAACAAAAAGGAAAGTGATCGTTCTGCTGCAGTGGGCAGTCAACATGCTGCCTATTTTACCTGTGGTGTAGCTAGTCCCAAAGCCACGCCTCCCAGTATGAACATGTTGCTGTGGATCCAGTCTACCAGTTTATCAATGCAGCCGTTAGTGTGGATGTGGTTTCCAGCTTCCAGGTACTCATGCTCTTGCATGCCCTGGCCACACATGGTGTTTATTACCTCCTGTACACACAGACATGTTCATCTAAAGCAACGGAAATCAGCAGAAACATCCCCAACCAGAGTCGAGAAGAAAGGTGACCTGATCTTTGGACATGATGCAGCAGGAGAAAGGGACAGAGCAGCGCTCTCGGCTCGGGTTGTCCTTGCTGCAGTTGAAGTACAGGTTCCGAGACCAGTCGGTGTACGTCACACCCCCACAGCACCCAAACTGAAGAACAAAGATGGGGCAACACGGCAAATGCGCTGATGCTCACGACGAGTAAAAAATGGACAACATGCGTGACTAAGTCTGTGTTAGAGACAAACGTTTACCTCTTTCTGGCCAAAGTCAATGAGGTTCTGTAGATCAATGTCATCTCTGTAGTGGACGATGGCATTGTTGACCATTTCAGTTACTTTATATCTTGCCTTGAGAGAACATTTTAGATAGTTAGACACAAATATTTAAACATCTTTCAATCCCCTTAACTCAGGCTAAAAAGATGGCTTGTTGCAAACTCTGATCTCTGTCTGTCTGTCTCTCTGTCCAATGCTTATTCAAGACTTATAATAATTAAAAGGTAACAGCGTTTCCTTCTTCCAGGTGAAAAATTCCACCAGAAGAAAATAACTAATTCAATATCAAAACTAAGCATTTTAAAGTCAGTGTTTTCATGGCATGAATTGTGTTGATTATGGCTGCATGAACTAAAAACAACATTTCACAAAAGTATTATGCATGTGGAGTCATGTAAATATCACTGTCTTAGATATACATTTTAGTGTCTCCTAACATTTAGTTTTAACCACGTAGACAGATCTCTACATGTGTTTGTTGTTAGCGATCTATTAACAGTTGATGTTTTGACTACTGTGGCACATCACATTCGTTTGTTTTGATGCAGTTATTAGGTACTCAGTGAAAACCTGATAGAAATGAACCTAACTCTAACTCACATAGATAAATACAGAAATAAAACATTATTCATATCGAAGATAAGGGATGTTGGTCCAACAAAGTAGTCCCATTAACAAACAAAGAAAACACATCTAAATCATGCAAAAACAACAACAACAACCCACTACAAGCTGTAGTGGGTTGTTGTCTGCAGCTGCAACATAGAGGCTTTAAGCTGCAATGGCAAATGTGGAAAACAAATTAGCTTAAATCATTTTTGTTATACTTCTTAACGACATTCTAACATGGTATAGCTATATACACTCACCTAAAGGATTATTAGGAACACTAATACTAATATGAATGCTAGTACGGTGTTTGACCCCCTTTCACCTTTGTGGCGTTGATTCAACACGGTGCTGAAAGCATTCTGTAGAAATGTTGGCCCATATTGATAGGATAGCATCTTGCAGTTGATGGAGATTTGTGGGATGCACATCCAGGGCACGAAGCTCCCGTTCCACCACATCCCAAAGATGCTCTATCGGGTTGAGATCTGGTGACTGTGGGGGCCGTTGTAGTACAGTGAACTCATTGTCATGTTCAAGAAACCAACTTGAAATGATTGGAGCTTTATGACATGTTGCATTATCCTGCTGGAAGTAGCCATCAGAGGATGGGTACATGGTGGTCATGAAGGGATGGACATGGTCAGAAACATTGCTCAGGTAGCCCGTGGCATCTAAACAATGCCCAATCGGCACTAAGGGGCCTAAAGTAAACATCCCCCACACCATTACACCACCACCAGCCTGCACAGTGGTAACAAGGCATGATGGATCCATGTTCTTATTCTGTTTACACCAAATTCTGACTCTACCATTTGAACGTCTCAACAGAAATTGAGACTCATCAGACCAGGCAACATTTTTCAGTCTTCAACTGTCCAGTTTTAGTGAGCTGGTGCAAATTGTAGCCTCTTTTTCCTATTTGTAGTGGAGATGAGTGGTACCCGGTGGGGTCTTCTGCTGTTGTAGCCCTTCCGTCTCAAGGCTGTTTGTGTTGTGGCTTCACAAATGCTTTGCTGCATTCCTCGGTTGTAACGAGTGGTTATTTAAGTCAAAGTTCCTCTTCCATCAGCTTGAATCAGTCGGCCCATTCTCCTCTGACCTCTAGCATCAACAAGGCATTTTGGCCCACAGGACTGCTGCATACTGGATGTTTTTTCCTTCTCACACCATTCATTGTAAACCCTAGAAATGGTTGTGGGTGAAAATCCCAGTAACTGATCAGATGGTCAAATACTCAGACCGGCCCGTCTGGCACCAACAACCATGCCACGCTCAAAATTGCTTAAATCACCTTTCTTTCCCATTCTGACCTTCAGTTTGGAGTTCAGGAGATTGTCATGACTAGGACCACACCCCTAAATGCATTGAAGCAACTGCCATGTGATTGGTTGATTAGATAATTGCATTAAGGAGAAGCTGGACAGGTGTTCCTAATGATCCTTTAGGCGAGTGTACATACAGTCAGGTCCATAAATATTGGGACATCGACACAATGCTAACATTTTTGGCTCTGTACACCACCACAATGGATATCAAATGAAACAAACAAGATGTGCTTTAACTGCAGACTTTTAGCTTTTATTTGAGAGTATTTACATCCAAATCAGGTGAACGATGTAGGAATTACAACAGTTTCCATATGTGTCCCCCACTTGTTAAGGGACCAAAAGCAATGGGACAATTGGCTTCTCAGCTGTTCCATGGCCAGTTGTGTGTTATTCCCTCATTATCCCAATTACAATGAGCAGATAAAAGGTCCAGAGTTCATTTCAGGTGTGCTATTTGCATTTGGAATCTGTTGCTGTCAACTGTCAAGATGAGATCCAAAGAGCTGTCACATCATTAGGCTGAAAAAACAAAAGAAACCTATCAGAGAGATAGCAAAAACATTAGGCGTGGCCAAAACAACAGTTTGGAACATTCTCAAAAGAAGGAACGCACCGGTGAGCTCAGCAACACCAAAAGACCCGGAAGACCACGGAAAACAACTGTGGTGGATGACCGAAGAATCCTTTCCCTGGTGAAGAAAACTCCCTTCACAACAGTTGACCAGATCAAGAACACTCTCCAGGAGGTGGGTGTATCTGTGTCAAATTCAACAATCAAGAGAAGACTCCACTAGTGTGAATACAAAGGGTTCACCACAAGATGTAAACCATTGGTGAGCCCCAAAAACAGGAAGGCCAGATTAGAGTTTGCCAAACAACATCTAAAAAAGCCTTCACAGTTCTGGAACAACATCCTATGGACAGATGAGACCAAGATCAACTTGTACCAGAGTGATGGGAAGAGAAGTGTATGGAGATGGAAAGGAACTGCTCATGATCCTAAGCATACCACCTCATCAGTGAAGCATGGTGCTGGAAGTGTCATGGCGTGGGCATGTATGGCTGCCAGTGGAACTGGTTCTCTTGTATTTATTGATGATGTGACTGCAGACAAAAGCAGCACGATGAATTCTGAAATGTTTCGGGCAATATTATCTGCTCATATTCAGCCAAATGCCTCAGAACTCATTGGACGGCGCTTCACAGTGCAGATGGACAATGACCCAAAGCATACTGCAAAAGCAACCAAAGAGTTTTTGAAGGGAAAGAAGTGGACTGTTTTGCAATGGCCAAGTCATTCACCTGACCTGAATCCGATTGAGCATGCATTTCACTTGCTGAAGACAAAACTGAAGGGAAAATGCCCCAGGAACAAGCAGGAACTGAAGACTGTTGCAGTAGAGGCCTGGCAGAGCATCACCAGGGATGAAACCCAACGTCTGGTGATGTCTGTGTGTTCCAGACTTCAGGCTGTAATTGACTGCAAAGGATTTGCAACCAAGTATTGAAATGTATAAGTTTGATTTATGGTTTTTATTCTGTCCCATTACTTTTGGTCCCTTAACAAGTGGGAGGCACATATGCAAACTGTTGTAATTCCTACACCGTTCACTTGATTTGGATGTAAATACCCTCAAATAAAAGCCGACAGTCTGCAGTTAAAGCACATCTTGTTCATTTCATTTGATATCCATTGTGGTGGTGTATAGAGCCAAAAATGTTGGCATTGTGTCGATGTCCCAATATTTATGGACCTGACTGTATATTGTAGAGATAAAATGTGTATATATATATATATATATATATATATATATATATATATATATATATATATATATATATATATATATATATATATATATATATATATAATTGTCCATATTTCCACATTTTGCCTGGGTCCTCCTCTCATTGCACACTCACGTATTTAGCAACAGAACACCACTGGTGTGAGAGGTTCTCCACTCAACAACATCAGAGAAGGTGAAACAGCCGGCTGCTACCACTTCAACTTTAGGACCAACGACCAAAGTCCAACAAAGAAAAACACCATTTAAAGCCACGAACAACAATAGATGTTTGGTCCTAGAAAACTATGGCATGTCTGGTTTTTAGCGCGGTCCTATTTCCTCTTGAAATGTAGGTTTCAGGTTCTGGAAGAAGCGTCTTAGGGAAGATACCCAAGGGGAGGGGTGAGAGTTCCGTGACCGTGTTTGCGTTCAAAACCTAGCTTGTTGTGTAAATTCGCTAAAGCAGCTTTAAGATGTTGTTTAAATTTGATATTTGAGTAATCTTAAAACTCTGCCTTTAAACAGTTTTTTTACACAAAAAAATGAATAGATGTGATTACCTTATCTGAGAATATGAAGCCCATAATTCCAGCAGCAAGCTGCAGCATGAAGATAGCTATCAGAGAAATGCAGAACTAGGACAGAAAGTCGTTGTTACACTGTGTGCATTACATTTCAAACCATTTTTTCTTTAATTTAAATAGTATTTCATGATTGTCTGTTTTTCTTGTACAACTAGAGGCCAGACACAAGAGCATGTTTACAGAACTTCCCCACTTACTGTTTGCAGGAGGCAGATGTTTTCTCGTAAGGAGCCCACGCAGCCGCAGAAGGTGATAATGAACATCAAGACTCCCACAACCATCAGCATCATGGCAGGATCCACTGACAAACAAGCCAGAGCGGTTTCTGAAACAGAAACATTGAAATGATTGGCAGTGGTTACTCCTCTCAAGAAAAAGGACAAAAAATAAAATAAAATACAATCCTGGCCTGACTGTCATTTACCAGCATGCTTTGTCAGGCGGGCGAACACGCCGATCGAAACCATCACCAGAGAGATTATCTAGAAGAAGCAGAAACGTTTTACCTGATGTGAGAAGTGAATAAGGCAGGAATGATGCTCTTCTGAGCTGCAAAACCAAATCTTCCTTGTTTGAACTTGTAAACGGAGTGGAATCCTCCTCCCCACCATGCGTTAAAAACATGCCCAGTGGGGATGTGTGAGCCACACGTTTTACCAAAAGACCTAGATTATCGTGTTGAAATTCAGTCTGAGTCCACTTAACCTTTCATTTTAATGATTACATTTCCCATTTAACTAAATCAGCCAGACTGTAATCCTTTTCTGTTTGAAAATAAAGACAATTTCAGTCAGCTCCAGTCAAAGGAAGGTCCTGGAAACCCTGAATGGAACAGATCCAGTTACCACAAACACTGCACCCTCATGAGATGGAAGGGAAAAGCTGGATTACAAAGTTTCTAGTTTCACTCTGAATCAACCAGACTTGACACCTGGAGTATTTGGGTTCACAAAGTCTTGAAAAACACTGAGCTAGATCTTTAGCTGGTAGATTAATAATCAACAGAAACAAACAACACAAAATTTTAAAGGAAAATGTAAACAAAAGGCACATGACTGCAATAATAAATTTCTTTAATGAACCTAATGGCCAGAGGAAAATGTCAAAGCACATTCCACAAAGCGTCAGGTGTTTAGCCTGGTCTTGTTTGTACAAGTCATGCTTACTCATATTGCTGAACATGGAAAAACAAAACAATGAAAGACCATCCCTTTAAGATCCTGTCTCAGAAACTTTTTTGCAGGATTTTTTGCACAGAAGCCTAAAAACGTCAGCAGCAGGTTTAATCTGTAGCTAGAATTCAGCTCTAAAAATGCAAACAGAAACTGGTCACCTGACACTGAAACCCTCTTATATGAACTTTGCTTTCTTAACAACTCACTGCAGGTTTTTCTCAGTTGCAGCTGAATTATGTTGCATTTAAATTAGAAAGCTGGAGGCAAACACCCTTTCTGATGACCTGATACAGAAAGAAAAACTATTAAATCTCATCTTGTCAAACAAATGCATTGACATGAATGAATCAAACAAATTGTAGCAAAAGCTGGAAATAAACCCTGTTTAAGTCTAATTCCCTATTTTCATGAATCATAAATTATTGCGCATAAAGAAAAACAACCCAACCAATAGGTGGTTCGGCTACTCACCCAGAAAATAAAATTAAAAATAAACAGCAGGTACTTCACAACTGGACTAACATATGTGAAAGCCTCGCTGGATACAGGTGTGCCTCTGCGTTTAACTTCCATGACGATAGAGCGCGTTATCCTCGTATGCGTAAAGGCCAGAAGTAAGCGGGGAAAGCGCGTTCCTGAAAGTCAAACCTCGCAGGTCCCGTCAGCATGATGATGACTGATATTAGTTTGCTGTAACCGCAGCCAGGTAGCCTGCAGGAACTCATGAGCACCAACTGGGCGTGTGGGTGTTACCATTTGTGTCAGGTGATCATGCTGTGCGCAACTTGCAGGCGCTCCCAAACCTTCTCCAAGTAGTTTTTTTTCCATACTTGTATGAAATAGGTGTGATCCCCCAAAACAAAACAATGAACTCTAATTTACAAGCACTTTATTTTAAGATCTTCCGTGAATGTGTTTTTTGCTTGTTTTTACGAGTTTAGTTGAGAGGAATCTTCACTTTATTTTTAGCCGAAATAACAGAAAAAGATTTGCAATGCATTAAAATATTTTAGACTATTTAGTTAGTGATGAGCTTGGTGCACATTTTCATATCAATCTGCAAAACTATTTATGGAACAAATAAACACTTACATTGATGTTTTCTATTCAAATAAGTTCTATTAACTATTATTAAATACCAGAATTGTTGATATATTCTCAAAATTGAAATTTAAAGTAAAAAACCCACACCGACTTTTATTTTGAAGGAAGACGCAAAACACACGTACGTGTGACGTTGACTGCTTACCCGAAAGTGTTTTTTTTTTAGCTCAGGAAGAAACGTATTTGAGCAAATTTGCTGTCTGTTTAATCATCTATGAGCGATATTATGGCGCGAAACAGCAAAGGTTTGTGTAACAGTTTATTTAACTGTATGTATGTTTCTGTGCTTTGTTTATTTTGTAGAAAAATAATTCCTAAGCTAACGTTAGCTAATCTTTTGTACTGTGTTGGGAGGTTACCTGAAGCCAAATCAGCTACAAATGGCTGTAGTAAACACTTGTAGGATAACTTTTATTATTATTCATTCCCCGGGTTTGTCTGCAGACTCTCTTCTACCTCCAGCCTCCTTACAGCTGCTTGTCCCTCCTGTAAGACTCATGTCAGCCTTTATGTGGAAAGTGGTGCTGCAGGATGATGGGGTGAAACAGTATAACCATCTGCTGGACCTCATCAGTTTGACAACAGAGATTGTCCCGGAGGTCCTCGGTCCCAGCCAGAAGGCTCAGCTCATCCTGGGCCTGAGAGCTAAGGTAAGGAATGCTGCACCACCTAATTATAATCAAAGCAAATGCATATGTTTAGCATTCTGGTTATGTTACAGCTATTGTCTGAAACAGTGTAAAACACAAATGTCAGCTTCATCTGCTTAAATGAAACCGTGATATGATTAGCCAAGCTCGCGTTATCAAATCTCAACATATTGTGGAGAAACAAGGAAGCTGAACTTGGGTCCGTTTTTAAACTTCCTATTCTGAGAAGGGGAGTTCCTACTCATTTTTCCAGTCCATGAGCGTATTTAATCAGCTCTGTTTAAACTAGATTATTCCATTTATTTATTCTTAACAAGAACCAAAAGAACTGAGCACAGCACTCCTGTTCTTAAATCTCTATACTGGTTACCTATAAACGACAGAATCGATTTCAAAGTGCTTCTACTAGTGTATAAATAACTCAGTGGCATGGAGTACATGTCGGATCTCCTTCCTGTATGTACGCCCAGCAGGACTCTGAGATCCATAGGAAACAGTCAGCTGGTAGAACCTCAAGTCAGAACCAAACAGGGTGGAGCTGCTTTTAGCTACTATGATGGAATCGGATTCCTCATGACCTCAACTGTGCCCCAACTCTAGTAACGTTTAAATAAAAATTGAAAACCTTCATGTTTTTATCAGCTTTTGAATAAATGTTCTTATGCTGCACCTTCTGCACTGTAACTGCTCACCCTTTAACTTTGCCTTTGTTTCTTTTTAATTTTTAAATGATATTTTCTGTCACGTTTATTGTAATGTTCTTTCTACCTGGAAAGCACATTGAATTGCCTCTGTGTATGAAGTGTGCTATATAAATAAAGCTGCCTCGCCTTGCCTATACGCTGCCCCAGCTGGTTCTGGAGCTGTGTCGTGGTGATGGTGTTGCAAACCTGAAGACCATTCAAGACCACCTGGATAAAATCCATGTCTGCTGTGTTGAACTAAGCAACAGTGGTCAAATGGTGAGGATGTAAAAAGCCTTACAACACGGTTCACCCACAAAAAAATACCGAATTCTATAACTACTTATGTACTTATGTACTTTTGACAGGATAGTTCTGATATTCTGAAGACATCTTATAGCAACTTTGCCAACCTGGTGCAGAGCATTTTAAATGTCCCCTCGGAAAAGGAGTTCTTCTTCAAAGTGAGTCTGCAAAGAGAATGCTTTGTGTGTCCTAAAGCTGCTTTACTGAGTCTGCAGAACAAGCTGGCTTTTAAATACAGACATATGGGGACGCTCATCGCCACAGTACACTAGAGAGCACTAAACACCAGTTGCAGTTTTTTATGTCCAAACGAAATTATGTTTTTCTTTTTGGGACTCTGGTAGTTTGTCCTGACGTTGAAATGGTAGCAGCCAGATTTTTCTCTTTCTCTGACATTATTGAGAGGAGAACCTCTCACACCAGTGGTGTTCTGTTGCAAAATGTGCAAGTCCGTAATGAGAGGAGGACCCAGGTAAATGCAGAGATGTGGTGGTTCAGTGAGATGGACAACTGGATGGTCCAGTCATTGACTTTGGGCTGCATCGTGTTATTGGCTGAGGTTTTTAGACAAATGCAAGATAACCACTTTATTGTTATTATTATTATTTTTATCTTGAAAAAAATGTATGGCTACACTATGTAAGAATGCTGTTAACTCATTTACTGCCTGCTGTTTCCTGATCAGAAAGCCCCTGACTGCCAATGTTTTTGGGTCACAGAAGATTGCGCTCTATGATGTCAACGCCAAAACTACCAAAACAAAGAGTAGACTCACTTCTTACATCAGGAAGAACCCGCGTGTTTCTAGTGTTATCCGTTCTTCCATCATCCGTCGTCGAATTGTGAGCCTCAGAAGCTTTTCCGGTTCATGCGTAGCTTTTTTCACAGCAGCGTCCCAAAACAGTCTAACACATGGATTTTCCACTTCCTGATCAAGTGACGTGTGACATACGTGGATGAAGATCAGCTTTAGAAACGTGATGATTATTTTCATGGCGTGGTGGCTCGTTCCAAATGCCTGCCCCGTAAAAAAATGCAGTTGATGACTTCAGTCGTCTATGGCAGCGAGCGGTTGGATTTAAAATGACGACTTTTGTCATGAATAGCAGTAAAGGAGTTAAGATGCATTAAAACATTTGAAGCTAGCTTGTTTTGCAGATTTGGCATTGTACCTTTTAAGGCAAGCAGATTAGTTTCTCTTTGATGAAAACAAGTAAAAGCAGCAGTGCTGTTTACTTGGAACGTAGACATGGAAGACATAGAAGTTTTAGTAAACCTTTTCTTTGAATACAGAGCTCTGAAATCATACTTGCTCCGTGTTTAGAAATTCTGGAAACATTTTTAAGTGGTAAAGGTACAACAAGAAAGAATTTTACAGTGTAATGATCACAAAACATTTGAATATTTCAAACATGTTGGAAGGAAGGTTACATTGAAACAGATTCCTTTCTCAGCCGGCTGGGGGGTTGTCTTTGTTTACAATCAGTGAGCCTGCAGATTTGCCAAGTCTGCGCCATCTAAAGCTGCTGAGCTGGTGTTTGGCAACAACCGGTAAAAAGCTCCAGAGTATGTTAGCTCGGAAGTTGTTTCTTGTACCCCCAAGAAGCCACAACATCCTTTTGTTTCACTCTAACATCAGGTGAAGCAGGCTAGAGGCTCACATTGAGCTAAAAATGCTAACAATGAATTAGAAACAAGTAGTCGGCACTAAAAATATGTCAAGCAACTTTTTCACTTATCAACAACTCAATTTTAAAGTGAAATGTGTTTATTTTTTTTTATTGCTCTGTGTATGACTCGTCTTTGCTTGTCATCTAGAATCTTCTGCCGCTGATCTGTAACTGGCAACAGCCATGAAACTCAGAACGAGAGGGAGAGTGTCACTCGTTTGTTTTGAAACCTGGACTGCAGTACCCAGATTTGACCACAGGATGTCATTCTTACTTCATGCCCTTTTAAAATCTGACTCTCTCTGACTGTAGCAAGTTTTTCCTGAGAACTACGGTTCTGCCTTTAACCAAAGGATCCAGCAGCTTGTATCGCTGTTTCTATCCAGAATGGAGGAGCTGCTGCCCATACCAAACCTGCAGCAGGTACTTCAGCAGATAACACAAAATCAGACTTGCCAACCTGTATGCGTTTTGTGTAGTCAGTACGCAATTTGGCATCTATTTACGCTGGTACGACTCACCCCTCTAAACCAAGAAAAAAACTGCGGATACGTGAGTTGAGTTCTGTATCGAATACGCACATGTGGTACTCATGTCTGACAACACGACTCAGCGGCGTGCGTGCCAGCGGGCCGGACCAGCAGTCTTTTGGTGAATGTGAACGCGTAACGTTACTTTCACTGATGAATATTCAAGCCGAAATCTGAATGAAAAAAATAAAACATCTGCGACTAAAGAGAAAGAGGCAGCTGTGTGTGTGTGTGTGTGTGTGTGTGCATTTTAGCCTTTATGTTTTTTTTACACGGTTGGCAGGTCTGCAAAATGTTCTGCTTTGAGGTCTGTGTGTTCCAGTGAGCAGTGTGCATGTTTTTTATGTTTCAGACAGCTCTTTGGCTCTCCGAATCATTTGGTTCTGAAGAGTTTGCACATTACCTGACGGAACCATTTCCCCTTAAGACTCTGCTGCTTCATCACAGAGCGTTGGGGACTCTCAGTTCAGGTAAGACAAACCGTTTTATTGTAATTTATCCAAAAGTGACTCCGGTCTGTAAAACTTTCCTGTCTCTTAGCTTGTTCAAGTAATGAAGAGGACGTCATTCTTTCCACGCTGGCCATCTCGAATCAAACTGAACACCTTATTCAGGTCGATGCTAATAAATATGACAGCGAGGTCGAGATCCTTGCGCTGGAAGATTTGGAAGAAGACTTAAGCTATGGCACGGATAACTCAGATGATTGGATGCAAAAAAACAAATCAGGTCAGTAGATCGGGAATTCTTTGAATTCAGGCTGTTTTAGCTCACGACACTGGTCTGTGTTTTCTCTCATGTTTAGATTCCCTGTCTCCCTTAGATCAGGTGAGCAAGAGTCCAAGCAAACGGCGTGAACAGAAGACTGTTCAAGAGCACAAGTGTGAGCGTCACAAGACGGCTCCTAGTCGGAAAAATAAATCTGTGAAAAAAATAATAACCAAGACTTTGCGAAAAAGCCCAGCCTCGAACACTAAAGATAAGAATCGAGATGTTGAAACAAAGAGTCGGAGGAGAGGCAAACAGAAGGAAAGTGTTGTAAAAAAGAATGACCAGGAGAGGAAGGACAGCTCGAAAAAGAAAAATCAAAAAAAGCCAACAGGGGAGGATAAAAGGTTTCTGAGCACACGACCTGTGATCAAAAACTTCACAGAGGAGGACATTAAATGTGCCACCTGTGAAAAGGTCTTTGAACACCCTAATCAGCTGAGGAACCACACGAAGCTGCACAGCTTCCAATTTATTTGCATCCAGTGTGAGAAGGGGTACCAGAGCCAGTCAAGGCTTTATCATCATCAGAGGCTTCACAATAAAAGCCGGAAAGTGACGTGTAAACAATGCAACAAAGGATTCTCGTGCAGCAAATCTCTCGAGCAGCATGAATGTCTGCAAGATGGTCCCACCAACATCTGCAGCATCTGTGATAAAAACTTTAGCAAAAGCGGCTTTCTAAGACACATGCAGATGCACAGAGGGGAGAGGAATTTCCTCTGCACCACCTGCGGAAAGACGTTTTTGTCCTCGGGGGAGCTGGTGCTGCACAATCGGACCCACACAGGTGAGCTGCCGTACACCTGCGTGCACTGCGGGAAAGGTTTCTCCTGCAAAAGTCACCAAATCGTCCACATGCGTTCCCACACCGGAGAGCGCCCGTACCTTTGCTCCGAGTGCCCGAAACGTTTCCTCACCCTGAACTGTCTCAAGAGACACACACTCAGCCACAACGGCGTGAAACCCTTTAAGTGTGCGAAGTGTGAGAGAGAATTCTCCCAGCAGGGGAATTTGAAAAGACACATGGTGGTTCATAAAAATGACACATGATGTGTCCATCATCAGGAAAACCTCATCTGGTCACAGATGTTGACTTTTATTTTAGTAAAAAAATTTTTTAATGGAAAAAGTGTTTTCAAAAGTTTGGACATGTTCTCTATGTAAAGTGGATTTACTGGTTGTTCTAGTTTTGTCTTGTCAGTAGAATAAATTCTCTATTTTCTTCTTATTTCACGTCTCATTGTCTTCATCCTGCCATTAAATTGGTCGAAGAATTGTGACAGGCAGCAGAGCTGTGAGTTTGAAACTGTTCCAAACCTTAAAAAAAATCCCTCCTCTGGTTGGGACACATCTTTGAGCCACGTAACAAAACACATAATACACACAATTCTCACTGACGTAGCTTAGCAATGTTAGAAATGAGTTTTTGTATGAATTTCAGATTAGATTTGATAAAAATTGCAGAAATCTTTTGAAAACCAAATTTCTCTGCTGTATTTTGGCTTTTATTATTTAAAGTCTGACGTTTTAAAATGTATGTACATTTCACAAGTACTAACATATTTTGTTGATTCTGAAAGACTAAATTCCTCCAACCAGCAGGGGTCAGTAGTACTTCAGTGTAAAAGGTGTCAGAAGCTGGAGAACACTGAAAAACACAACTGTAGGAAATGCAATTTATTTGCAATTTTTTAATAACATCATTCCTCAGATAAAAATGCAATGTTACAGGAATATACATCAGATATTAATTTAAAACTTGCTTTCAAGGGACCATACAGTCTAAATATACTTTTTCCTTTTTTATTTACTGGTAGCGTGCGTTATAAGCAAGACAGACTCTGTCACCAATGACAGACTGACAAGTTACAGATACAAACTGTACATGACTTATTTACAAATCAAGTTTTTTTAAACATTTTTTATTTCACTTTTTATAGAAAATAGGAGTAGAAAAAGTGATTGAATTAATATTCTGATTTTTGTATTCTTAAATGAATGAAGAGGTGAAAGGAAATAAAACAAGAATTCTCTTAGAAAAAGAAAAAAGAAAAAAAAAGGGGTGTCCAACAAGAGGCCATGGCCCAGTCCCAAAACGCGCACGGCACCCTACGGTCCTCAGCGAAGTGCACTTGGAGGAAGTGCGCAGTACACAAGTGTGCAAATGATTGCCAAATTGAGACGGTGAGCATCGACCGCGACGCACGTCGGCCGCTGGTTGTGCTGCGTGTTTAAAAATCTATCAACTTTCAAAACAAACAATTATTTGATAAAATTTGCATTTATTGCTGTCCATATTAAATCTTAGTCTAAAACATTCAGAGTGTGGATAAATATCACTAATCCTCTTAAAAGGAACTTCTTTCATTTTGGGTAAAAGAGGAATTGATAAAAATTTGGTTCTAATATTGAAGATTTTATTCTCCATAAACGATCATGTTTTGTTTTTTCCTGACCAGAAGGGGAAAATTTCCCTTTCATTTTTAATCTGGGTTGACTCTGCCATTTGTGAAAATGTGCTGGACGATGACTGGCATGTCGTGTCCTAAAATACACACCAGCCATCAGTTAACAATGTTTATCAACAGACATGTAATGCATCTTTCAACAGAGAAACATTTGACTGCAATCATAAAGGTACACAATAATAAAATATTCATTATTTTGACAAATATACTTGAAAATACATATTTTGAGATAAAGCACTTGAGCCATTGCTCTGCCTTCTCAAAATATCCACACAATGGATTATGGGTAATAGCGATCAAGGGTGCAAAGTTCCGCATTTGAGAATCGGGACACCCTACAAACTCAGGAACGTGCAATTGAGTGGTGAAAGGGGGGACGTGCGAGTATTGCGACTGGGCCCATGCAGTCCTAACTACACCGGGGAGAAAAAACCGAGGAAACCAAATGGTGCTGGGCCAGTGTCACTAAGCAACCTTGGGACCAATGAAATCCTCCCTGCTGTGGAGGGGGTGTGGCTTATGTTTAAAAACTCAAGTTACAAATGGCCACCTGCCTCCAAAGCTACTGCAAGCACAATGACACACTTATTCTTTATTTAGACCATAAATAGTGCTGTTATTCAATAGTACATGTAACAGTAGCGCCATTACTAATATTACAACAGGTTGGTCTCTGTGAACATCTCCCACCTTAAAATAGGATCAACAGCAAACCTTTTGAGACGCACATGAACAAAAACGAGCTGCTCAGTCCTGTCTGGAATGACCATAATGGACGCGACTGTAAGACACTGCTGATGATGGGAGAGCAGACACACACGCACGCACGGCTCGGTCATCCAGGAAGAGAGAAAAAAAAGCTGCTGCATAAAAACCACAACTCATGAGGATGCTGTCAGTGTTTAAAGCTTCATTTACACACACAAACACACACACACAATTATTTTTGACTCTTTGTGCTCTAAAAGGCAAAAAAAAAACACTTTTGGATCAAGTTTGGCAGAAATCTGTGACAGCAAATAATTAAGTCGTTTTGAGTGTATGGTGGTCAAGTTAGCTAGCTAATGCATGTAAAAAAAAGGTCTCAATTCTTCTCAGGCGTCAGTAAGAGCATCCTTGTGTCCTACATTCACTTATTGACTAGATACATTTATCATTCGTGATGCTACGGTAGCTCTTATGTGTGAAATCAGAGATGAGAAGCAAGCAGAAACACTCATAGTTCCTAGAGGACACTGCTGCCTTTTTTCGGGGCTCTAATTATTGAATTAAATTCCAAAACTCCCACTCTGATGGATGCATTCATTAAAGGAGGATTTGGATTCTTCTTTGGGAAAAAAATCTGTCTTGGTGTCAGCCTTATTAGAAGTCTGATGCAGGGATTTATCGTCATTCTTGCATAACCTCCTTAAACATCCTAAGCATTCACACAAAGGTGCTTATGCGTGTTCTGCTACACAATCCGTTGCTAATCTATACTGGTTCAAACTGGGAAAGCAAATCTATTCTGAGTCCCAGTAAAAGGGAGATCTCCAGAGTTTCCCCAATGAAAAAGCCAATTAAGTGGGATAGTTTATTGTAAACACTCAACAGGATGTATGAACTGAGCGATAGACATAACACTGATTAACTTGACGAGCATCCTCCTGATGCAGACGGCTGGAATGAACTGCTGCTGCCCTCATCATGCAGCTGGATCTGTGTTTAGTTTTATTAAAGTTACGCTTTTTCACAGAATCAAATTTTACACAAAGTAAACTCACCAGGAAATATCTGTCAACATAACGGAAGTAGCCTGTCGGTGATAAAACTAGGAAAATATTTGTCCTTTTTTGTAAAAATGCCGGAACAACTCAGGAGTTTTAAATTACCGGTAATTAGGATCTTCATACTTCTTCTTTAATAATCTGTAACATCCTGCACCATCATATATCGTATATCATTCATATTTAGATATATTTCAATGATTTCATATCTAAAATAAACAATAGCTTTTTTATAATCTTGTTTTTATATTTAATAATATATTTGACCTCTTACGTTCTGTCCTGTCTGAAAGCCCTTATCGTTAACATCATCAAAATATCTGTACAACAGAAAAAACAGTGTTTTAGTTAGATTTCTCCATCAACAGGCTAATCCAACATCACCTAGAAAAGATAATAAAATCTCTATTCAAAATAGTAATCTTTAAATATTTGTTGTCAGGATTAAACACAAGCCTTTTAAACACATTGACATGAAAATATAACGAACTTCTTTTGCAACATTGTTAAAACCTTCACGAGGAGATCTGAGGAAAAAGCTCTCCAACAATGGAAACACAACTCGTGTTTGGTTCGTATTAAACGACAACTGCAGTACTTTTTTATGGTGTGTGTGTGAGCATGTGTGTTTATGCTGACGTGTTCAGATCTAGCGGTCATGTTCTCCATAATCATTTTAACTACTTTTGATGCACCTTTACTGACAAAATACACAAACTATGACAAATTTTGGATCAAGCTTTGCCACAAGAAGTTCTGGTGAAAGTTAAATTCCCAAACTAAATCCAACACGTTTTTGCATAAACATGGAAAACACACAGAAGTCCTCAAACGGCCACGTTCCTATGTCTCTGGAGTGTTTCATGTAACCAGTACCGTCAGGCTCAACTTCTCAAAAACAGACTGGCCAAACATACATCTAAACTACTTTTTTTTTTGCGTCCTAGTCTGCAAAAAAGGCAGATGAATTAAATTCTCTACACAAATGTAGTTCAAGTCCTCCAAATTCATTCTTGGAAGAAAAAAACATAGAAGCTACAATAATTTAATGATTCAAAACAAACGGAAACCTAGTCCTTTGGAGGTGTTTTTGTTTTGTTTCTTTATTTACTTTTTTGGCATGTTGCTAGGATAACGTGTTGCTGATGTTGGACTACTCAGAGAGAGAGGGAGGAGCCTCTCAGTGCTACAGTATGACCAGACCCTGACCTGAGCTGGCAGGCTGATGGTTGGCTGACTTGTTTAAGACGTCTTCACAAAACATAAAAAAAGCAAAAGCATGACAGATTCCCATTCAACATTTGTCCTCAATCATTATTTATCAGCTTTGAGCAAAGGGCCTCTTTTTCCTGGAGTTACAGCACTGAAATAGAATAAAAACAGATTTAAATGATTTCTATTCGCTGCAAATGATCCAAATACCGGTAGTTCCTATATGTAATAATCCCATTAAATCCCATGTGCTGAAACAAAGACCGCTTTTCTTCAGTAGGAACTCGTTTCATTTGGTCTGCATTACAGGTAAAGTGGGACGTTAAAAATAATTACCCAATATAACTACATTCCCATAAAAGTGACCTGCTTGTTCTTCGTTCTGACATTCTGGTGATTAAATATTCTATATTTGTAAACATTTTGCCATATATAGTATATAAAAATATACAATCATAAGCTAGTGGTGAGACAACGGAAATAATCAGTTATTTAGGACTTATAGGACTTTATATCTCTAGAGAGGGAAATCCATGCACTTGGAACATTACTGGAATATATAATTCATCATGTCAGAACTCAAACCACCCTAACATGATGCAAAAAAACTACAATCATCTCAAATACTTTTCATTTAGTCTTCTTTAGGCTAAAGACTTCTTATACTGTCATCAACTGTTGCCTTGATTGTCATTTGATAATGAAAATAATAATACAAGTTTCCATAATCTGTCTGTGCTGCAGATGGGGAGATTTTAGTTGAATTTGCTGTGAGTGAGATGCAACCTGCAGCTTATCTGGCTTGTTAGAAATATATGAGGACAAAAAAGAGTGACTTGTGAACGCACGTGTGGATGTCTAATGTAACAGCAGCTCCACAGCAGCAACCTGATGCTAACTGGACACAAAAACAAAGTCAAGCCATGGTTAGAGTTGGTAGGGATACGTCTGTAGGCCCAGGAAGTGATCAAACTAGCCCGTCAAAGAAATTCTTAAAAACAAGGTGTAGATGAGGTGTTTTGAGAATAAAGTTTTAGCATTTTGGTCTTTGGAATGATTTCTAATCGTTTATCTTCCCGTCAGAAAGAGGAAAGAAATAAAGACAAAGTGATGAGTAAGAACTCGGCAACATACAGCACCTGCTGAAACATGGGAGGAAATGTACTCTAGCGTCTTATTTTTCTGATAATCTTGCCTGTCCTCAGATTTGATGAACTGAAAAAGAATGGGAGGCCATAAGACACAAGATATGCAAAATCTTCATCTGTAAAGAGTCAAATAATTACAAAGAGAAGAAATACTGACATTAATCAAGTATGTACACAAACTAGAAAAAGCTATACTGTAAAAAAGTGTGATTTGATTTTTTAACCTAATTGGAACGGAACAGCCAAAAAACTGGAATGCTCAATCAACACGTCAGCTGCATTCAAATCTGATGAGGATCCACCCACTGAGGTCATTAGTATAACTGGAAAATATAAATCACCGTAAAAGGATGTGGTCAAATACACCAGACAGGGAGACAGAATTAGTTGGTTTTGCTGTTCATTTACACAGATAATAATAACAATAACAAAAAGACACATTTTCTCACTGTAAAAAAAAAAAAAAAAACTCCACTGGTTTTTGGCTTCTGTCTCATTCAACATGCTGACCATCATCCAAATAAATACGTCTTTACCAGACAGCACTGGTACGTACCTGATTTCAAGTATGTCTTTTGGAGTTCACTTTAACTATAACGAACAGTAATCTTCATAATGCTGACTCTCTGTCTTTTATACAATACTCTCACAAGAACCTTTCATACAGTCATGGTTATTGCATTGTTTTTGCATATCTTGTGGGTGGCAGGATAATACCCACTCATCAGTATCAATAGCACACGACACGCCAAAGTTAATGCTAACCCACAAACCACATAGACTGCAATGCTGCACGGCTTTTAAACGGGGACACCACAGGGCTTTGAATCTCTCTCTACAGTGATAAAAGATGGGAAGCAAGTCTGCTGTGGCACTTCTGATATACTGTATTATATGTATATATAATATTAGGAGTGGGACTTGATAAAAAATGTGATCTAATTAATCAGAGGCTTTGGAGTTAATTAATCTTGATTAATCACATTTTAACATTTGAAGTTAATTTGCCCCCAAGCAATTTTTAAAATAAAAATCATTTTAGTGAGGCACAGATGGCATACGCACACTTTAATGAGTATATTTCTGTAACCACAAGGTCTATTTGATTGATTTGATCTAATTATGAAGGGAACCATTGTGGGATTTTTTGGGATATGCAAATATAAATGTGTTATTGATGAACTGTAAATGGAACATTGTAAATGTTGTGTACTGAACTTAAAGAAGCAATCAGTTTTTACCTTTTAATCTCTGTAAATATCCATCGAAATGTTGTTGAAACTGAATAAAATGAGGTCCAGTTGTTGAAAAATATTGGCAGCTTCATTCCACATAACCATAAATATTTTGTTGAAAGTACATAGGGCGCGGGTCTAGCGTCTTTGGGGGATGCCATATATATAAACGCCATGTTATCGTCTGGCCAGCTCGGAGTCCTGCGCCTGTTGGTGACATGAACAGTGGATGACTGGCTGGACGTACAAATCACGGAAGTTACATTACCATGTTAAAAATCATTTAGGCAGTAAGAAACACAAAACTGCTAAAACATTTGCAAAAAATATGTGAAACAACAGAATTGAAAAAGAGATACAAAGTATTTTGGCCGAGCGGTATTACCAGAGTATGATGACGTCATCGACAGGCGCAGGCCCCCGGGGAGATCTGGAAACTACAGCGCCAGCAAACTACAATTGGCATTGCATTCCCTAATGGTATTAACCGAAGGACCATCAAAGTCTAAGGAGTCACGGCGAGGTTACATGCTTTCTGCTTTACAGGTAACATTTACTGTAATGTTTTTTAAACTCGTGACAGTCAGGAAGTTATGGTGTAAAACTACCCTGAAATGTATGTATGTACTGCCCCCTAGTGGCACAAAACGGCACACTGCCACTTTATCATAGGTGACAGCAGAACTCTGCCGATATAGAGGTGTAGTGTGGAGTTCAGGGGAAGTTATGCTGAGGGTTACAAGATGAATGCTGCATGTATACTTGTCACTCCTGCTGTAATAAAGTTCATATGGATAAAGTTACTGCCTGCCTATTTTCTATCAACTAGAAAACATAACAATAAAAATGTAGATTATTTTTCTTTTCTTCCTTTACTTCATAAAGGGTGATTCATTAAATTATAGTTTTAGTTGTTTGCAGCTTATAAAAACAGTTTATATGATACTGGCTTTGCAGTTTCTGTAGAGGGGCAGCTTGATGATACTTATTTATATGGGGCATACATTGCAATTGGGGGGACCCTCAGACTCAAGGGGTAATTAGTTTAATGTGTTATTTTTTTACATTAATAAATAGTAAATAACATAATTAACATTAAAATCCCACTCATTATATATATATATATATATATATATATATATATATATATATATATATATATATATATATATATATATATATATATATATAAAACTCAAAGATGTTTTGGACATGATTATGAGTGTGTAAATACTGTCATTCATGGTTTATAACGTGTTTATAAAGTAACCTTTATGGTTGTTATTCTGGCAGATAAAATACAGTTGGTTGGATACAGAAACTGCAGTTCACATGTCTAAAATAAACATCTTATGAGGACTTTTAGCATAATAGTAACCAGATCTAACTACATTAGCATGAATTGGTCAGATTTGAGCTCTTGGCTGTCGTTCACTAATAAATGTCGACCCAGATAACTGAATAAAACCTGGAAACAAAACAATATGTTAGTGTGTTGCTTTTTACTAGAGCCAATTCTCACCCCGAGAACAAACCACTGGACAAAGAAATTCTTGTCATCTCACAGGTTTCTTTCAAATCAGAATAAAAAAAAGGCAAAACATAAACGTTAAAGATGCTTTAACGAAGCCATGGATGAGTCTGAAAAAAATCCTCAGAGCTGCAGTATAATCAGAACCACTAAGCAACGATGGCGCCACCACTAAAACATTCAACATTCACATTTAGATTGCATAATAATGACAGAAGTCTGTTACTGGCACAGGATGCAGTGTGTATGGCAGTGTGTTTATGCATATTTTGTCTGCCACAAACCTGCTCTGCTTTTCATGGAGGAATTCGATCTCAACAGTAAATCAAAGAGAAAACTTTCCTGTCTGACTGACTGTGTGGGCTTTCTAAACTTTTACAGCTATAATCATAGAAGACACCTCTGAACTTACTTGGACCCTTAAAAAAACACGTTTTTAGTACTTCTGCTGGTTTACACAAATTAGATGGGAATGATTTAAATACGATCTTTGAATTTTTGTTTTCTAAATTAAGATTTTGTTTGTCTTATATTTTTATCAGAGTTCTGCGAATGTTTATGTCAGGTAAACTGTTAATAATAATAACAATAAAACAAGTACGGGTAAAGGTTTCTGCGACAGCAACAGCTGGAATGCTTTACAGCAAAACCTGTGCTGTCTTGTGGACCTCATCCTCAAAAAAGTGATTCTCAATTTTACAGTTTAATCTGTCAAACTAAAAATTAATTTGTCTCAAATGATGCAACTGTTTAGCGATGTGAGTCAAAGACAAAGATGTTTGATCTGGAAATCTTGCAGCAACTGTACACCAGCCCTAAGAATTTATTTGGAGTTAACGTTTTTGCTAGAAGTTGACATTAAGTTGCATGGATGTGATACAGCCAGGTTGTCTCACAGGGCGTTACTGTGGCAGTGGTGCTTCTGTCATCCAGAGCAGGAATCAGAGAGGGAGCGACTGCTAAAAGGCTTCTTACCTTCCAGCTAGCAGCAAAGCTGAAACTCACTCTGACCTCGCTGCAGACTTTACTCCTGACCACGTCTGAATGGGGTAGTAAAGAAAGGTTTTGTGATGGCTAGTATGCAAAGAAAGAGTGACTTCTCACCCTGCAGCTTGGCTAAAAAAATGTACAAATCGTGCTAAAGAAATCACAAAGCTTTGGAAGCATGCCTGTCCATGGTAACCCTGTGTTAAGAGGCCCATTATAACACAAACTCATCCTTGCTCACACACACACACACACACACACACACACACACACACACACACACACACACACACACACACACACACACACACACACACACACACACACACACACACACACACACACACACACACACACACACACACACACACACACACACACAAACATACTTGTAATGCTACCTTAATTTACTGTTTAGGCTTAAAATAAGCTTTTTAGAAAACACAGGAAACCACTCGAGCGTCCTCACACATTTAGTCTCTTTTGGAAAAAATAAATAAATAAATAGATACAATCTTTAAAAGGTGCATACGGATAAAGAGAACGACCCCCTCCTCTTTTTAAATCGCACACACACCATCTCACACACTCGAACGTCTTGTACTAAAACGCAGACACACATATGCCCACACAATCATAAGTTTTACAGTCACACACACACTACGCCCTGCTTCAATACTTAAAACCTCTTAAAATTGTACTAAAATAAATCGAGCAAAAACACATTTATAAGACCAGCACCCCATTGTGCAAACAAATCAAGGATAAATTAAACCGACGTCATGAATAGAAAACAAAATAGTCATGGCTAGCCAGCTTTGCACAATATTAAACTGTTAAATACATAGTGGGTGTGGTCTATAGAAATATTATGTGGCAGCAAATCCAATAGGATTCCACACTGAGAGGAAGAGGAGGGTCTTGGAGAAGGAAGTGAGGTTGATTGACGCTAGATCTGGTGAGGACCCATGGCTGGAGTCTTTTCAATCAATCACTCCCATTTTGTCCTCCACCCTACCCTCCAGGCCGCCCTGCACAACACACACCTCCTCGAGTGCTGAAAACGTAAAATAAAAAAATAAAAAAAAAAAAAACAAAAAAAAAGGACAAACATCCAGCAGTGAGGGGTGAGTGAAAGTAATATAGCCAAAGAGGAGGGAGGAAGGATAGAGAAAGGAGTGAGGAACAGTGAGGTATGAGGCAGAGAAGGGGGCTCGTCTCTACTGAGCCATCAAACACTCCTCTCGTTTCCTGTTTGGGGCAGCAAGTGGGTCCGACCAAACGAAGAAAAGGGTGGAGGGGGTGAAGCCAGACCGAGATGACAGACGAGGTGAGTCTTGCTGGAGGGTTAATGACCAGCTGGAAAAAAAGAGCTTGCTAGCACCCTTTTGGCCAGGAAGTGCCTATCTCTGCCTGTGTCCCCTGAACCAGCCCTTTTTTGGCTGTTGAATCATCCCTCAATCCGCCCCCCCTCGACTTGGCTGGGGGTGGTGTGTCACCTCAGATCCACTCCCATGCTGGCAGGGCTGTGCTCCACGGTTCCGTAGCTTTGGAAGAGGAGAAATGAGATTTCAAACAGGGCTTTCCTTGCCTGTTTTACACAATACAGCGCTTCGTCATCAATGAACTAAGAAGGAGTTGACCTTTGACCTCATGTGGCCTTGGTCAGAATCCTCAACTGACTCCCCCACAAGCTGGTCTGCTGTCCCCTACCTGGCGTCATGGCGGCCAGACAAACAACAATAACACACCACCAAAGTAGGCATAGGAAATGAAAACAATATCATTCACAGGAAACCCATACAAGGACTTCCTGTCTCTGCGTTCGTCTATCTCCCTTTCAGTCAGACTTAGTCTTTTTTGCTTGTCTCTACTTTCCTGCTCGTCACACTTTGAGGACATGATAAAACTGTGAGGCACTTTAGAGCCACACTCAGACACGTGTGGTGAACACACTCACATACAAGTAGAAATAGAGAAAATCGTATACACACACTCACACACACACACACACATTCGTTCGGATCGAATATAGTCTGATATACTTTACTGCAAACGTTTACACACATACTGACTCACTTAAACCAACAGAGTCATAACCATGTGTTGAAGGTTGCATCACTGGCCGCCACTGTCCAGAGCGACAGAGTGTGTAGCTAAATGTGTGTGACGTGTGGGGACAAACAGAGCCAGCCGCGGCACTGTGAACCAGCACTGACAGACCGTCAGCCTCTGATGGTGTCAGAGGGGTCTGTTCGCTGATCAGACCTGTTGAGGTGGCACCTACAAGCTCGTCACACACTCCATATCCTCATCCTCTAAAAGCCCACTGTTCTTCCGTTGCACTCCTGCAATCACCACTGAGCTTCTATGATGCCTTTCTTCCCGCTCTTCTGCCTCTTCCTCGTCATCTTCTCGCCCTCTCCCCCTGGCTAGCAGCTCCTGCCGCTCCTCTATAGAGGACGGCTCATGGACGTAGCCTCTGCTTCCCGCGGCCTCTGCTTCACAGGGGCTTAAGCCGACAAGTCGGTCCCTGTGTGGTGCTGCTGCTGCGACTCTGTGGAAGGGGAGGCTGCCATTAGGGCTGTGCTGAGAGGTGGAAGAGGTGCTGGATGTGGTGTTTGTGGCTGTGCTGCCATTCAGAATGTTGTTGGCTGCATGCTCCATCTCTTCAATGGTCATGTCACATGCATCGGCCAACTCGGCTTTGGTCGCCTCAATGAAAGATGGGTCCTGGGCAAACTGGCCCAAACCTTCTGATATTAGAACCTTGAGGAAATAGAAAAAGGACAAGTGTTTTCTGGTTGTAGAATGATGTTGAGAGAAATCTCCTCTTATTGGTGTGGTTAAGACTCACCGCTTCTACAAGACTTCCTGCGCTGCCGTGAAATAGCGAGCTGGAGTCTTTCCCCAAAAGTGATGGCACCGTTAGTGACACCGGCCGCGGCGCTCTCTGACTGGATGCGGACATGCTTGGGGCAGGGCTTGGGCTGTTCCCATTACTGTCGCTATACCTGGAGTAAGAGCATTTATTGGTCATAACGTCCTTCATCTGTCATTAAGACTTAATTTGGAAATGTACCGAAGCTCACCATGGCCCACAGCTGACAGAAGGCAAGCTGGTATTGAGCTTTTCATGAGAGTTAGCGCCCTCTAGTCTCAGAGAGGGAACTCGCTGGTAGGAGGCATCACTACACTGGCCTGGAAAAAATGATAGTAAACATAAATAAACAATGATAAAGCTATTCTGCTGTTACAATAATGCATGCTCATGAAATGTGATCCAATTATTTTCAGCCTTTTGGCTTTTGCTGTGTACCTGTGGGGCTGGCTGGAGGCGTGGAGCACAGCCGGCTAAAGAGTGTGGGTGAGTGACTCCTTCTCAGCAGAGGACTTAACCCTGCCACCGCCAGAGCCTGGGCAAAAGGAGATCACACCAAACACACAGCATTTAGAATAAATGTAAACAAGAAAAACAGTAACAAGCATCTAAATGAAATGATGTGTTTTATACCTGAACCATCTATTCTCTTAGCCCTCAGCAGCAACGACTTTATGGGGGTTTTCACGAGTAAAATAATTATATTAGAAACAAAATAATTAGCATCCTCCCTTCTTTCTTCTTCCTCAGTAAGTGAGGCAGCATCAGAGGCAACTGTAGAACCTCATCTGTGCTTGAACCGTTTTGATCCAGTTGAACTTTCAGAGTTATCAAAAATATTAGCTTCATCTAAACCTTCAACTTGCATTTTAGATCCAATTATTTAAAGATGCATTTCCTTTGGTTCCTGCCCCCATTCTAGATATAATATATCTATCCTTAGTAAATGGATACGTATCACAGGTTTTTAAGGTTGCTATAATCAAACCTTTACTTAAGAAACCTTCTCTGGATCCATATGAATGAACTAAGAAGGAGTTGACCTTTGACCTCAAGTGGCCTTGGTCAGAATCCTCAACTGACTCCCCCACAAGCTGGTCTGCTGTCCCCTACCTGGCGTCATGGTGGCCAGACAAACAACAATAACACACCACCAAAGTAGGCATAGGAAATGAATTATAGACCAATATCTAACCTTCCATTTTTTTCCAAAGTCCTGGAGAAAATAGTGGCCATCCAAGTATGTCAGCATTTAAACACTAATGTTCTGTTTGAGGAATTTCAGTCTGGTTATAGAGAGTATCACAGCACTGAAACTTCATTAGTGAGAGTTACAAATGATATTCTCATGGCCTCAGATAAGAATCTTGTATCTGTTCTAGTCTTGTTAGATCTCAGTGCTGCCTTTGACACAGTTGATCACAAAGCTACAATGATGTTCTGCTGAACTGTGGTGCCCTCATGGAGGGGGCCATTGGCTTGAACACTGTTGCAAACCATTTAAACATTCTCCCTCTCCTGATAATAACATTTTACTCTCTTTGACATTGAATGTGCTACTACTAGTTTACTCATTTAATTATAGATTCACTAGGATAAATAAAATAAAGTTTATTTCTCACCAAATAGAACATTTACTAAGAAATCACAATGTAACCGTAGAAACACCACTTGGTATATATGTTGTGTGTGTGTGTGTGGGCTGGTGTTGGTGTATGCGTGTGTCTGCTCCGTCTTCTAGATCCCCAGTGAGTCGTGTTGGATAGCAGCTTATACTGAGCCAGGATTCTCTGGAGGTTTCTTCCTTTTAAAAGAGAGTTTTCCTCTCCACTGTCGCTAAATGCTTGCTTAGTATGAGGATTGCTGTAAAGTCACTGACACTAGTCAGTGACTTGATGTAATTTGCTGCGTTCCTCATTTAGAAAACTTTTTTCTGATTGGCTTAATGAACTGACCTGTATTGTAATGTTTACTATGTGAAGTGCCTTGAGACGACTCTTGTCGTGATTTGGCGCTATACAAATAAACTTGAATTGAATTGAATTTAAATACCTGTTGATGTACTAGATGTAAGGGTACAGCTGTCTTCTGGGAGATGTCCGGCTTTGACTGTCTCCGGAGACACTCCAGTTGGAAAGATGCTCTCCGTCCTGGCATGTGCAACACAAGATTGTAAATTACAACTACTGTATTGCTTTTATGGTCATTCATTAGCATCGGCTGAAGTTTATCACTCTTTGTCATGCAGGTCAGGTCATGTGGTCACTTTTACAAGGTGTCAAAAGTTCAGTGAAATATTATATAATATTGGTTGTTGGCCATAACAGCAGTATTAATGGAAATGGCTATTTTCTCAGATTTTCATACGAGTTATACTATGAAGTGTGTGTGATATCAGCTGATATCAGATATATCAATATGGTATGAATATTTATTTCCAATACCGGTAAACTGATACCAATACATGTGGAACCTGCCCCCCCATAAAAAAGAAAGTAAATAATGTAAATATCTCCAAAACTAAACCTTGGCTCTGTCACAGTTTTACATTTTGAGTGAAAGGAGAAGTAGCTGAAGGGTTTTATGTACACTGCTCAAAAACATAAAGGGAACACAAAAATAAGACATCCTATAGATCTGGATGAATGAAAAAGTTTTAATACTTTGTTCTTTACACAGTTGTATGTGCTGAAAACAAAATCACACAATTATTAATGGAAATACAATTGATCAACTCATGGAGGTCTAAATTAAAGTGGAAAAAACAAAACAGGCAGATCCAACTTTGACACAATGTCCTTAAAACAAGTCAGAATGAGGCTCAGTAGTGTGTGTGGCCTCAACGCCTGGGCATGCTCCTGATGAGGTGGCGGATCGTCTCCTGAAGGATTTCCTCCCAGACCTGGACTAAAGCATCTGCCAACTTCTGGTCTTTGGTGCAGCGTGGCTTTGGTGGACAGAGTGAGACAGAATGTCCCAGATGTGCTCAGTTAGATTCAGGTCTGGGGGACTGGCCAGTCCATAGCATCAATGCCCAAATCTTGCAGGAACTGATGACACAGTCCAACTGTCTTGCTTTAAGGAGTAACCCAGGGTCAACTGCACCAGCATTTGGCCTCACAAGGGGTCTGAGGATCTCATCTTGGTACCTAATGGCAGTCAGGCCCTCTGGTGAGCACATGGAGGGCTGTGTGCCCCCCTCAAAGTAATGCCAGCCCACACGATTACTGATCCACTGCCAAGCTGGTTGTGCTGGAGGATGTTGCGGGCAGCAGAAAGTTCTCCACAGAGTCTGTCATGTCTTTCATCTGTGAAGATTGCAGGGAACCAGTGGCATATTTGTCATTCGTGATGTTCTCTGGCAAATGCCAAATGTCCTGCACGTTGTTGAGCTGTCAGCACAACCACCACCTGTGGACGTCGGGCCCTCATACCACCCTCATGGAGCCTGTTTCTGACATTGTGGTCTGCTGTAGGTCATTCTGCAGGGCTCTGGTAGCGCTCCACCTGTTCCTCCTTGCACAAAGGCAGAGGTAGACCTGCTGCTGGGTTGCTGCCCTCCTACGGCCTCCTCCACATACTGACCTGTCTCCGGGTAGCTCCTCAAAGCTCTGGACGCTGTGCTGACAGACACAGCAAACCTTCTTGACACATCTTGCATTGATGTGCCATCCTGGATGAGCTGCACTTCCTGAGCCACTTGCGTGGGTTGCAGACTGCACCTCGTGCTACCACTAGAGTGAAATCACCGCCAGCATTCAACAATGACCAAAACATCAGCCAGAAAGCACAGGAACTGAGAAGTGGTCTGTGGTCACCACCTGCAGAACCACTCATTTATTGGGGAAGTCTTGCTAATTGCCTATAATTTCCACCCGTTGTCTATTCCATTTGCACAGCAGCAGGTGAAATCAGCGTTGCTTCCTATGCGGACATTTTGGTTTAACAGACGTGTGACGGACGCAGTTACATTGTGTTGTTCTCTATTTTAGAGCAGTCTATAATATGTGCATTGTATATAAAATAGTGTCATTAAAGGAGTAAAAACCGACACTGATAATATCCAATACTACAAGTTAATGCCAACACTGGCCGATAATATCGGACATCTCTCGTTTGTACATAACTGTGTTTTCTCACCCAGAGTGGTTGGGCAGAGGAAGACTCTTCGTGGAGACTGCCATCCTCCTCCTCCACCTCCTCCCTCTTTTCGTTCCTCTACTTCTTCTGCTTCCTCCATGGGAGTCAGCTGTTTACATGTTTCATCATGACACACCAACCTAGCGGGTGCACACAAACAAAGAAGTGAGATAAACTTCTTGATCTAATCTAATTTAGGATGAAGACTAAACTGTGAATATTTCTCAGCAGTACATATCAGACGAAAGTGAGCGGTCATCTTCCTGGTACTCCCTGTCGTCACCATAACTCTCATCGTACGTCTCTTCTGTTGACCCCTCCCCTCTCCGGATGATTGGCAGACAACTGTCACTCGAGTCCGAGCTACAGATACATGAGCGAACGACCAAACAAGCAAGCACACACATAAAAACACAAAATTAACATAAGCACACAGCACAGATGGAGGCACATGTGGACAAACAGTCAAACCGATGTAAATACAGAGAAAAAGCAGCTGATTAGCTGATTAGGTTAGTGAGGAGCTTCAGAGGAGGGACGCATGGAAACCCTGCATGTTTGGCAGGAGGAGGAGAAGCCTGCAGAGCAGCGGGTGGGGTTCACAGCAGTTTTGTCAAAGCAAAACGGTGACAAGACCTGGAATATGACGAGTGATGTGAAGACTGAAGTTCAGAGATCTTTAAAATAAAACAAAACATAAAAGGCACACAGCTGCCATGTTTGTAGGCTAAGGCTCAGAATACAGTAGCTTAACAGTAACGTTACAATATAACCCCATAGCAGAAAAAGCTTATTTTGTATTAGAAATAGAAAAAAAATGAATTATTAGATTTTATTATTGGAGCTTATTTTTTTGAGTAGAAACCATTCACATCATCTGTATGAGGGATCCAATGTTTTAATTTATCAACATAATTATTTAAAGTTAATTTTTGTGTCTCTTCTTCAGTATTTGATAATTAAACAAAATAAATATGTTTGGCAGAAGAGAGAATGTATGAGTGACTTTTGAACCATTCAGTGTTTTTCTGAATTTGGGGTTTCTCCCCAAACATACTACAAGCTGACAGATTCAGGGATTTTAGAGGCTGTCCTCTTAAAGATGTCTTCTCACCAGTCACATGATTCATACTCCATTCTTAGCTTCAAGGAACCGTTTGGATTTTGAATTTTAATATTGTCTTCTTCACCAGTGTTTACCTAAAACAACCAACTCTCCAAAATCTTGGCTTCACATTAAGAAACCAGCTTGTCTGCAGAATTCTTTAAACACATTTTACTTTAATAACGGCCGTATTTCAGTTGAACTGTAAAAACTTCTGGTGAAGAAAAACAATAAAATATCAAAACACTGTCAAGCTCCTTTTATCAGGGCTCCACTGGGTTAGATAATTAAAACCCGATTTAGCCACCATGTTGCTAATCAGATCCAACACAGTTAGCATCAGAAAGCTCATGCTTTGATTGTAGTGATCCAAGGTTGCACAGTCATAAACAGAGGGATGTTAAATGTGCAGAGAATTTCATTTTATGTTTTAGTCTGTAGTATGTGTTTTAACTTCAGATCATTATAAACTATCATGGGATGGAAAAAGCATGCTTGTATAAATCATTGCAACAGCAAACCATTAGATTGCAGCACATAAACTGCATTTATAAATATAAAGAACAAACTCGGCTCTGGGAATAAAGACGATAAGTAAGAGCTTTCAGATGTTTTCTGTACAGATGAAGCTGATATTGTGTCTAACCCAGACCTGCCACCTTAAACAACCTATCAGCAGCAACAGCAGCCCTTGATCAGATGGGTTTGGCCACACCGCACCAAAAAGTCCATCTATGGCTTTAACATTGGAGTTGCATCAGGAAGCCCGGCCTTTTCTGTAGCGACTAAAGCATCATGTGCATAAGCAGCAAGTGTTGCACCTTGACGGCTATGCCATTTTTTTAAAGCATCATGAGATTTCTTTAGTGCACACTTAGGGAACTAGCAGAGCACACACACATTCTCTCTCTGTCCCCTGGTAACATACCGTATGAGGGTGTCATAAAACATCCTGCTCGCCAAGACAAACAGGAGACAACGAGAGAAAGCAGGTTGTAAAAAGAAATGGGAGGAAATAGGGGGATTATTTACGCCCATAGAAAAATAGCAAAGTTGTTAATGCAATGAAGTTTTTGAAAGAATGTAAAGTTTGGAGCTCAAAAGCATGAAAAAGAAGAAAACTCAGCTGACTTATTAAGAGACTGTCTTACACCCACCTCTTTGGAGGGAAGCACCATGCAGATCTTGGCAGCAGGATGGGGGTGAGCGGTTGCCCTGTGTGCCCGTCCACAGTGCTGATAGATGGGCTCGGGAATCGACTGACCCCCTGCGTCTCCACCCCTGACATGCTGGTGTTGTTGGCATTGTTAATGTTGGCGTTTGAGCTTGATGAGGAGTAAGAGGAACGGGTGAAGGTGGTCGAGTCCATTAGCTTCTCATGAGATGGGCTCTCGCCTTCACACGGGGAGCCCTTTTGGCTGATGTGCAAGGGACGCTGGGTAGTGAAGGACTGTGGGAAGGATCCTCGGCCATCACTCTGGTTGTAGTAGTTGACGTGGTTGCCAAAAAGGCCACCAGTGCGCTGCATTTTGAAAAATACATCAAAGTTCAAGTCGACACGTTTCCCTAAAAGGCCACGTTTACAGCCTGCAGCTGGTAAATCTTACTCAGGCGTTTGCAAAAGCAAAGAAGCAAAATGACTTTACTGCAAGTAAAAACTCTTAAATACATCTGAAAATAGCTCCTAACTTCATTCAGTTGGCTTTGGTTGTAAATGCAGCATATGAAAGATGTAATGGTAGTGGCAATGGAGGGCAGATCAACTCACCGTCTCAGCAAAAGCACATGAAACAGTGTGTGAGTTTATGCCCGATCATAATGTCTCTGTACATTTGTTTGTTTATTTAACCCGTTTGTAGTGGTTTCTTTATGTTTGTCTAAATCCAAGATGGCCTCTTCTAAAACGGGAACTCGGTGAAATGCAGCCAGTCTGTGCTGTGGAACATGCAGGTTTCTAAATTGTCATCCAGATTTTAGGCACATGCAAGCAGGTACATGTATGTGCATGCACGTGCATGGAGCTTCAAGCTGGAGCTGGTCATCGCTCTTTTTTCTCTCTGGAGAGTGAGTAGTGCGGGTGTGTGTATCCAACCTTTACCCTGAAGATATCGTCCTCGGATGCTGCTGACACAGGCTCCTTCAGGCCTTTGTCCAGCTCCTCCTCCACATTCAGGTCTCCAGAGATGGCCCTCCTAATCTCTGGACCGATGTCATGCAACGTCCGCAGGCCCGCCTACACACACACAGTCCTAATTACTTGCTGTCTTTTATGTTTCAATCACAAACACAACACAACTAAATATGCCTGGCAGATAATTTAAAACATCAGACTTTTCTTTCTGAAGGTCTTGACAATTTAATAAATATATCTTGAAGTGAGTCTAAAAGATGTGAGTACCTGCAGAGAGAGGGCAGTTTTGGGAGGCACCTTGGCCACCAGCCCTTGTTCTTTCCTCTTCTTAAACTTGCGGAAATATTCCTGGATGAGGAAGGTAGCGTAGAACTTCCCGACTGTTACCTCATCATCTGGGAGGGATGAAATAATAACAGACATCAAGATTTTTGTAATAAACAGACGTGATGCAGTGTGGCAGAGTTTTCGTACCACCAGCAGGGGGCACTACTTGATCCAAAAGCTTCATGCTGGTTCTTTTCCAGATCTTTTTCACGATTGCTCTCAGTTCTTCATTTGCCTGCTCCAGATTACCTGCACAGGTGACACACAGGAGACACACTGTAGGGCGGCCACTTTCCTTACACGTGGCAATAAAATACAAAACATTTGTAAGTAAAAATACTATAATGGGGCAGCAGTAGCTCAACAGGTTGAGTGGGTTGTCCAGTAATCGGAAGGTTGCAGGTTCGATCCCAGCTCCGGACAGAGAATTCTGCTGTTGTGTCCTTGGGCAAGACACTTAACCCACCTTGCCTGCTGGTGGTGATCGGAGGGACCGGTGGTGCCTGTGCTCAGCAGCCTCGCCTCTGTCAGTGTGCCCCAGGGCAGCTGTGGCTACATCATAGCTCATCACCATCAGTGTGTGAATGGATGAATGATACACTGTAGTGTAAAGCGCTTTGGAGTCCTTACTCTGAGAGGCGCTACACAAGTGTGGGTCATTTATCATTAATCTTTAATAAGAAAGAAGATTCTTCATTTCATTTGTTCTGTTCCCACATTTATGCGATGGCTATCCCGCCGTTCAGTACGTGTGTGACTCGAGCTTTTACAGGTCCATCAGACATGTTTGGTGTGTGTTCTTTACCCTCTGTCTTGATCCTGAGTGCTGTTCTGACCAAAGCAAACAGTGTGGCGTTAAACATCACAGTTCCATCACTGTTCAGAGGCATGTTCATCGACACCAGCCGCTGCGGGACATTAAACACACTCTTAGTTCAACACACAGTCACATAAATTAATGCTGCTCTAAGATCTCAGACAGTACAAACTCACTCAAAAATAGATTTTATTTCCAATTTTAGAAACGCTTTTGGACTTTGTGTACGATATGCTGTCAGCGTAGGATTTGAAGGATTATAGAACGTATAAGAGCTGTTCGTTAAACATGCACAGTGGTTTTAGACATGCAGAGTGTCTTCATGAATCTGCAGAGCTGTCTTTACCTTGCATGCCACCCTGTGAGGACAGAGCTTTCCAAAACCGAGGGGGGGCTGAATTCTCCGAAGCAGAGTGACCACGTCCAAATGTTTGATCCTTCCCCTGAAAACAGCACAGAGGTCGGAGCATGTGGGGACTTTTGTTTGCGGCTCCAGATGATTTCAGCTTCATATTGTGATGAGATGTTCTGTCTGCACTTTGAAACTTACTTTGCTTCGGGGTCGTATTCAGCCCAGATTCTCTTGAACTCGTCAAGATGATGTGGTCCCAAAATTGACCAATCACGTGTCAGATAGTCAAAATTGTCCATGATTACAGCCACAAACAAGTTGATGATCTGGGAAACAACAGGCATTGTGATTAGAAGATGATAATGAATAGTTTCTTTAATTTTTAAAAATATAAATGCTTTTTTTCAGTCTTTTGTACTCACTAGAAAGGCACAAAGCATGTAGAAGCTGACAAAGTAAATGATGGCAAACTGGCTGCCGCAGTCCTCGTTGGATGAGTGGTTTTCATGGGTCGAGCCTTTTTCACACGGCCGATTGGGTGAACACGCCAGCATGATCTCCTGCCACGCCTCGCCTGTTGCACATCTGAAGTGTGCACAATGCAAATGCACACACACACACACACACACACACACACACACACACACACACACACACACACACACACACACACACACACACACACACACACACACACACACGCGCGCGCGCACGCACACACGCACGCACACACGCACGCACGCACGCACACACACACACACACACAAAATAGGCACACTCATTTGTTGCAGATGTAAACTAAAAAGCACCCAATCGTATAAATAAAATATGTAAAATAATCATTTGTTTTAATTCTTTTTGGGAGTATTTTGTGGAGCTTTCAAGCATTTAATTACAACTTTAGTCTCTTCCTTGGATTTAAAACTGCATTTTGCAGCAACTGGAACTCAGGGAGTTATTGATGTAAAAGGCGGGATAACATGAGCAGAAACTAAAATCAGTTTAGAATAAAATAGGTGGCAGAACAGTCTAAAGGTATAAACAAATGATGTTAAAGGGGCATTACAATTTTTCTCACCTGAAGAGGAGCAGCACGGCCTGAGGGAATGTCTGGAAATTGTTGTTCCTGTTGATCTGTGTGTGGTCCCGCAGCGCTATCTTCCCAAACATCTACGCAGGAAATGATGTCAGAGTGAGACAAAGGAAGTTAAAAGGAATCACAGTTCAACTGTTTTCAGAAAGGTGCATTTAGGACGAGGCAGCGACAGCTCACTTGCATGCCGATGACTGCGTATATGAAGAAGAGCATCACAATGAGCAGAGCTACGTAGGGCAGAGCCTGAAAGGAAAGGAGAAGAGAGGAGACGCGTGAACGAAACCCAGCAGCATAAAATCACGTGTGTGTGAAGCCAAACGGCCATCATGGTGTGTTTGGGTTTCCACTCACCTGGAAGGATTTGATGAAAGTCCAGAGCAAGGTTCGAATTCCTTCCCCACGAGACAGCAACTTCACCAGCCTCATCACGCGGAACAACCGGAAGAAGGTAATGGATATCCTGGCATTCTCTTCGGAATTCTGAAGTCCCTTTTAGTGGGGTTTGTTCGTGTCATTTTTATTTATTTTTAAGAGGGGAAAAAGGACACATGGGAACACATGCAGATGAGTAAGGAATAGAAATATGCACACTCACACACTAGGTTATGAAATGGAAAACACAATCCTCATCACGCTAATCATACAGAAGAGATCTAGGAGAGAACTGGGAAGTCATGCTTCTTTTTGTGACTTCATGGATGAATCACTTGGCAACAACAAACTACAAACATCCAGCAGCAAACTGGACACACACACCTCAGCACAAGCTCCTCTTCTAACCCTACACACACTTTCACACGCCAATGGTGATGAGCTACGATGTAGCTACAGCTGCCCTGGGGCGCTCTGACAGAGGCAAGGCCTGCCGAACACAGGTGCCACCGGTCCCTACGACCACCACCAGCAGGCAAGGTGGGTTAAGTGTGTTGCCCAAGGACACAACAGCAGCGTTCTCTAGTCGGAGCCGGATCGAACCTGCAACCCCCAGATTACTCGCTCTACCTCCTGAGCTACCGCTGCCCCTAAAACAACAGTTTTTTTGTAAACAAAAGTAAGCTGCAACACTACAAGATTCATCTGTACTTGTCTTTTCAGAACATCTGAGCATCACTTTGCCTTCAAACAATTTTTTGATTTGTTTTGGAAAGTTAGAATTTTTTCTCAGAGACGTCTCTGCAAAGTTCAGTCGGGTGCGCACTTCTCTCCAAACTGCTGGTCGCAAACCGAACGTAGCTCCATGTTTAAATATTTAGTCATAAAGCTGAGTGCTGTTCATATTTATTTATTCATGCCGCTGCTGTTTGCTCTCTGAGACAAAAAGCCAAAACAACAACAAAAGGGTTCCTGTACAATAGGATGCACCACATACAACAGACAAGAGACACCTACGATGATTACTCACAATTTTAACCTAAAAAGACTCACACACACCCCGTTGTGACTAACATCACATTCTACACAGATCTAACTATTTTAGCTCCTTGACAGTCAAGACAGATCAAACTAGGTCCATCTCTCTAATTAAAAATATTCATTTAGAGTCAACGTACACATCTGTCCATCTGCCCTCCAAGTCCTGTTGCCAGTTGTATTTTTCCAAGAAGTCATCATGCTCTATGCAAACCCCACAGAGAACACACTGTGTGCTCCAGCAAAGAACTCGCCACTCTCTACATATACTGCTGCAGTCTGGGACGGGAGATGTAATCCTTACACGACTCAGTGCTTCCAGTTCTTCTCATTTTTAGACTTAAATAATCCTGAAGGGAAACACGAGTTTATTTCTAGTCGTAGATTTCTGACAATGCACTGGTCTGACTGGTCCCAGACTCTAATGGCAGATATGCTGAAAGTGACACGTCCTTCACAGGAGGGGAGTCACAATTCAGTCCTGCGAGTAATTCCACAACTGGACCACAGTGGGCACCACTCCACCACTGAGAGTTGGAACAGTGGGCAGGAAAAGTACAGAGATAAAGGGAAGAGGAGAGAAAGAGGCCGAAGACAAAATATTTGAGAATGTTCAGATAGATAAATGGACAGACAGACAGACAGACAGACAGACAGACAGACAGACAGACAGATAGACAGATAGATAGATAGATAGATAGATAGATAGATAGATAGATAGATAGATAGATAGATAGATAGATAGATAGATAGATAGATAGATAGATAGATAGACAGTGTGACCAAGATGGCTTGCACCAATGTGATAGCATGAAGGATACCACACCCATGATCGGGGTGATGGAGGGTGCCATGGAAACGACTCAATGAAAGTGGCCTTCACCACACACACATACACACACACACATACACACATTTTAGATTATATACATATATCTATATATATAGATATATATACATATATATGTATATATATATATATATATATATATATATATATATATATATATATATATATATATATATATATATATATATGTGTGTGTGTGTGTGTGTGTGTGTGCCCATGTAATACTGTACAAAAGTTCTAAGTCCTGCCTCATTTCCTTATATTTTGCTCCCAGGTTGCCAGACTTTCTTATGGACCTTAAGTGGTCCATAGACCAATATTCTAAAATGTTCTCTGTTTCAGTCCTTGTACCTGACCATCATCTGCCAAACATATTAGTTATACTTTACTTTGACTTTTGAATCAATCAGACTCCAATCAAGGCTCCCAAACTTAACCACGGAAAAGGTAAAGTGTCAAAACACGACAACTGAGTAAAAGAAATGCTTATAAGTTGGATTTTTAACATGTTGTCACTAGAAATCTATCAGAGTGCTACTTTTTCAAGCTAATGCTACCAAAAAAAAAAAACCCCAATAATTTAGACATTTAGTAGCTGATGCATTTTTGAGTTTCAGGTTAAAACATGATCTTTGGAGACTGATCATCGGCAGTAAATGTTTGGTAACACACTCTACTTGTCAACACAATATAATGGTGTGATCAGGTACAAGGATTAGACAGGTCTTAAGTAAAATGGAGACAAAATAAAAAGAAAAAAACTGAGAAGCCTTGAAAGAAAATTGATCAAGATCATGTTACAAGACTACAAGAAAGACTTGCAACTTGGAGGTAATCTAAAAAGGAACAAGTGATGGCTCAAAACTTTTGTAGGTACAGGCACATATATGAATATAACTGTGAGCATGCTGCAGAAGATCACAGCACGAGCGGCAGAACGAAGATGACAAGCTGGATGAAAAGCCAAAAGTTTGACGTCATACCATGGATGGCACAGCAGAAGGAGGAATGGAAGGATGGAGGGATGGAATGATGGTGGTGGAATTAGGAAGGCGAACGAGGTTACCGTCGGGGCGTACCATTTGCCTTACCACAGGGGGGTGAGAGGAGGAAGAGGAGGAAGAGGAGGACGAAGAGGAGGAGGACGAGGACGAGGAGGAGTCAGCTGGCTTTAAGGAAAGGCAACAAAGATCAGCACCGGAGTTGCGCCTTCGTGTTTTAGTGTTACTCTACAGTATGTGTGTGTGGGTGTGTGTGTCTAATCATATGGTGGTGGCAAACGTCTGTTCTTATGAGCCCAAAGGGGGATGTGTGTGTGTGTGTGTGTGTGTGTGGTGTTGCTGCTGTTCCCTCATAGACCACTTTAATCTGAATCACCTTCTTTGAAAGACTGAAAAGTGTAGACGCTGTGTGGGAAACATCCGCCCAGTCCTTTAAAGTCTGGAAAACGGGGTGATGGGAAGGGCTGTCTGTTTCTTATGAGCATGCTTGATGTGGCGCTTCCATCCGTTTTCTTTCTGCCCGCTGAAGCTACGTTAGAGACTCAGACTGGGTTCACTTAATCTGGTTTTTGTCATGTTGATCTTTTTGACCAGAAAACTTGTTGCAACTTGTAAACCACATAAACTCATCTTTGCTTTTTTGTAATTGACCCTAACTTTAAGTTGCCCTCAAGCCAAAGAAGCAGCTAACGACCACATTAAGGTATTAATCTGGAAAACGACACAGGGAGAAACCTGCTGGTCGTCACTGGGATTGCATCATTTCAGACTGGAGCCATAGTTTAACTGGATGATCAATCTATAGCTCAGGCCATGTTAAAATGCCTCAGGATCACAAAACAGATGAGAAAACTAGAGCCATGGCTTCCCCCCTCCAAAGGTAATCAAACCTTTGAGAGGAAACGTGCAAAAAGGAGCAAAAAAGTATCAAAGCAAATAAATAAATAAATGAGCAGTAATGGTAAAAATCAGGAATGAAAAGAAGAATTACAGAAACAAGAGCAGAAAAAGAAAAATGAAATATTGATGAATAAACTAGAATGTATTTTTTTTAAGGAACAAAGAAAGCGAGGAGTGATTGTAACAGGGCCATTGCATACTTAGTTAATACTTTGTTCAGGGGATCTAAGTAGTAAACATGGCACCAATAAATAATAATGTGTTGTTGTGAAGAAAAGTCTGGAGGATAGAACTGTCTGTGGGGGTGTGAAATTTGGCATATGGTAAGAAGGCAGCTGGTAAAAACACTGTTGATTTTTGTGTGAGAAGACTGTAGAAAGGGACTTATGAATGAATTAATGACTAAGGAAGGAAGGAAGGAAGGAAGGAAGGATGACTGATGGATGGAGGAAGGCATGGATAGTGGGATGGATGAAGGAAAGAAGGAAGGAAGGAATGAAAGAAGGAAGGAAGGAAGGAAGGAAGGAAGGAAGGAAGGGAGGGAGGAATGGAAGGAAAGAGAGAGGGTTATGTCAAGGAAGGAAGGAAGAAAGAAAGAAAGACAGAAAGAAGGAAGGAAATAAGGAAGAATGTGGAGGGAGGAAGGAAAAATGATGGGGTGGGAAGGTAGGAAGGAATAAATGAAGGAAGGAAGGAAGGAATGATGGAGGGAGGAAGGACGGGATGAAGGAAGGAAGGACGGAAAATAGGATGAAGGGCATGGAGAGAGGAAGGAAGGAAGGAAGGAAGAAAGGAAGGAAATAAAGAAAAATGGAAGAATGATGGAGGGCGTAAGGATGGGATGAAGGGATGAAGGAAGGAAGGACGGAAAGTAGGACAACGGGCATGGAGAGAGGGAAGATGGAGGATAAATAGAAGGAAGGAAGGAACGAGGAATGAATGAATGAAGGAAGGAAGGAAGGAAGGAAGGAAGGAAGGAAGGAAGGAAAGAAGGAAGGAAGGAAAGAAGGAAGGAAGAATGGAGGGAGCAGGGAAGGATGATGGAGGGAGGAAGGGAGAAAGAATAATGGAGGGAGAAAGGAAAGAAGGAAGGAAGGATGGAGGCCTTTCAGAGGGTGGTAGATGGAGGAAGAAAGGAAGGAAGGAAGGAAATAAGGCATAGCGAGAGGAATAGATGATGGATGGAAGGAAGGAAGGAAGGAAGGAAGAAAGGAAGGAAGGAGGGAAGGAAGGAAGGAGGGCATAGAGAGGGTTGATAGATGGAGGAAGAAAGAACGGAAAGAAGGAAGGAAGGCAAAGAGAGAGGAATGGCTGGATGAAGGGAAGGGAATGGATGAAGGGAAGGGTAGGGGGAGTATGCAGGAATGTGTGTCTACTGCATCACTAAGGAGATTCTGTGTCTCAGTGTGATACATTTCAGTGTAAATTTACTTTTGGATTCATTATTGTTTAAATTAAAATAAAGTATAAGACGTTAGAAATGTAAGTGGAAAAAAGTAGAATTTTTTATGTTTTTTATAATAATAAAACCAACCCAAAGGAAAGGCATTTCAAGGAAATTAATTCCACTGAAGAAATTATGAATATTTAATAAAATAAAAGGAAAAGAAATTAAATCAACCCTTTTTTCCTATAGCATCAGACTTTTGTCAGGCAAAGAAATTCAACAGTTCGGTCATTGCCATGGGTAACAAAGGTGTCATTTTGTTTAAAATTTTGAGGCTATTTCACCCATTTTTGATCAATACATTGGATTTTTCCTCCATGAAAAAGAATAAATCAAACAAACTGGGGTCTAACGTACCTTAAATAGCCAATCAAAGGTTGACTTGGTTTGGGGCAAGTTAACCGTATTAAAACAGACCTGTATTACCCAGCTTGCTGTTTTAGGTGAGCAAGCAGCACCGCAAACCAACGAGGAAAAACGACAGAAAAAGAGAAATAAACATAAACAAGAGTAAGAAGTTCAGAGAGAAAAGGAGGAAGATAGAAAGAGGAGGAGGAGGCATTCCAAAGAGAAAGAGGAGAAGTTGATGCAGTTCATGTTAGCATCCTCTGCAAGACACTGCTCATAGCAATCCACTACCAATCTATTCACACTCGTTCTACTCAAACCAAACTAAAATGTAAAAAAATCCAGAAAAAGTTTAAGAAGCACCCGCAGGTCGCTGGGGAGTATTAGAGACCCGGGACTGAGGAAACATTTATGGGTCAGAAAAAATAAATAAATTTAGCTAATCTAAGTCAGCAAATACCCAAAGGGCAGGGATGTGGGTGAATTCAGATGGCATAAATTGGCTTTTTAATATTAACTACAAACAGAAAAAATAACATTTTAAAAGCTAGCCCGTCACTGCACTCCACTGTACACTGTCAGCATTAATAAAAAATGGAGGAGCTGCTGATTTTGTATTCTAGATATGTTGCTAAGCAGTAAAAAATCAGGCCAACGTTTAAAATGTCAAAGTCACAAAGTTCCAGATTGAAGTGCGGAGAGTTTCTTAAAAAGACGAAAAAAGAAAACAGAAAAAAGTTGCTTGGGCATCTATCTTATCACCCCAAAATAAATAAATAAATAAGTAAATAATTACAAAACACCAAAGGAAAAGGGGAACTAGATATCTTCAGTCATGCCTTTAAATTTTGAGTAAAAACTGAAAATAATGTCTCATTCAGCTAGCTAAATCAATCAGTCAATCTCCGTTTGTTCAAATCAATCAAAATAAAAGCAAACTCCAAACCAAAGTGTGCAGTGCAAAAATCTGTGAACTGTATAGATGACCAAGGTGTGATGACAAAGGTGTGCATCGCTGGCCAAGTAAACCCCACTGATCTTTTCCTAAAAGCTGTTATAAGTAAATATTGCTTGCTCTTCATAGATGCATTTAAATAACACGTTCCTTGTATATTCGCTCTCAAGGAACCACAACTACATTTCCACCACAAAGGTACAGAGAATGGCTGAATAAAGCATGTCCTGTCCTGGTACAGTTTATGTCCTGTGTCTTTTCGAAGCAGCCTTATGAGCTTCACATGAGTGCAAATGGATCTCCCTTCTAAAGACACGAGAACAAGTGCAAAGCTCATTCTCTCCTGGGAGATAAATCCGCCCCATTGGTATGCCAGACCAGTGTTTTCTGAGAGGGAACACACTGCATTCCAGATCCCTGGAATACACCATCGCATCATGCACATCTAACAGCTGAAGCCTATGTCCTCTCAAACCTTAAAGTAAAATCATCTATATTTGAACTGAAATGACCAAGTGTAGATTCACATTTAGTGAACAGATATTAAACAGTAATTAAACAGTAATCAGCTCCTCTTTCATCTACTCATTTGGTCTGAATATTACTTTTAAAGATGTGGAACACTAAAAAAACATTTTTAAAATCATCTGTCTGATCATTATCGGCTTCTGATAGAAAAAGACACGGTGAAACGCTAGGATTTGAAAATCCTGATAGATCTACGTCACACTGTCACTTAACATTTATGGACTCATCCATCTTGACTTTCGACAAAGAAGGTTTTTGATTTTTTAGCGTCCAGGTAAACATCAGAGAACGTCTCGACTAGTAGAAGCTAACAGTTAGCATTAGCGACTCCACCACACAGCAGAACTCCTCCAGGCTTGTGCTATTTGTGGAGATAAAACATCAATGTTGCAGGGCTAATGATGTCAGTGGTAGTCATGTTGCTGTTGGCCAATCAGAGGGGAGATGTCCAAATATCAGGAAATAAGAAGCTCAGCTGTGATGTGGCTCAATACCATTTCCTGAAAATGGTGCACCAGAGCTTTGTTTCCCCAGATTATGACTTACAAGGCATTTATCCTTACTAGAGACCACTGCATATGCATTTATTAAATGAGTGTTCCACACCTTTAAATAAGCATAGAAATCTTCAAAAACTGAATCTAGATTTTGTCCTGTTTCCCAACAATTCTCCTGCCAAAAACATTTTCAGTGTCTCATAAATAAAAACAACCCCAGAAGTCACAATAGACACTCAACATTTAGTACTCCGGGTATTCATTCTTATTCAGACCCACCGCTGACCATAAGGCCCCATGCTGATAATAAATGGATTCATGCATACATTTACATGAATTTCATGGGTACTGAATAAATCCATTTATGGATGAAATTGACCCCATGTATGCACATTTTTGACAAAAGCAACTTGCATTTTTCTCATGTGAACTTTAGGGATTTCCCGTGTTTCATAAATTCTTGGTGTTTTTGGTCTTTAGCCTAAAACCACTTGGTTCAAAAGATTTCTACTTGTCCATTCATGCAAGAAAATGTTTTGGCATGTGTTGCTGATCTAATGTTGACACTAACAGGCCTGCATGTACCACCTTTGCATCTGTCATGCTATACAGCTTCCATCATGCCACAGTGATGCTTCATTTTCTGTGGCAATGATGACACATCTGAACAGGTGTACCCAAACCAAGTGCTGAGGAAATGCAGTCACGGTTCTGCTGACCAATGCAGAAATCTCCAATGAAATTAATGCTCAACAGACCGAGGCTTGTTTACCTATCTGAAGCCACGTCCAATTTTTAGAAATCCAAATAAAATAAAATAATAAGAATTAATCTCAGACTTTTGCATCAAAACAGAAGTAAAAAGAGTGGAAGGGGGGTCTGGAAAACAAGTAGATAGAGCTTATGATCTACTTTTGTTGAAATCATGGAAAACTACAAAGAAGATTAGGATAAGTCATATGTAGAAGAGGTATTATAACTCTAAAAAGCTCTGCCCTAAAAGGAAATTACAGTTTATAGAGCAACATGCAGATATTTCACATGCCAGAGACGTTCAAATACAGTTCAGAAGAAGTTTTTTGATCATCTGAAAGCTTGCAAGATAGGAATCGACGCTCGGTCTGTTTGTGTGTGAGAGAATGGCAGATCAGGCAGGAAGGGAGGGAGGGAGTTGGACTACTTACGTTAACCTCAGTGATCGCTATGTCAACAATGCTACCCACAACTATCAAGGCATCAAATGTGTTCCATGCATCAACAAAATAGTGCTGCGTGGGGGTGGGAAGGAAAGGAAAAACAACAGAAAAGAATAGGACAAAACACAAGACATCAAAAAAATGAAAAAAAAAAAAAAAACAGAAATGAAAGGAGAGAGGAGAAAAAAGAAAGATAATAAACATTACATACATGAGCACTGGAGTTCTGAGTAGGAGGTAACAGGGAGAGATTTAACAAAATAAAAGGCAAAAGAGAAGGGGCAATCTGGAAGAGATGGACAGCAGAGGAGGAACAGCAGCGACTGGTCATGCTCGTCCATGAGAGAAAATGTCATTAAGAACAACAGTCGAGAACAAACAACAACAACAACAACAACAACAAAAGTGCCCTTTGTTGGAGTTAAAAAGCTGTGTGAGTTTGTGACTGGTAAGTGGGTTAGTTCAGTTAGTTTGTGGTAAATTCAGTTTGAGTAAATGCCACAGAGTAACCAGAATAAATAAATAAATAAATAAATAAAACCCTAAAGTAGTCCAAGAACTAGAAAGATAAACAAACCAGAGCAAAACAGCTAAACCCTGCCTGTGCCCACTCCTTTGGTGACAGCATGATCTTGTTCAGAGAGAGTTCCCCCTGAGTGGCAGCGGTCATCTTGGATTTAAGTATGAAGGGACAGGAAGGAGGAGGAAGAGGAGAAGAGGAAGAAGGAAGAGGCTGACGAACAAGACAGAAACAGCTCAATTTAGAAGAGTCAAAAAAGGGGAGAAAAGGAAAGACACGACAGAGGAGGAGAGACAATGAAAGGGGGCGTCGTACTTACGTTGATTTCACTGAGAATGACGTCTATTATGCTGCCAATTACGATGAGGAAATCAAACACATTCCAGGGATCACTAAAGTACCCCTGCACAGGATGAGGTGAGCAAGAGGAGGAGGAGGGTGAGAAAGGTATGTTAGAAGGGAAACAACATCTGCTGCCACTTCGCAGACCCCATTAAGGTTGTATGAAGTCGTACGGTCCAACGAAAGACTGAAAAAGTCAGCTAGAGTTAATGAGCCGCCACATGAAAGCAGTTTCCGATCTGTTATCTGCTCATGGAGCGCAGCACAGTTCATGGTCGGTTAAAGATGGTGTGTTAAACTGCAGTTATTTATGTTTTCTGACTCAACTTAAAACATTTCAGTTTGTAGCCAATTCACAATCTGGAGGAAGGTAAACACACATTTCTATTTTCAGGGCATATAAGTGATGATTCAGTAAAATACATTTATGTTGATATGTAAATTAATAAAAAAAAGCCCCCAAATAGTCCGGTTCAGCTGTGGTTCTAGTGGTGATGCTTTCAGTCTCAGTGATATTAGTGCAAAATGAAGCATCAGACTTAGTAAGGTGGACCGTGGCATCGTTATTTAAATCTGATGTGACAAACTACATAACTCCCAGGTACACACCCCTTTCTAAACAAAGAAAAAGAAAAGTTTGGGCACCAGGAAACATAAAAAAATCATAAAAAAACAAAATCACACCACTTGATTGAAAATAATAAAGAAGCAAGAAAGACAAAACATTTAACAAAAAAAAGTTAAAACATTCTAAATCTGTTGCTCTTCTGTGGATGAGAGAAAAACCTGTTAAAAACAGACAGTCCCATAAATCACATCATACTGCTGCTAAATCCGCAAACTCCTCATGACTCCTGAACCTGTGAAGAAAGAACAAGCTCTTCTGTGTTCACATCAACAGTTCATACATCAAATCTTCCAAAACAAAGCACATCTTGAGCCTTTTCAGAGACATGTAGCATGCAGATGACACATTTTACATCTGAGCTCATGAAAAAGTGCATAAACCTCGTAGACATTCTCACCTTTAGATTTGTGTCTAAAACCTTCATCATACTGGGTCAATAAAATATAATTAGCAGTTTGATGCTCAAATTAGATGCTTATAAATGCATTGTACTCATGTGTGTAAATATAACATCTAAAGGTGTCATACTGCTGTTTGCTTAGGGCCCTGAAAAGAAGGCTATTGGCCCTTTGCACGTGACGTCACGCCACTCATGGGACCGCCCCGTTCGCCATGATGGACGGCAAAAAGACCGTTTACACACATTGAAACTCTGGTGAAGCTAGTCAAAAAAAATCCAGTTTGTAGCCTTTTATCACTTTTATTTAGTTGTTTTCACAGTAAAATGTACCAACTTGCTATGTGGCTGGCTGCACTAACAGACAAGGATGTGAAGTCAACTAGTTTTATTTATCTTTTTTCAAATAACGTTGATCGAGACTGAGGACGGAGAACGGACTAGCAGCCCTCAGGTTTACATCGAACGTGTTTTTACCATGTAAGATTAAGGATTTATTTATTTATTTCATGACAAAGACAGGGACAAACGTGATGCGTTCTTCTGATGGATGGATATTTCACCATGGAGGACACGCGGTACCGTCCACTGTAGTGACATGCGAGATAATTAATTACAATATTGCTCCAATGTATGATTACGCGTGCTAAAATTACGTTACGAGCGTTGCCGTTAAGAGGGATCTTGTCTCATCCCGGTGTGAGAGCAGCAGCTGAACACGCGGTAACACCACCAGCAAAAAAACTAGTAGGGATCCAGACGTTTTTAAAATCAGCTTCGGTGTAAAGTGAAACGCTGTTTATAACATAATTTTATAAATCCAGTCGGGTGAATTTAGGCAAAGTAGGCAGCTTGTTCACATCGGTGAACAGCTGCAGAGAGAACTTAAGCTAACGTTCGTAAGCTAGTTAATAACACTTAACTTCTGTAAATACCGCTCCCTATGAGCCCCATCTAGGTGCGCTACTTCTTCTGATAACTGAGCATGGGCTTGAACTAGTAGAGGGAATGCTAAAGATCGCAAAAACAATTTCAGGCTCTACTTTTCCTGTTGTTTAGTACTCGTGTCGCTCACTGTTTACATGCTTTCGCCGTCCAGTATGGCGGACCCACGTGATTAGGTGACGTAGGTGCAAAGGGTCAATAATAAATATAAATATAAATATTTACACCTAAAGCAGGAAGTTGGATTCCTTTTTTTCAGCAGATTACCAATTCCTGTAGAACAATCTTACATAGATCTTATGTGAGCCGTTACAACAATAACAGAAAAACTACTCAAAAGAAAGATTTAAATGACTGATTGTGCTGAGGGATTTTCCATTAACACCGGTGTAATTGAGTGAAACATTCACATCTGTTGATGTCTGAAAGGCTGACACACAAGGGCGCTGTCTACGAAACTACACGACTGCATGCAGCAGTTGAGGTGAGCAGTGAGATATAAAAACTACGTTATGCTTTCTGCTAGATGTCTTAGAATATTCACAACCAAGGTGCTGTGTCAGTTACAGCGATCGGTTAATACTCATTCTAAACACAACTTGTTTTCCTATCCAAAGCTAAACGTCTGTACCTACCCTGGGTTTGAAGGCAATCAGCTTGAGGATCATCTCTACTGTGAACAGGCCGGTGAAGAGCATGTTGAGGATGTTCATGGCATCATTGAAGTTTTTCGTCTGCCCATGATGCTACAAAAGCCCAAATGAGAGTCATCGCGTGGATAACGTTTCCTTATCTTATCTAAGGGATGCTATGGAGTCCATATTTATATGCAGGTAAACATCTTTGTGACTCACCTGCATGGCCAGACAGATGGTGTTGAGAAGAATGAGGGTAAACATCAGGTACTCAAAGTAGGTGGAGTTGACCACGTACCACACCTTGTACTGATAGGGGTTCTTGGGGATGTAGCGACGCAGAGGGCGAGCCTTCAGGGCATACTCCACACACTGACGCTGTGACACGCATCCACACAGGTGAGCATGACAAGTCGCTTTGTAAAGCTAACATCTTTCATTTGGAAAAGTTATTTAGCTGTTCCTCGAGAATAAAAACACTCCCACGACGAGTGAAAGAACACAGGTGCAGGGAAGCACAGAACGAAAACGAACTCTACCTGGTTCTTGTCTAGCTCACAGTTCTTGTATTCCTGCTCTCCTTGCTCCTGGAACGTGACGATGACGAAACCGACGAAGATGTTCATCATAAAGAAGGCGATGATGATGATGTAGATGATGAAGAAGATGGAGATGACCACACGGTAGTTATAGATGGGGCCGACATCCTCGGTGTGAGAGTCGATGGCTCGGTACAGTAAGCTGAGCAGGGGAGTTGGAGAAGATGGAGGAGAACAAAAGGAATAAAGAAGCTTTTCATGAGCTGATGAGGAACCCACCATGTTGATGGAGTTCGCATGAGAACACTCACCCTGGCCAGCCCTCAAAGGTAGACACAGCAAAAAGAGCCATCATTCCCTGCAGGACATCGTCAAAGTTGAAATCACTGTTCTCCCAGTTTCTCAGCGCTTTTTCAGGCTTCCCCACATTTCCATCCTTATACGTGATGTAAGAACCCCTGAAACACAAACACACATGATCGTTGCAGGCTGAGATGAAAATAACAATCAGTCGGCAGAGCAAAAGAGGTTCCTCTTACCTGCACTCAGCCTGAGTTTGCTTAGAGCTGTCGGTACAGTAGAAGAACTTGCCCTGATTTAAAAATAAGCAAAAACCTCTGATGAATCTTTTTAAACCCTGCAGACAGTTTCAGAGCTGACCCATTTGTTTTTATCTGCTCCTTCTTACCTTGAAGAGTTGCACGCCGATGCAGGCGAACATGAACTGGAGCAAAGTGGTGACGATGACGATGTTGCCGATTGTCCTGATGGCCACAAACACACACTGCACCACGTGCTGAAAAACACAGAAAACAAGAGTGAGTGTGTTTCAGGAAAGAAATATCTCTTTCTGGTTTCAGTGTGTGAACCTTTAGGCCTTTAGCTCGGTTGATTGCTCTCAGTGGTCGGAGCACTCGCAGGACTCTCAGAATCTTTACAACGTTGATGGCACTAGACCTGAAAAACAGCAAATATACTTCTTACAAAAGGTGATGACACACGTTATAGCTAGAACAGGATATTGCTTTTCCATCAGCATTTTGCACAACAACAAGAACACACACACACACACACACACACACACACACACACACACACACACACACACACACACACACACACACACACACACACACACACACACACACACACACACACACACACACACACACACACACACACAATTACTTTATTAGCAAAAAATCTGCATGAATATTATGTTAAGTTAAAGTACATAATTATATATTTTTTATAATTTTAATTAGAAGCAGAATAAAAAAAGTGTAAAACTATTTAAAGTGCAATGATTTACCTATTTTAGAGCTGTTGTGAATTAAAGAAACTATAAAAAAATCTACAGTACGTAATTCAATAATGAATGCTGTTAAAGGTGCAGTGTGTACAAATGAAGTAAGACGACATCCTGTGGTTAAACTTGGTTGCTGCATTCACTCTCTCGCTCCTGTTTAGTGAGTTTCATGGCTGTTACCAGAATATTCTAGATAACAAGCAAAGACAAGTCATACATAGTAAGTTAATAAGTAGATAAATACATAGTCAGAGCTGGTGCTAGCACTTTTGGGTGCAGGGAGCACTAACTGCACTTATTACTAGGGATGTACCGATACTTGGATCTGAGTACTCGTCGATACCAATTACCGATACTTCTACCACACAAAAAAAATGCAATGAATTGGAATACAGGTTTTATTTTCTTCTCTGCTTTCAACAGGAAAAGACTGAGGTAGATAAAAATAAGATATATCAATATAAATGATCACAAAACTAAAATTTTAGGAGAACAGAAATGACAAGTTACAGTAAAGCCACTTTCAGGCAACTGCATTGATATCGGTTCTGGCTATCGGTTAACTTTTATCGATACCGATACCAGCATCCCTACTTATTACGATAATATGCTTGTGGCATTAGAGGAAGTGTTGACTTTACGGTCTAGCTACTCACAAATAACATTTATGTAAACGCGATGTGGACTGGTGTTGCCTATTAGAGCTGGCATAGCGGCAGTCCGACATCTTGGATGGGTCTGCATTCACCCCCAGTGCATTCATTTCTACTGAGGAAGCTGCTAACCCAACAAAAATACATTTTATCAAGCTTTTTCACAAAATCAGACATATAGCTTGCTGTTATTGCTCTGAACGACTCATTAAATGAAGCAAGATGCCACGATTGATTAATTATTGACACAAGTGTTTGGTAATTGAAAAAGAAGCTTGACTATTTTTTTTTATTCACCATTAGCACTGTTAGCTCAACTTTAGCCTCTAGCACTTCTTTACCTGATAATAAAGCAAAAGAAAAAGATGCCGTGACTTCTCGGGGATGTGAGGAATCACTTTTGCGTCACTCTTGTTTTAGGATTATTTCACTGTAGAATTCTCACTTTATTCTTACACACTGCACCTTTAATGTTAACTGATTAGGGGTTGTTCATTAATTGGTCAAATTCTAAAGTATTTTTAATACATCACAAGAGATTTTAGAAGCAATTTATTTGAATACTTTTAAATAACACTGAAAACACACACAAACACATATTCAACATAAATAGATAGACCTAAAGACACACACACACACACACACACACACACACACACACACACACACACACACACACACACACACACACACACACACACACACACACACACACACACACACACACACACTGACATTTACAGGCAAACTGTGCTGTAAAAGAGTGTCAGTACAAGCCAACGGTTAAAAAGTGCCCCTTTTAAAAGGAGGTGATTGAAAATAATGGATTTTAAAATAATAATAACAAAATAATCAAATTAATGCATTGACATTTTGAGTCCAGCAATAACTGATTATAAGACCAAGAAAATAATTGTTTTTGTGATCTCTTCCTTAATTATTAGTTCATTAACATGCTAATTATCTAACTCACCACTGTCACTGCCTTTAGTTTCAGTGTGGAAAGATAATAATCTTGTTGCTCAGATTAAACAAGAACAAATGAACAACTTTTTATCTGCTTTTCTCCACAGCGCACACAAAAAAGGGCAGCAGAGAAGAAGTAGGTTCAAAATGTCAACGCACATCTTTGGGGGTGAGGTGGGTGGGGTGGGGAGGCTTTTTTAGGAGGTTAAAGGAGTGATTTACACAGAAACATTATTCTGAAAGAGAGAAAACAAACAACACCCGTTGTGCAACTCTTTACAGAGGAAGGAAGAGTTTGAAAGCAGTTAAAGGCAGTTTCCGTGGAGTGGGATGTTATCAGCCACATATCACAGTAAAACCAGCTGTGAGGATATGCTCTAGTTACAGTACAAATTCATACAGAGTCAAAAGCAATTTAAATACAACACTTTTAGATGTTGCAACAAGCTCTGTGGCTGACAGGGATGAAGAACACCATTTACCAACCACCTGATGACAAGAAGTACTCTATCCATCTACAAGAAAGCAAAAAATAGATTTGAGGTCATACGATGTCAATGTTTTTATTGGCCAAGATGCCATTATTCTTTCATCTTCAGCGCTGTCATGTTATGGCTATTAAATCTGAAATTATGTCAAAGACAGGAGCATATAAAGGAGTACGAGGGTTTTTGTTAGGAATTACAGGTCTGATGGCTCCTTTTTCACTGAATCATGGCAACAGAATGATGCATAAACCCTAAATAAATGATCCATCGGGCAACAGCAAAAGGAACTCTAAAGGCACGATTAGATGCAACACCATCACAATGAATTTAACTGTGATACATTCAAGAAAAATCCCACACACTCACTCGCTGCCTTTAACAGGCAAAACCCCACAGAGTTTAACATCCATGTGCAATTTCTATAGACCAGGAGAGTTTCATTCATCCACAAATATGAGAAATCAACTTGACCCGTTAACCAGACATGAAAGGCAGCTGCAGATTGCAGGTCAGTTTCTTCATAATGTTGACTTAATTTCCTTTTTCAAACATATTTTATGGTTAAACCCAAATTATAACACATTTTTAGTGTGAAATCTGCCACAAAATACTTTTCCTTAGCAAAAAAACACAAGTACAGAATACTAAAACTGCGTTTTGCAGGAAAACTAATTCTGTTGACATTTGTTTTGTTCTGTTTTAATGACCACCTTAACTAAACTCTCCAGGACCATAGAAACATCAAATTAAAGGTGTGACAGCTTTACACGGTTAAGGTGAAGGTCTGTTAAAGGGGGTTATTAATATGGGCTAATACGGACTTACTTCGAGAAGTCTAGGCTATTAAGCATTAGAGACAGAGAGTGTAGTATAGCATATTAAATACACATCACAGCATTTCAAGGTGTTATTAGAAGCAGAAAACATTTTACAAGTCACAGATAGAGGTTTGAGTGTAACATAGCATGCAGTTGTTCAGAGAAGTGTGAAGCACAGCACAGTTTCAAACCTGTGTGTATTTGAACTTCATCTCATGCAGTGGCCTCCGTTTGTGCAGGTACACTGAATAACACCAATGTGAGTTTGCTATATGTGCACAGCTACTCAACAGTAATGAAGGTGTTTGTGGTCAGATTTTTTTCTAAATAAAAATGCTAGAGGAGTGAACAAGGTAAGTGTGACTAAAAATATAAAACATGCACAAGGAATGCAAGATTCTGCACTCACTGTATTCCAGAAGAGATGAGGGACACACTGACCACCACCAAGTCCAGGATGTTGAAATAATTTCTACAGAATGAACCTTTATGCAAGAAGGCTCCATAGGCTGTCATCTGCAAAGAATGCATCAGTTGGTTCAGTACAGAAAAGCAAAGCCAGCTTACGTCATGATTTGACTGGTGAAGCTGATGACTTCTTTTATCCTTAATCAGAATCAGAAAAGGTTTATTGCCATTGTCAGTGAACAAGCAGTTCACAAACTAGGAACTTGCTTCGGTACTAACGTGCTACATATAACATGAACAATAAATTTCAAAAATAGAATAAGTAGAATAAAATATAATAAAACTAGCATAAAACATTCAGCTATAAAAAAAAGGCAGGTAATGGTAATATGGCCGATAACGTGACGTTATGTCAAGTACAGAAGACGAACATGGTTGTGTGTTTATAAGCTGTTCACAAGTCTAACGGCAGATGGAAAGAAGCTGTTCTGATGGCGGGAGGTTCTGGTCCGGATGGACCGTAACCTCCTGCCTGAGGGGAGCGGCTCAAAAAGTCTGTGACCCTGGTGCGAAGGGTCAGCTGCTATCCCACCTGCACGCCCCCGAGTTCTGGAGACGTACAGGTCCTGGAGAGATGGAAGGCTGCAGCCAATCACCTTCTCAGCAGAGTGCACAATGTGCTGCAGTGTATTTTTGTCCCTCACTGTGGCTCCAGCGTACCACACAGCGATGGAGGAGGTGAGGATGGACTCAATGATGGCCGTGTAAAACTGCACCATCATCTGGGCCGGCAGCTTGGCCTTTTTCAACTGCTGCAGAAAGTACATCCTCTGCTGGGCCTTTTTGAGCAGGGAGCTGATGGATGGCTCCCACCTAAGGTCCTGTGTGATGGTGGTTCTGAGGAAGTGGAAGGAGTCCACAGTGGTGACGGGGGTGTCCGTCAGGACGAGGGGGAGAGATGGGGCTGTGACTTTCCTGAAGTCTTAATGCATCACGAAAAATTAATGATTTAGTATTCTATATCCTTGAACCGTCACCTTATCGTGGTGGAGGAGTTTGAGTGCCCTAATGATCCTAGGAGCTATGTTGTCTGGGGCACTTAGTGCCCCTGGTAGGGTCTCCCATGACAAATTGGTCTTAGGTGAAGGGTGAGACAAAGAACGGTTCAAAGGATCTTTCATGGCGGTTAAAACGAAGAGTCGGAGTACCCGGCCCGGAGGGTTACCGGGGTCCCACCCTGGAGCCAGGCCTGGGGTTGGGGCCCGTGAGCGAGCGCCTGGTGGCCGGGCTTTCGCCCATGGGGCCCGGCCGGGCCCAGCCCGAACCGGATACATGGGCTCGTCCAACTGTGGACCCACCACCCGCAGCAGGAACATGAAGGGTCCGGTGCAATGCGAATCGGGTGGCAGACCAAGGCGGGAGCCTTGGCGGTCCAATCCCCGGACAAGAAAACTAGTTTTTGGGACATGGAACGTCACCTCGCTGGCGGGGAAGGAGCCGGAGCTTGTGGCAGAGGTTGAGCGGTACCGGCTAGATATAGTCGGACTCACCTCGACACATTGCATTGGCTCTGGAACCCGAGACCTGGAGAGGGGTTGGACACTCTACTTTGCTGGAGTTGCTCCGGGTGAGAGGCGGAGGGCTGGGGTTGGCTTTTTGTTAGCCCCGAGACTCTCTGCCTGTGTGTTGGGGTTTACCCCGGGGGACAAGAGGGTAGCTTCCTTGCGCCTTCGGGTCGGGGAACGGGTCCTGACTGTTGTTTGTGCTTATGGGCCAAATATCAGTTCAGAGTACCCACCCTTTTTGGAGTCCCTAGGACGAGTGCTAGATAGTGCTCCATCAGGGGACTCCATTGTCCTGCTGGGGGACTTCAATGCTCACGTGGGCAATGACAGCTTGACCTGGAGGGGTGTGATTGGGAGGAACGGCCCACCTAATCTGAACTTGAGCGGTGTTTTGTTATTGGACGTCTATGCAAGCCGCAGTTTGGCCATAACGAACACCATGTTCGAACATAAGGATGCCCATCGATACACTTGGTACCAGGGCAGCCTAGGTCACAGATCGATGATAGATTTTGTAGTCGTATCATCTGACCTGCGGCCGTATGTTTTGGACACCCGAGTGAAGAGAGGGGCGGAGCTGTCAACTGATCACCACCTGGTGGTGAGTTGGATCAGATGGCAAGGGAAGATGCCGCGTAGACCTGGCAGACCCAAACGCATAGTGAGGGTCTGCTGGGAACGCCTGGCAGAAGAACCTGTCAAGACGGTCTTCAACTCCCACCTCCGGCAGAGCTTTGACCACGTCCCGAGAGCAGTGGGGGACATTGAGTCCGAGTGGGCCTTGTTCCACTCTGCGATTGTCGAGGCGGCTGTTGCTAGCTGTGGTTGTAAGGTGGCCGGTGCCAGTCGTGGTGGCAACCCCCGTACCCGCTGGTGGACACCAGAGGTTCGGGGAGCCGTCAGGCTGAAGAAGGAGGCCTACAGGGCGTGGCTGGTCTGTGGGTCTCCGGAGGCAGCAGACAGGTACCGGATAGCCAAGCGGGGTGCAGCAGTGGCAGTTGCCGAGGCAAAATCTCGGGCGTGGGAGGAGTTTGGTGAGGCCATGGAGAAAGACTATCGATCGGCTCCAAAGAGGTTCTGGCAAACTGTCCGGCGCCTCAGGAGAGGAAGGCAGCAACTCGCTCACACTGTTTACAGTGGGGATGGGGAGCTGCTGACGTCAACTGAGGCTATAGTCGGACGGTGGAAGGAATACTTTGAGGAGCTCCTCAATCCCACCAATGCGCATTCCGAGGAGGAACCAGAGCTGGGAGGCCTGGGGATGGACTGTCCGATCTCGGGGGCAGAAGTTGCTGAGGTAGTCAAACAACTACACAGCGGCGGAGCCCCGGGGGCGGATGAGGTTCGTCCTGGGTATCACAAGGCTATGGATGTTGTAGGGCTGTCATGGTTGACACGTCTCTACAACATTGCGTGGTCATCGGGGGCAGTTCCTAGGGAGTGGCAGACCGGGGTGGTGGTCCCCATCTTTAAGAAGGGTGACCTGAGGGTGTGTTCCAACTATAGGGGGATCACACTCCTCAGCCTCCCTGGAAAGGTCTACGCCAAGGTACTGGAGAGGAGGGTCCGATCGATAGTTGAATCTCAGATAGAGGAGGAGCAATGTGGTTTTCGTCCTGGCCGTGGAACTGTGGACCAGCTCTATACCCTTGCAAGGGTGATGGAGGGGGCATGGGAGTTTGCCCAACCAATCCACATGTGCTTTGTGGATTTGGAGAAGGCTTATGACCGTGTCCCCAGGGGCACCCTGTGGGGGACGCTCCAGGAGTATGGGGTGGGTGGCTTTCTGTTAAGGGCCATTCAGTCCCTTTACCAGAGGAGCGTGAGTTTGGTCCGCATAGCCGGTAGTAAGTCGGACCTGTTCCCAGTGAGGGTTGGACTCCGCCAGGGCTGCCCTTTGTCACCGGTTCTGTTCATCACTTTTATGGACAGAATTTCTAGACGCAGCCGTGGTGTAGAGTGTGTCGAGTTTGGTGGCAGGAGAATCTCGTCTCTGCTTTTTGCGGATGATGTGGTCCTCCTAGCTTCATCCAGCTCTGACCTTCAGCTCTTGCTGGGTAGGTTCGCGGCCGAATGTGAAGCGGCTGGGATGAGGATCAGCACCTCCAAATCTGAGACCATGGTTCTCGACCGGAAAAGGGTGGCTTGCCACCTCCGGGTCGGGGGAGAGGTCCTACCTCAAGTGGAGGAGTTTAAGTATCTCGGGGTCTTGTTCACGAGTGAGGGTAGGAGGGATCGGGAGATCGACAGGCGGATTGGTTCGGCGTCTGCAGTGATGCGGACGCTGAGCCGATCTGTCGTGGGGAAGAGGGAGCTGAGCCAGAAAGCCAGGCTCTCGATTTACCGGTCGATCTACGTCCCAATCCTCACCTATGGTCATGAGCTTTGGGTAATGACCGAAAGAACGAGATCGCGGATACAAGCGGCCGAAATGAGTTTCCTCCATAGGGTGGCCGGGCTCAGCCTTAGAGATAGGGTGAGGAGCTCGGACATTCGGGAGGGACTCGGAGTAGAACCGCTGCTCCTCCGGATCGAAAGGAGCCAGTTGAGGTGGTTTGGGCATCTGGTCAGGATGCCTCCTGGACGCCTCCCCGGGGAGGTGTTTCGGGCATGTCCTGCCGGCAGAAGGCCCCCCGGGTCGACCCAGGACACGTTGGAGAGGTTACATCTCCAATCTGGTCCGGGAACGCCTTGGGGTCCTGCCGGAGGAGCTGGTGGACAAGGCCGGGGAGAGGACGGCCTGGAGCTCCCTAATTGGGATGCTGCCCCCGCGACCCGGACCCGGATAAGCGGAGGAAGACGACGACGACGACGACGACGACGATAAAATAATGCAAATAATGTATAAAGCTAAATTAAAGTTACTTCTGCAAAGTATACAAAAGTTTTTTTCATGTGTAGAAACTATGATTTTCGAGATATTAATAAATTTACTGTTCCTTTGACAAAAAAAAAAGAAAAGAAAAGGAAATGTATATCTGTGATGAGGGTTAAACTATGGAATAATGCCAGTGTAAATGTAAGAACTTGTGGTTGATGGTTACAAGAGTTTATAAGTTGCGTTGTAAATGTAAGAGTATTGTGAACTTATTTGAATAAATGGTGTATATTTCCCTTCTTCTTCTTTTCTGTTTTTGCTGAAATTGTACAGATTTACGTGTTAAAGGGGTAGATTAATTAGTTTAACCCTCTGGAGGCAGGCGTTGCAGATGTGCAACGTTAAAACCTACCTACCTGGTTACTCCACATACATATTCCATGAGCATTTTTTTTACTCAGAAGTACCTCTGAAGGACTTAGTTGTTCGTCCTTTTATCAAAACGTATTTTGAGCCCGAGAAGAATAATTGGTTAAAAAGGACAGGCATAAATATAAGCATTTTGCTTCGGCCTGAGCCTTTTCAGTCACTTTAAATATAATGTAATGTTTTATTGATTATATTATTATTATGTTTTTTGACTGAATAAATTCAAATTCAATTCAATTCAATTCAATTCAATATAGCTGGGTTTCATATGACGTAGCCTCCATGTCACCAAATGCAGATGGGGGACAGGAAGTAGCTGCCGCTGCACAGAACTCTGTTTACTCTCTTGACTGAGCGTCAAAATTCCCAAATTCTGCAGATCCTAGTAGATAACATCCTCGTTGTTAGCATTAGCTTTAGCATTATTATCATGAGGTAATGAATTAAAATAGCACAACTCACTACTTGCCCAACAAAAACAAGACGACAGCCTTTTAAAGCTTCTCTAGATCCTAAATGGTTAACCCAACCTGAAACAAAATAGTTTAAGGCTTCCAGGCCAATGAAAGGCTTTCATAGGCTTTGCAGTGTATTATGACTAAGTGGTTCACAGACAACAAATTACATATAAATTGGAGTAAAACAAAGTTTATGATTTTTGGTAATAGAAAAGTAGGTGATCTTATTACTCTGTCTATAGACGGTATCTTATTTGAAAGAGCAAATGAAGTTAAATTTTTAGGGGTTGTCCTGGAGCACAAACTTCATTGGAAAGCTCACATAAAATACATACAAAATAAATTGTGTAAAAGCATTGGCTTGTTAATCAAAGCAAAAAGTGTCCTAGAAGCAGCAACATTATTATATTATTCATTTATAGTCCCGTATCTTACCTATTGTATCCCTATTTTGACCTCCCTGCACCCGTCCCCCCTCTCTAATGTCCACTCCTTGTTCCCACCTCTCCATGATTCATCATGCTGCCTCACTGCCACCTACGACTGACTGGAAATTGGTTGTTGTTGTTGTTGTAATTGTTGTTGTTGTAATTGTTGTTGTTAGCCTCAAGGGCAACATGCCGATTATCACTTGTAAGTCTGCTAAATACATAAACACAAACATATTGTGTAGAGGTATGGGGTAATACAGATAAAACAAGAACTAGGCCACTGCTTTTATTGCAAAATAGAGCTATTAGAATTTTACATGTAGTAAATGCTAGGGAACATAGTAATAGGTTGTTCATTCAGTCAAAAATAATAAAATTTAATGATATGGTTAGTTTACAAACATTATTAATTATGTTTAGAGCTAAAAAAATCTTACTGCCAATGGGGCCACAAAAATTTTGTACTGAATCCTAATGAAGGCAATACAAGAAAGAAATGTGAGTTTAAAGAAATGTTTGCACGAACGACACTAAAACAAATGTGTGTATCAGTTTACGGAGCAAAAATGTGGAATACATTGGAATGTGATTAAAAAAAGTTTAACTATCGCACAATTTAAGAATCTTTCCAAACAGAAAATATTAAAATCTCATGATTAAGGAATAAATTATGGAAAATAGTAATTTGTTTTGCATGTTATATTGTACAAATGTGACTATAACATATGAGGCCATTTTGTGTTATGTTACATGTTTTGCATTCAGTACTAGGGGGATGGCTATAAAAGATTTTCTTCTTCTATCCCCCGTTTTCACATGAAGATGGTTATGATTAATGCTGTACAATGAATTAATGAATTGATGTGATTATGTGTCATACATGTGAAATGAAATGAAATGAAATGACGTACGCAGCACAAGATAGTTTATGTTGGTCGCTTCTAAATCCCTGAAAGTGTATAAAAAGTCAGACTTTTTAAACTACATGGGTCGTAACCTAAAGGAAGGTTGTGCTGTTTTGTAGTGGAGCTAAACACCTCCTGCCCCATTTGAGTTTTGCTAGACTTCAGGGTCATGTGAGTGAAACCCAGCGATATTAACAAGGAAATGCATTTTGCAATATTTAAAAATCCCAGTACCCATGTTTTCCTCTCAGATGATGTATCTTTTGCACCAGAAACATTAACCAGTACCTTTAAAATGATCTCTATGGTGAAGAGTCCAGTGAAGACGTGGTCTGCATAGCCCAGGATCTGAAAACCAAAGAAGAAAAAATAATCTTTGTTCACAGAGAGAACCCTTCCATTGACAACGTGGATCATAAGTGCATACGCAACGTTTAAGGCTGTTCTATGTGGCTTTTTGACCGATATCCGGTACCGACGTCGTCCAACCTTTCATTTCTAATACCAGTATAAACACATACCTCCTATCATTCATACTTAAAGGGACTTTTCAGACTTTTGAATTTTTATGCTCGCGATTGCCCCCTCAGGCCAAAAGCGTAACGGCAGCTTCAATAGTAGGCTCATGCACAAGGCGCGCATGCTGTACCAGTACACTCCTTAACGAAAATAACAGCTGAGACAGTCCCGTGTGTGTGTGTGTGTGTGTGTGTGTGTGTGTGTGTGTGTGTGTGTGTGTGTGTGTGTGTGTGTGTGTGGCCCGGAGGACAGAGGACAGGAGAACGGGCAGCTAATCAATTAAATAATTTGGTTCTGTACTTTTCACTTCAGCACCATATGCTGATGTTCAGCACAGCTGACAAAGGTTTAAGATGGGTCAGTCCGTCAGCTTCACGGAGCACCCCTTCCCTTGCTTGAAAAATTGTTCCAAAATGAAAGTTGAACCCACATCTTTTTTATCTGTGAATTCAATGCCGTTCGGCGAGTCTCAAATAAAAATTTGGGCATCTTACTGTAAAAAAATATATTATTAATGTAAAAAAGAAACTCTAAATAAACTACGTTCACATCCAAAATCAAACCCAGGTCTTCTGCATGAGAGTCAGACATTTTACAATGTGAGCTACACTCCAGTAACATTCAAAGTATCTGTAACTTTTATATCCTTAATGACAGCTGAAACAACGTCAAACCAAAGAACGGTTCAGAGCGAAAATGGCTATTTTGTTGCTAATTTGCAGGAAATATCTAGAAGAAAGTAGCTAAGGGTCCTCAGAAATGTAGCTAGCGTTGTCACTAGGCGTTAGTAACAGCAACAAAGTCGCTGATTTGGCACTGCCTCTCTCTCTGCTGCTAAAGCTACTGATAGCAAATGCTACGGGCGATGCCTGAGCGTGAACACGCATGAAGCAGCCTGCTCGACCCGAGCAGCTCTCTTTTTCTGTGATTTTACAGAAAAACAGGCAATCACAGTAAAAAGGCTCATTCTACAGGACCAGGGCATTGCAGGAGAATGTATGAAGAAGACATTTATTATTTCTATACATGTTTTGGCTGTCAAACTTCCATAATGTCCCTTTAAACTTTAAACCTTATTTGTGCTAAATATGATAACTTCTTCAATTTAAGCAAGGGCTGTTGCACCAAAAGGACAAAAGTATCTCACAAACTAAACATCACATCTGGCAAATGTTGATATTTTGAGCAAGAAACACGTAGCCCATGAGTTTGATATATAATATGTGCATGATCTGTAAAACTTACGTCATTAAAAGAGTAAAACCAATGCACATAATTTCAAATATCACAGTTTAATGCCAGTATCAGCCAATGTCATTTGTATATATATAAATCATATCTATAAAATCCCTCATTGAGGCTTTTACTGTCATTATTGCAGTAACACCCAAGCTAAAATGAAATAAAACAGCTAAGAAAACATTCTGTAAACAGATCAGACTGTTTAGCATACAGAAGTTCCACACTACTGTAAGGTTAATATTGGCTTGGCTAGTACACCACCTTCCACCAAAGCCTGGAAAATACAGTTTAACAGATCTTTGTTGGTCCCAAGAGAGTGAGATGTACACAAACAAATGCAGCACAGGGTATAACACAATTATAGTCATAAACACTGAATTATTAATCCACCAAGTGAGCAATTTATTTATTAGTAAACACAACCTCAGAAACACAAACAGAAGACCTTTTGTAGTTTCAGAGCTTGTGCTTGAGGCAGATCGTCTCTGCTCCGTTCACTTTCAAAAACCATACTCAGAGCTGAAACACTTGGTTTTAAACCTGTAAATACATTTGATAAACTGTCTGGCTAATTTAAGGCTCACAACAAGAAAGAAGCACTTTATTGTGAAGAGTACAAGTGCGGTAATTCTATATTTTCTGGTTTTAAGCAAAGAAAACAAATGATTCTTTATGTTTTCTCAGTTTTAATACTAGTTACAGGACTGGAAGCAATCTCATTAAGTGTAACAGCCCTGTTAGCAAAGCTTTGGTTCATCTTTGCTGCTGTCAGCTATAATCCATTTAGCTAATAATAAAAGCAAGTGGGCAGCCGCAAAGTCTTGAGTCTTTAGTTTTTTTCTATGTTTGACATGCGGCCCATGAGTCCAACTCCCAATTATGTCAAAGGCAGCTCGGCAAATTGTATTTGCATCAGTCACCTGGTTTCTGAAGGAGTCGTTCTTGACCGGATCCTCCGCTGCCAGACTGATGCTGCTGAGCAGGATGAAGAAGAGGATGAGGTTGGTGAAGATGTTGTGGTTGACGATCTTGTGGCACAGAACCCTGAATCTGTAGATCAAAGCGGAGAAATGCAGATTTTTCTGTAACAGTGTGAACAAGAGTTGGACCAAAATGGAGACAGTGAGACAAAAGAAAGAAAGAAAAGAGATGCACCGTGAAGCTGAGAAGAAGAAAAAAGCTAGTGTGTATTATTTACTTGTTGGTGTGGCTGAAGACAAAGAATGCACGAGCCTCCGGCATGGGAACAGCCTTCTCCTTAAGCTGAATGTCAGAGAGCGGCCGCGGCCTCGGCCCCACAGGCATCTCAGGCTCATCATCCTCATCGTCTCCTGGAGGGAAGAAAAACAATGAGAATTGTGGGGTAAAAGCTTGGTTTGCATTCATTTTTGTTCACTAATGAATCTCCTCTGTCACCTATGTAATCGTTTGCAGGATATGGGTTCTTCTCTTCACTCTCATCTCCACAGCAGTCATCTATGTTTATCTGCAAAGGGAAATTATTTATTTACCCATGCACTGGTAGAGATCTACGGGCTTTCTTTCCTTCTCCAGCATACCTTTGTAGCAGTGTTGGCCTCTCCATCAGAGGTGATCGATTTCAACTCGATCTTCTCACTTTTCTTCTCCTCTATAGGTGGCTTCTCATTCTCCGTACGCTTTTCTGGACTGGTGAGTCTGACAAAAAAAAAGAACCTAATTTTTCCATTCCCCACACCTTTCCTTCGTTGTTAAACCAAACGGTTGACATCAGAGGGTCGCAAACATGACCTGAGCTACAATGACTAAATCCAGTGAGTTTCCTGCAGTCAAATTATTCTTTTCCATTATGTTGCACCTCAGATCAATACAGGTCACAGCCAAGAGAGAAACATAATGATTCGCTCCACTTACAACACCATCTTCCCTTGCTGCATGGAAATCTCACAATTGTTGCTGACAAATTACTTTTATTAGACACTAAAAATGCCCAAGAATTGTGTTTAGAGCAAAAAGCAAAGCGAGATAATGTCAGCTTGATTTAAAATCTGCAAAATATTTTGTGGGACCGTTTTAGTGGTTTGATTTCAAGGTACTATTATCAGCCTCTTTAAATCACCTCCAGCCACCGCTGACTATCCAGGATAAAGCTCCCTCTTGGTGCTCCTGAGGCTTGCCAAGCCTCTTCTCTCTCTTTTTATCCCTCTCTTCTGCTGTTGGCATGAGAAAAACATGTTTTCTGTTTCTAAGCTTCTCTCAGTTCCTCTTTTTCAGTTTTACCTGGCAAGTTTTTTCCTCTCCTTTGCCTCCTCCTCTTCTTTCTGGGCCGACGTCAAGCTTTCTGCATCTGCCAGATTGTCTACAGCGATGGCCAAGAAGACATTCAGCAGGATATCTGTTCAGAGGTTAAGCGCGTAGCTAACCGTACGGCAGCCTGTAGAAACTAAACAACTCTTTAAAGCAGTGGTTCCCAATCTGGGAACTGTGACCCCCCCAAGGGGGTCCCCAAAGTGTTGGAAGGAGGTCCCCACAGGGTTGTGAGGTTACCAAGAATAAATTAGTAAAAATTACATTTATAAAATCCAGATAACACTCCCAACAGTACCATCAAAACTCTGTGTAAAAGGCCTATCTCTGTATGTCTGAATAAAGTTTGTAATACCGTAAATCCTCTAATACAGGCCCGGGCCTGTATTCGACTCAAGCTCATCAAGCTCCAGGCCTTTATTGGAAGGAGGGCCAGAATTAGAGGCAGGCATCTATTTCAATTTGAGCAAAATGAACTAATGGTTCGCTGGAGTTTTTGACAATTAAAATTGCGTCCACATTTTCAAAGTTAAACACATTTCTTTTAACAACGGTAGTTTCTGCTTCAGCCCTCTCCCCCCTCCCCCCGCGCAGCGGCCGCAAACTCACTGATGCGCCTGCAGCCTCTCGGAGTTCCTGCTGCTCTAAACATTAAAATAATTATTTCATTTTCTGTTCCTCACTTCTGATTACCTTCAATGGTGTCTGTTTGTTGCAACAGCAGGTACAAAAACTAACTTGTTTTTATTTGACTATTTTTCTGTCCTGCCTGTTTATTATCTTCCTGCATCTCCTCTCAATCCTAAAGAAAAACTGCTACCTGGGTTCATATATATTCACCTCATGAGTTACCTTTGAACTGCAGTTCTAAAAGATCTACCGACCGCAAAAACAGCGGAGTGCTCGCTGCTTGGCGGCCGTATCAGTGATCGGTGCGTCACCGGAGGACAAGGTGATGCACCCCGCTCCACAGCAGCGAAACGTACCAGGCGCAAATAAAAGACAGAAAACATTAAAGGAAATGAGCCGACATGAACGATCGCGTGTCAGTACCGACGCTCTGGCACAGCGCGTTGCCCCCCCCCGACGCGCAGGAGCTTGTCACCTGCTGACAGCAGGCTGCTGTCTTTTCCGAGGGCTGCATCTTGCCGGTCATTATCACGTGACAGCGACTAGTCGATGCCAGGCATAAAAAGTCACTATAGAGCAGTGAAGTCGACTAGTTCATACAACCCCTATTGCTCCCCAGAGTGTTCTGCAGCATAATCAGCAAGTTCTCTTTGAACTTGATATCAAATTTTCGCCTCCTCTTCGTCTCCGCACGGTTAAAATTACCCTCGCTGTCTATCACTGGCAAATCAAAAGTGAGACGGATGACACAACCGCCCTCCGTACTTGCTTGTTACCACATTCCACCCGGCCACAATAAAATACCGGCCATTATTCACCTCCGCCGACTCCGACACCGGCCAAAATATGATACCCGGCCGTTAATTGAATACAGGCCATTATTAGAGGATTTACGGTAATTTACTTTTAATTGTGTGCATGTATGTAGGAGTTAGAATGGGGGGTCAAGGGTTGACTTAGACACAGGAAAGGTTGGTCATCGTGAAAAAAGGTTGGGAACCACTGCTTTAAAGGATTAAAAAGGTATGCCATTACTGAATATGACTTTTCTCTGGCACCTGAATAGAAACCTTATTAATAACAACTAAAACCCTCATTTTGACAGTAAGCTGTTATGTTTGTTGACAATACTGCCTCATGTAGACTTCTGCTGAGGAAGGATACAGTTTCCACAGATGAAGAGGATGATAAAATAGATGCAGACCAGCATGCCAGGAAAAGACGGACCACCGTACGCCATGATACCATCATACATGACCGAGTTCCAGTCTTCTCCTGTCAGAATCTGCAGAAATAAAAAGCCCACCGAAATAAAAACCCATCCTACAGGGAGCCTAAGTGTCCTCCCTTGCCGGTCGGCTCATGGGTTCCCGGAAAAACGAAAAAAAGAATGCAAGTGAACGGGGCTAAAAGAGCTATTTTCAAATCCGCTTTGCCTTAGGCCCTGGATCGCACATATGTTGTACTGCAATTTAAATGGAAAGTTACGATGTGCGTTTCGATCCACACCAGTCACGTGTCTTGAGATTTATCAGCTTGTAAAAGTTAGTAATTAGATTACAAATCAGCACGTCGCATTAATGACGTCGCCACAGAATCTCCTCTCCCCTGGCGTAGCTGCTACTTTACACATGACCAGGTTTAAGGTGGTTCTTTCCTCCTGAAGGAAGGATTAGAAGTTCATTGAACTTACAGCAATTTTTCCTCTGCTCTTCTCCGTGTCTGGTTTGGTGACATCACTTTAGTGAAGCGCATTTGTAGTCCTGGACTTATTTTCACACAAAACCTAAAATAATATTTCCCCCCCATTTGAAAATAAGCACATTCTTGGCATCAAAGTGTGTATTTCAAATTCACAGACGTAATATGTTAAATCCACGGCACACAACAAACGGAATTAGAAACACAGTTTTAGCTGCAAGCCGTGGCCCGGAAGTATGGGCGTGACTTGGGCTCCCTACGAAACTGTGAAAGTTTTATTTTTTAACTGCACAAAATAAAAACTCTCAACTTGCAGCTGAAAAGACATAAATATGACCAGTAATGACTGAAGCACTGTCACCTGAAACACGGTAAGCAGAGACTGGGGAAAGTTGTCGAAAGTGCTGCGCCGGGTCTCATCGAAGTTGAACTTCCCCCCGAAGAGCTGCATGCCCAGCAGGGAGAAGATGATGATGAAGAGGAAGAGCAGGAGCAGCAGGGAAGCGATGGAGCGAACTGAGTTGAGCAGCGATGCCACGAGGTTGGAAAGAGAGTTCCAATATCTACAAGAAGCAAACACATTTACATTCATCCTTATGTGAGAACAAATTAAAACACGCGCATTTACATTGTAAGATCACACACAGACTTTTGGGAAAAAAACTGAGGATAACCTGGTTATTTTGAAGATTCTGAGCAAGCGCACACAACGTAACACAGAGATGCCGAGAGGAGACATGATCTTTGTTTCAACTAGAATCGTCTCCAGGATCCCCCCACATACAACGAAACTATCGAACCGATTGAAGAGAGACACAAAGTACGCCTGTGGGAGAAAAAACGCAAGTTTATAGTTTCTCTAGACGATCGATGAACTTACCAAAACACAGTAGTGATACCACCCACCTGCAGACCCAGACTGTACATCTTCAGCAGCATCTCTCCAGTGAAGAGAGCCAGTAAAACTTTATTGGCGATGTCTGAGAAGAAAAGGGCAGCATTTAGTACATGAGGGAGCAGAAGAACGACTTGATTTTACATTTATATCCCTTGTGTGTACCTTGCACATCAGTAAGCCACTGAGGCTGCTGGTGATGTTCAGAAGCGATGGTCAGAGTGTTGAGGAAAACCAGGAAGATGACCAACCAATAGAAAACCTGGGACTTGACTGCTGCACGACACTTCCTTCTACACAACCGGTTCCATCTCCGAGAATAGCGACTGAGAAGGGAGGACAGATTGAGACATTGAGATGTAAAGAACGATAGAAGACAGGAAAAAAGAGAAGATTAATGGAATGATGGAAACATCTGATCCAGAAGACAAAGTGGAAAAAAGATGACGATGAGAAACAGGGTGAAGCGGCGCCAGGAGAAGAGAGATAGGGAAAACAAGAAACAATCAAAAGAAACAAGTGAAGAGTGACAGAGACAATAAGCGAAGGAGAAAAAACAACAAGAAAAAGTCAAGAAGTCTGTGTCCAGAATTACGATGGCGCGTAGTCCAAGCTTTGTGTTAGAGCTGTTGCACAACATTAGTCATCCTCTATATCAGAACTTCTCAAAAACACTTGTGATAATTCAAGACTCAAATTTAAAGAGAAATGCGTTAAAACAGAGTCAGAGACAAAGAGGAAGGAGTGCAGATGCAAACATCAGTTTTATTAAGGGGACATGAAACAAGTTTCCTTTTTAAAATTCATTTAAACATCTGTCAGGGTTGTATTTTTGGATTCAAGCTGCACCATCAACAATAAATATGATTTAATTTCAATAAATTATACACAGGTGATGCTGAGTTTAAGCTAAATTATCCATTGACTGACACTTAACTTTATGTGCCTCCACTAGTGTTGTGTTTGAACATAATTAAAGGGTCATTACGCTCTGTTTGTGAGAGGAAAGGTGTTTTGTGTGTGTATTCATTTATAGAAGCCAATGAAAAGCTCCCTTTCTGTTATTATAGTATAGTGCTGCTGAAGGTGGTTGGAGGGACCGGTGGTACCAGTGTTCGGCAAGCCTTGCCTTAGTCAGTGTGCCCCAGGGCAGCTGTGGCTACATTGTAGCTCATCATCACCAGCGTGTGAATTGGTGTGCGAATGAACAATTGTGTTGTGAAGTGCCTTGGGGGGTTGTAGGACCCTTAGAAGGTGCTATACAAAGACAGGTCCTGTACCATTTACCATTATATTGTCGTGAGTAAGACAGGAACATTAATACGACTCTGGTTCTTATTTGTAAGATGTAGAAAAATCAGGAATCAGGGAAAATTAAGAAATTTGTCTCTAAAGGTGAAAATATATATATATAAAATTTAGGAGTAAACATTAAAAACATAAAAACTAAATCAATACTAATAAGTGAGACTTGTGAAAATTCCATTAGAAGTTGAGTTTGTACACAAGTAAGCTCTCATACACACAAACACAGCCACTGCACAGATACCACTGAAATCAAAGGACTCTGGTAAACATGTACTAACCTGAACTTGGATTTGGAGATCCTAATTCTGGAACACAGAAAACAGAATGGATTATACATACACACATAGCACACACAGAGACACGACAGACGTGATTCGAGTCGGGAACTGGACAATGAAGCATCCTTCTTTGGCAAATATGTTCTTTGACCAACCTGCACTACTAAGGAGCAAAGAACATGTCTGCTGAAAGGTCATTTTGTCTGTTTTAACGCATCCACACAAGTAGGGTGTGTTCTATTTGGAAAGCATCTCCCCCTTTAAACACATATACAGTGGCACCCAGTCAAAAGAAACAGTTTGAGTTTCATCCAATTAATCCTGAAGAAAAATGACAATACATCATTGAAATGATTGTCTGTTGATTGTTCACCACTGTAACATCAAAAACACAAAGAACTGAGGACAGAAGATTATGGAAGACATTTTGACAGAAAAGAAAAGGAAAATCCACGAAGGAAAACCACATTTAGTTCCAGATCTGAGGGCGAGGGATCTGCTGTAACCGTCCCAGTGGCCTAGTGGTATGAGTGTCCGCCCTGGGACTGGGAGATTGGGATTCAAATCCTGGTTAGGTCACACCAATGCTTCCCTGCTTGAAAAACTCACCTGTTCAAGCTGGTTTTGGTGTGACCTTCATCACCCTCTCCTTGTTCTGCTCTCCCTATTCCACCTTCCTCAGGATCCACTGATTTCCCTCTTTCCTATTCACTCTCTCTCTTTCTTTACATTTTTTTTATCACAACTGTCTATTTTTTGCTCATTTTAAATATATTTTTAATCATTTTCCAAATTCGTTTTATATGTTTACATTTTTTGTTTTTGTGAAGCACCTTGTGATTTTTATCTTGAGAGGCGCTATAGAAATTATATCTTCTTCTTCTTCTTGACCCTCAGCATTAAGGGTCAGACTGGGGGGTTGTGTCACATTGAGGGGAAGGTTAGGACCCAAAGTGCAGATTACCCAGACGACAAGAGGCTGGAGATGATGTAAAGTAAATATGCTTAATTTTGCAGGACGAACAAAAATAAATCCAAAGGCAGTGAGCCAAAAGTCCAAAAATCCAAAAACCCTGGTAACAAGAACAAAAGCTCACTGAGAGCACCAAAACCGGGAGACAAAAGCTCAACTAGAGCATGAAACAACGCTGACAAACATACAATGGACCGACAACAACACGGAGACAAGACAGGGCTTAAATCTGGGATGTAATTTTGGGGGGGGACGGGTGGGACATGTCCCCCCCACTTTTTCAAAAGGCAGTTTTGGTCCCTTGCACTTTTTTCCGTCCAAAAACAATGTTACGGTCCATTAAATGGATTTGGTTGAGCACTAGGACTGAAACGGAAACCGGTTTACTATTAGACCCGCCCAAAAGCTAATCTATTGGCTCTGCTGATACTTGCTAACGTATTATTGGCTGTTGCTGCTGTCACTCAAGTTGTAAACAGTCAGAACGTGCTCACGTTGTTTTGCTAGTTTGGAGCCGCTAGGGAACACCGGTACTGAGTCACATCGTCAACTAGACGCTGTGTAATATCAGAGCTCAGCTCAGCTTCCATTACATAACATTTGAATAAGTGTTCATTTGTGAGTCTTTGGTAGTTAGGCACAGCCAGGAGGCAGCATGTCAAGAAAACGAAAAGTGGATATAAGAGACTTCTTTCAAAGTCAAAACGTAAGTTGGAACATGTGACACCCCTGCATTAAGCTCAGACTCACCTCCTCCTTCACAAACATACTCAAAACTAACTTTTACAAACTCATCTCCTCCACATAACTGACTCCTCAGACACAATTTATTCGTATTATTATAATAATTATTTTTTTATTATTACTATTATCATCATAATTATTATTACTAGTAGTAGTAGAAGTGTAACTTCAAAACTTTTATCATTTAACTTTATTGTAAACTTATCTATTGCAATGCATATTTTCACATTAAAAAGCTCTGAAAAATGAACAGTATCATCATCGTCAACGGATTTTTTTAAGCTTAATGTCAAAGATGTACACTTTTCATTAGATTTATCTTATTTTTTCCATTTATTTTTTGTGTGTTGAAATGCAACAACTGTTTAAACACTTTTAAGGGGAAAAACATATTTAATATGTTTTTATACACTCAAATGTTAGGGTGATGATCATGTGTAAAACATTAGTTCAGCATGTCCTCTAACACAGCAATTGAACAAACGGCCAGATCTCAGGAGGACCGTTTATGTATAAATAATTTTTATACTTTTGACTAGGCCTGGGAAAGTAACACATTTTGCTGGATGATATTTTGTCCAACAAATTGTTGATGATAAACGATATTGTCAACATTATCTAGACCAAAATAACCACTAATATAATGTTAATATATCATAATAATGCAAGTACACCCTTTAAAATGCAACAAAGAAACCTTCATTTAACATTGAAATGTCCAGAACCAGAACTTCTAAATGAATAAAAATAACAAACAAAAATTAAATAAAAAAGGAATCTCACTCCCTGTTAGAAAATGTTGCACCAAAAACAATAAAAAAAGACCCAAAACAATAAATACAATGGCCTATCCATTGTCAACAGCCAAAACTGCACTTCAATAATGATAATAAATAAAAATAATAATAGAGTTGTACATTTTTTAACTTTGATATATTTATATATATATATATATATATATATATATATATATATATATATATATATATATATATATATATATTGAGGATGGAAAAATTATTGAGATGGGCATGTGACGTGTCAAGGGGTCTTTACATAACACCCCCCACCCCAAATCCGCACAAGCCTGCTGTGTCCCCCCCACTTCTGAAATCAAAATTTCGTCCCTGGCTTAAATAGACTGGGAAGATGAGAGGGAGATAATTGCAGGTATGTGGGGAGAGGGACCAGGTGAACACAATTACTAAATCAGGGAGGAGGAAGAAAACACTGGTGGGAAAAACACACTAAATACTGAAAGGCTGTAACAAAGGAAAATGACCTAAGAGAAAAAACAAAAGACCAGAAAGCATGAACCATGACTAATATACTAAGGGGAAGGTGACACTAAAGGAAAACACTATAGAAAGAAACAAAAGGGGCGTGGCTAAGAGGGGGCCAAGAGAGCACAGGACCTGGTGAAGGGATGTCTGAGGGGGGGAAACCTAAAGGGCAAATGGGGAACACCAGGAGACACATGAGGAAGACGCAGACATGACACATGAGGGCGCTAGAAGACACAAAAGGAGCACCTAGAGAGGATGGAGAAACACCAGGAGGCACATGAAGGAAGGGGCAGACGCAGACCATGACAGGTTGCAGCTCACTGCTCCCCATGAGGATGGGTCATATTTGGAGAAGTAATTTCACCAGTGTGTGTGGTGATGACTAATGGGACTTTAACTTTATTAGGAGAAAAGGATATTTGGTGTCTGACCACTAGCAAATAAAAAATAACCTGCTACTGAGAGTAATTTCCAAACTCAGAACAACGGTATTCAAAAATGATCTTGAGTTGATTATTCACGCCTTTTTATTGTCCCGTTTAGACTACTGTAACAGTTTATTTTCTTATCTAAACAAAAAAAAAGAGTTGTCCTGCTTACATCAAGTTCAAAATTGTGCGGCTAGAATACTGACCCGTGCCAACAGAAGAGCTCACATTACCCCATTCTAAAAGCTCTTCATTGGCTCCCAATTTCTTCTCGCATCAATTTTAAAATTCTTGTGCTGACTTTCAGAGCTCTGCATGGTCAGGCTCCACTGTACGTTAGAGACATGCTCTGTCCTTACATGCCTTCTCGAAGGTTGAGATTGTTGGATCAAAATCTTCTTATGGTCCCCCGTACTCGATTCAAGACACGAGGAGATCGCTCATTGCAGGCCGTCGCGCCAAGGCTCTGGAATGAGTTACCTCTGTTCTTACGTTCTCTCAACACAGTTGATGCTTTTAAGAGCAATGTGAAAACTCATTTGTTTCTCCGGGCATTCTAAACATACTTTGCATGCGGATTGGCTGTATACGACTTTTTATATATGTTGTGACTGTATTTTATAGTAGCCTTTTTATGTGTCGTTTTAACGTGTGAAGCAATTTGTGACCTTTTTGTCTGTGAGAGGTGCTATATAAATAAAGCTTACTTGCTTACTTACTTACATAGGGTTATAAAAACTAGCCTGTCCCCTTGAATTTTTGGAGAAAATTGTGCTGTGCTCTGATTTTTTTACTAAAAGGAATGACAGACTAGCTGACTCACTGCCTGAAACGATAAAATGTCTCATTGACAGCACAAAATGACTGACCGGCTGGATATGGAACCTGACAGTACATACATCTGTTCATGTGTCCATCTCAATTAGGACATCAGCAGGTGCTCCAGCAGCTCTTGTCCCTGGGTTTGTCTTCTAGCTAAGGGAGGAGGAAAACTGACAAACACTGAACGTCTCATTTTGCTACGAAGTGGAAGAAAACGCCTGCAGGGACAAAAATAAGAACTTTTCTCTTCTGGTAAACCAGGCTGCCTCAAATACTCTGAGTTTTATGAAGTCTGTTTTTGTTTTAATCTTGAGGAAAATATGTGTTTTTAGTTAAAATGCCATGTTGTTTGTGTGTGTTTTATTTGCTTTGTTAAAGGTGTTGAAGACTGTGGTCTCTAGTAACAAGGAATGCCTTGTAGATCATACTCAGTGAGGACAAAACACCGGTGCACCATTTCCAGGAACTAGGAGTGAGCCACATCACAGCTGAGGGTCGGACGGCAGGTTTTGGAGTCTTATTTCCTGATGTTTGGACATCTTGCCTCGGACTGGATAACAGTAATGCGACTCTGCCACTGACTTGCAACGTTCATGTTTTGTCTCCACAACTAACACAAGCCTGGAGGAGTTCTGCTGGGTGGTCGAGTTGCTAATGCTAATGGTTAGCTTCTACTAGCGGGGGCATTCTCTGCTGTTTCCTGAATGTTAAACCACCAACAACTTTCCCTGTTGTGAGTCAGGATGGGTGAGTCCATGAATGTTAAGTGACAGTGTGACTTTTCAAGTCCTAGAGTTTCACGTCTATTTTCTATCAGCTAATGCAGGAGATAGGTGTAGGAGGCTATTTTCATGTTCAGCCTGCATGAAAAGTGACCCATTATAATCAGAAAAAATCAGAAAAAAATGATTTTTCAGTGTTCCACACCTTTAAATATTTAATCAACAAACGTTGGGTAACAGACATCCACTAACTGCATCACAATCGTTTCTAATTTTGGCCACAATCATAATGAAAAGATTTTTTTTTCTAATTATTTCTACTTTCCATCTGCCTTTGTTTTCAGAGTAAACACTTCCAGGGTGTTGAATTTCCTTAACCCATCATTCGGGATGCAACTAGACACAAATTCAATTTATTGTGACAAACAGAATCATTTGTCTGAGACAGAGCAGCCTGGAAAGGCCTCTGTAAAAGCAGATAGGAAAAATCAGACCTTTGTAAGAGATGAACTACCAGTCTGTCGCCGCATGAGCCATCTTTAATCCGATTTAAAAATAATAAAAATCTGTTAAAAAGTATGAAGTGCTAGCTTGTGATGTCTGAAAAAGTCCTGTGCAGGTAGATTCAGATTGGAACAAACATTTGTGGTTTTGGCCACAAATAAGACTTAATTAAATTCTAAAAATGGTTTGTTGAAAAAAATAAAACGTTTACAGAAAAGTTAAGAAAATTATGATTTTGAACACGTGACTCTCATTTGTAAATTAACACATTTTGAATGATAAAGTTAAATAAACTGGAATTAATAGTTTTTGTTTGATGTTTAATCTTTTGAGAGAGTAAATGAGTTTGGCACAACATCTGAGAGAAACAGGTTCCAGCTTAGATTGATGGTAGGTGTTTTTACATCCATTCACACACACTCACCTGTTACCGGGTAATGCACTGAATGCAGAAATGTCCAGAAAAGAGATTTTAGGAAACTCTATAAACTTTTAAAATTAATCTCTCTTCTATTTTCATGTAAGCTGCTAGTATCTTATCTGTTTATGTTGGTTTCCACACAGTATTTTGTTTAAAAATTTTCTTAAAATGTGTACATCTTCAACATTTAGATTTTTGAACCTTTGAAGTGTTTCTGCATTACACTTTCTAGCTGTTTACTCTTTAATCTTACTCTTTATTTTTTAATCCCCTTTATGCTTCGGTTTTGAAAGTGGCTGCTACTGTGACATGAACAGTTCGCCACTGAGAGACAGTAAAGGGATTTTCTGTTCTTAGTTGTTTAAAATATTGCAGCAAGAAGGTCCTGGGTTCACTTCCCGGCCTGGGATCTTTCTGCATGGAGTTTGCATGTTCTCCCTGTGCATGCGTGGGTTCTCTCCGAGTGCTCTGGCTTCCTCCCACAGTCCAAAAACATGACTGTTAGGCTGATTGGTCTGCCTAAATTGTCCCTAGGTGTGTGTGTGTGTGTGTGTGTGTGTGTGTGTATGATTGTTTGTCTTGTGTGTCTGTGTTGCCCTGTGATGGACTGGCTCTCTGTCCAGGGTGTACCCCGCCTGATTGCCCATTGACCGCTGTAGATAGCAGCCCCCCCCCCCCCCCGCTAGAGCACACTAAGGCAGAGGCCTGTTGGGTCATGGTTCCTGAGAGGTCGTGTGTCAAATAGAATAAAACAATGAATTTGTTTGAATAAATAAAAAAAATAGATAAAAGCAGAGGAGGGAGCAGGAGTGAGTGAGTCAGCTGTTCGTGAGCTCCCACAGGGGAGGAAGAAAACAGCTTCAACACTCAAAGAAGAAGAAGACACGAAGAGCAGAACACAGAAAAGGAAAGGAAAAAGGTGAATTATCTGTTAGAATTACAGTAAATAGCATTTGATTTAAAGACAGGTGTGATTTACAGACTCAAATGAGCAGATATAAATCCTTAACTTGAGGAATTAAAGCCCTATATGTGCAACTACTTTTTCTACATCTTGACTTCTGTGATGAATTAAACCCCCATCCCCATTTTCAACATAACCTCACAAACATCTGGAAATGAACACACTTGTTTGGTTGCAGTCCAAATATTTAATTAAAAAGAACCTCCTTGTGTGTCAACGAGGTGAAAACGTGTTTCGTTGACTTTGCAAATCAAAGAGCCCACCTCTGGGACCAGCACATGTGGTTATTTGTCTCCTCTGATCCATCCATGTTCACTTTAGGTAAAGAGCAAGTCACCCCCAAATCTACTTTTTTCTGATAAACTATATAAATGCGTGTCTTATCGTGCTGCAGACACGTGTAGTCATAGTTTTGCACTTTAGTGCATTTTAGTTAAAATTTTAATTTTCTGCCTAAAACTGTCAGTGTTGTGCCGTTGTCAGGAAAAAACTCTGCGCTGCATTTGGATTTAAATCTGTCATCGCTATTGGCTAAAAGGTACCTTAGAACGTTAGCTGGTACCATATGATGTCACAATGTCATCGTGAGTCTGTGTGTGTGTGTGTTTGTTAGCGGCTCCGCCCTCTCGGTCTGCTAGGCAACACCATTTGTTGCATTTTTCAAACAGGAAGTGGGAGTGGAGTAATACTCTGGTAGGGGGTGACTTGCTCTTTAAAGTTTCATCATCATGGTGTGTGTTGACGACCTTCTGTTTCTCTACTCCAACAACCTTCAGTGCATGAATAACCTGCATAACTCCATGAGCCTGATGAGACAGAGGCCGTCTCAGTTTAGATCAATGAAAGGTAGAGGCAGGCCCAGCCGTTCGTACCGTGTCTGAGTCTGCAACTCTGGACATAAACAAAATGTAAACGGGCAGGAACTCATCTGTAGGAATGACAGGAGGAGAGAGGGAGAGCGGAGGACGAGCAGAAGAGGTGTTTTTGGGAGAAAAGGGTGAGGAACTCACGCTAGTCTGGTACAGCAAGTCTCCCCCTCCACGTCTCCCCCCGGGGCGTTATCCGTGTTGACTGATTCATTCTCACTGGCTGGCATGCTCACTGAGAAACGGGTGAAAACAGACAAGAAAAAAAAAAAGAAAATTTATTCATATGAAAAAAAAATTTGCATCAGCATTAATGTTCTGTATGTTTGTGATGTAGAGGTCGGGGCATACTTTTATTTCTCTGTTATACCTTGGTTTGGTTTGTAGTAAAAGTATAAATAAAGGCATTATTAACTGTTACCACATTTCTGATTAATTCCCTAAATAGAATTTTTTTACCAGTTATTTGCAAGGGTTTCAGTTTTACATTTTCTATTTATCATTTATCTATTTTACTTTTTTGGGTCAATACAGTTATGCTATTATTGTTGCAGCAGAATGTTTTCTGAGTCTCTCAATCCGTAAACTGACAAGTTGAAAGGGTGAAAATGTGCGGCCATAGATGGATGAATTAATGTTGTGGCGGACGGGGGAAGAGTTTGATGTGCCTGGAACGAATTTGTGTTGAATGGGAGCCGGGGTGGAAAATATGGAAGCAGGATAAGAGGAGGAAATAATGTAAGCACTGAAAGAAACACAGATAAAGAGAGGGGACGGCTAGTTGAGACACTGAAACCGTTCGTTGCTTCTTATTGCTTGTGTCCGTTTTTGCTTGTTGGTGAGACTGAGCAGCATCAAACCCTTCTAGGAACCAGAAACAGACCCTGCACATAAACGTCAGCTCATTTTGGGCTAAAATAGGAAACAGACTGCTCCCAAACACCCGATCAGAAGCATCAAGTCTGGTTTATTTTTAGGAGCAATCGCAGCCTTTCCCCTACCTTTCACTTAATCATTGTTGTGAATTATTATATGAAAATCAAATAAATAAATAAAACCACAAAAACCTACAAACTGCTTTCAGTTTTGTCAAATCTTGTTTGCAGTTGGTCATATTCTGAAGAAAGCTGCGATTTTACCTCAACTCTCGACACGTGTCACCAGCTGCTGCGCTGCCCGGTTAAACAGTCCTGAGGCCCACCGGTTCCTCCAGAGGCTGAAGCCTTTCAAGCGCTACAAAAGCAGCCTGGTGCCTTCTCCTCAACGGAGCTCTGAACTAGTTTAATACCTATTATTAAAGTAAACCCAAAAGACCAGAGGTGCAGAGGCAAGAAAGGAGAGAAAGCAGCATAGGAAGAGACATGACTGACGGGAAAGAAGATCTCATGATGGAAACCGGCCACATAGTAGAGAGAGGAATTTATTGTTGGCCTGTGTCAGTGATGTTTGGAGTCTGTAATGAACTAGCTCTTCACCGAATAACAACCCCTTATGGAAGAGTTTGGTCTAATGCAGATGATGTGGTCCTGTTGGCTTCATCAGACCATGATCTCCAGCTTTCGCTGGAGCGGTTCGCATCCAAGTGTGAAGCAGCCAGGATGAGAATGAGCTCCCCTTAATCCGAGACAATGGTCTTGAATCGGAAAAGGGTAGAATGCCTTCTCCGGGTCAGGGATGAGGTCCTGCCTCAAGAGTATCTCTAGGTCTTTAAACATCTTCTGTACGTTCATTCTGTGTCAATTTGCCTTTTTGGTTCTTTTAAAAACCACAAAAAAAAGGGTTGTTCTTTACCTTGTTTTGCCAATATTTTGGTTAACTACTATAGCCGTCTTCAGAGCAGTGCCGGTGTTGGTGGTGTGACGTCCTTCTCCGTTTATCTGCGGACAGCAGAGGACGATGTTGCCCTCTGCGGCCCGCGCCCTCCTCAGTCCCATGCGTGATCTAATGTGCGGACTCCACCGTCTCTGTTCATGGTTCGGTGTCCACGTCTCTTTATTTGTATTGCTTCTTTAATCCATCTTTTATATTTTTGTAGTTGGGTGTTTGTGATCTTTGTTTGGTCCCAGTCCATTATATGGTTTTTCTCATATGCAGTGGTCTATTACAGCAGATTTCTTTATTCTACATTCTGCTCTTTTTTCCTTCTCACACTCCTTTCTATGTTCTGTTGTTCATGTGTTCATGAATGACTCCACACTTATGTCCAGCTGCTATCTTGTCCTTTGGGTGTACTGGTCTTTTTCCAACTATTCTCTATGGCTTGGTTGGTTTGTTTATGTTGTGTTTTTTCATAATTGCTGTTATTTTTCTGTAATGCCTTTGATGTATGGAAGAGTTATCACTGGTTTTGGTCCTTGTTTTTCTGGATTTCTGGTTCTTTGTTTTGGTTGTTCTTTTCTTTCTGTTGTTGTTTCCCTTTGATTATTGCCCATGTCAGGTAACCACAGGTCTTTAAAGTGTTTTGTATAATTTAGTCCTGTTGTTACGGTCCCGTTCTTCTGTTATTATGTTTGCTCGGTGGTATAATGTTCTGATCACTGACATTTTGTGTATGGCAGGGTGTTCTGAAGCCCATTATAAATATTGTTTTGTATGTGTTGGTTTCCTGCATGTGTTTATGTTCAGGGTCCTGTCACTCTGTCTAGTTATTTTCATGTCCATGAAGGTTATGCTGCCTTCTATTTCTTCTTCATAGGTAAATTTTATGTTGTCTGTGTCATAGATATTGTTCGGGTATTCTGTTAGTGTCTCCGTTTGTCCTTTTGGTATCATTTCTAGTATATTGTCAATGTAGCGCAGGGCTGCAACAAACGATTATTTGGATCATTGATGAATTGGATGGGGTCTCGACTCAAGCGGTCAAAATGAGTTTTCTCGTAGGGTATCTGCGTTCTCCCTGAGAGATCTGGGAGGGGCTCAGAGATTCGCTGCTCCTCCACATTGTGAGGAGCCAGTTGAGGTGGCTCGAGCATCTAGTCAGGATGCCTCCTGGATGCTTCCCTGGTGAGGTTTTCCGGGCATCGGGAGGAGACCTGCAGGAAGACGCAGGACACGTTGGAAGGACTATGTTTCTCGACTGGCCAGGATCTGGCTCAATTGGCTGGGGAGAGGGAAGTGTGCCTCTCTGCTTAGGCTGCTGCCCCCTCGACCTGACCCCAGATAAGCGGAGGAAAATGAATGGATGGATGGATGGATGGCAAATGTTGTTCAAGGTTGAAGGAACTGACAAATAGAAGGTTTAACGAACACATTCTCACAACCTAAGCGGCTTAAATCGATGATGGGTGATCAAGCATTTGTTTCGAACGTGTCGGGAGGCGATGTGTTGAGCCAGAGCATCACTTTCCGACACCTGCGGTAAAACGGTGATTTCACCAAATTGTGACCTTTACCTTTTTGCTATTTAACCTTCCCTTCACCCCTGTCCTAACCTTTGGGGCTCCCAACGCGTCGGAAACAAGCACTTGGTCACCCTTTGTCAGTTTTAGCAGCTTTGGGTGTGAGAATGTGCTGTTTTACCAGGTTTTTTCTCTAATATTCAGTTGCCTGAATTCTTCCTGCAGTTATTTAGAAGCTTCCTAATAAAGTCTTCTTTTTCATTTAACATAAAAAAAATTAGCTGCAACCCCAAATCCAGATAGCTGCAGGTTAGCCTGAAGTTTCTCAGATGTTCTGTTATTTTCCTTTTTCCCCCGATGATTTATACCAAATTAATAATTTTTGATCATGTATTTAAAACCTTTAGCGTTTTATTTATTGATGCACTTTTTTTAACGGCATTCGTTATGCTCTCTGACAGCTCTCTAACTTAAAGGTAGGTAAATAATGAAGCATGACTGTAATTATGCTCACATTTTTGGTTATGATTAAGGAGAAATTAGGAGAGGCCATATTTGTGTCAAATGGACAGATTTTCCATTTTTGCTTTTGTTATAGAACTTTATTCCAATACTTGCATTAGCAGCTGTTTGAGAGTATATCTGATTTTGTCCCTGTGATTCTGGATAGCAAACATCACCTTTTTATCTGTATATCAGTATACTGTTGCACATTTTTGTGTCTAGTAAGAAAATATTTCTACAAAATGCATTTTAAATCCCTCCCAAAATAACCAACAAATACCTTATAATAGTTTGACTTCTTTGTTTTAAAAACAACAAATTCGCTGTCAACAAAAATGTTGAGGCAGAAAATTAAACCTTGACGCTAAACTTCGGGCTGAACCCGCGAAAAACTTAATTTTTTATCTCATTATTTCATCATTAGAGCTTGTAATAATGCAAGGGGTTGTAGGGAAAGGAATCTGAAATAACAAGGAGAGAACTGTGTCATCAATAATAATAATATTTGAAACACCTAAGCTGCAATTACTTTCTGTGATAACACCATCCTCTTGTTATTTTTTCAGACCAGTCAGGCACGTTGTTTTTATCTCAGCGCTGTAGAGTTGTTTCTTCTCATTGCCTCCCATTTCTTGTTCAGAGCTCGTCATCTTAACATAAATAAAATGTTTAAAAGCCAAAAAAGGCTATTGTTCTGGCCTGCATCAGGTGTAAAGATTGTACATGACCTTAAAATAATGGTTGAATGGCCACTTATCCTTCAGTAGATGAACAAAAGCCCTCAGGAAGACGATGAGAACAAACTATTTTACAGAGCTGAGGGGTCATTTCTACCCACTAAAGGGTTTGAAGCTCTAGAGGGTGCAGATAAAGATGCTGGCTTCAGTGAAGGAGAGGTGGATAAAGAAGAAGGGAATAAAAAAAAGTAAACATATAGGCATAGAAACGGTGCACAAGAGGTTGCAGTCTGCTTGCAATAGTAAAATCCGTTATAACTGAATTATGCTGGTCCATGCAGGCGGACGCACACGCCTTACGAAGAAAAGCCGCATTTTTCTTCACGGCTCCACGGAGAGACAGAAAATGACGGGCTTTACCTGGAGGACAGAGAGCATGACTCAAGAAGACAAAACAAACATTTACACACATGTAGGGGTCCACATGAGCGTCCCGACCACAGCGACACAAAAATGCACACAAACATGTACATGAACAGTGTTTTCATTGGCTCAGTGGCTTCCTTCAACACAATCCTGTAAGTTAAATCGTAGTATGAGACTTTCTGGCAGGAGGACAGCTCTGTTAGCTCTTTTCTTCCTGTGTGTCTTTTGCAAGCATAGAAATCTGAAACGTTAAAATCAGATCCAAGTTCAGAGCAGGGCAGAAAGACATAGAAGACAGAAAGAGAACATTTGTCTTAAGGAGGAGTGATAATGTAGAAATGAGAGGAGGTTACCTTTGACTTTGAAAGCAGGGACAGGACAGGATATCATAGTCTGTTTACCTTCCTCTAATCAGCTGTTTTACTTTCTGTCTGCTTTCCCTTAAAGGCAGATTATGTAACTATGTGCTAAAGTGACCCTTTACAGAGTTAATGCCCCCTGTGGCCAGAATACCATACTTGCAACTTCAGAGTATCTGGACCGCTCCCCTTAAGTAACGTATCTACATCAGATCGTCAGAGCGCTGTGTGGATCCCAGCTGCCACTGAGCAGCGCTGCCAGCCAGCTGGTGCTGCCGACCGGCGCTCCCGACTCCGGCCCTGTCAGCTAGCTGCTCATAGCTTGTGGAATAAATTGCCTTTTTGTGATCACCCAGCGCTCTGAATCTGCGTATGGGGTTGCTGTCACTCTACAGCCTTTCCCTGTGGTCACATTTCCTCCTCTCAGAACCTTTGTCATGTTATTTACCAGGAACTCTGTTATTAAAGTGGCTAGCCGACATGCCGGTGCTGGAGGCTGCTTCCAGCACAATTCCTGCATGATTTTGTTTGCGAACACACCTGATTTGTTTGATTTAGAGATGAACCGCTCTTGTGGAAACTAATGAAAGCTGAGGAGAAATTTCAGCAGTTGGATTAAGATCTTAAAAAATACAAAAGCACAGCAAGAAGGAGAGTTTCTGTTTAAGTTTTATGCCAGTGAGTTAAAATTGACTCCAAAAGCTGCTAAAAGCAAGCCGAAAATGCTAAGTTTCTCTTTAAACAGTTTAGATCTGAAGTCACAGTGTTTATTTTATTGCTTGTTGCAGTGATTGAAATGAAAATGAACAATGACCATTGAATGGAATCATCTGTGCAATAAGAGAAATAAAGAATACACAAAATGTGTCTAACAAAAACGCAAGCAGTGACTGATGTTCAGTGTTTGTAAAACAAATTAGATTAAAAGTGGCAAAGACAAATATAAAACACACTATTTTGTGTATCCCATTCTGATTTTTCTCACACACACACACACACACACACACACACACACACACACACACACACACACACACACACACACACACACACACACACACACACACACACACACACACACACACACACACACACACACACACACACTCGGAGCTCTTTAAACCCTTTAATGCATCAATACAGATATAATAGTTATTACTTATTGGCAAATGGCAACATGGCACATTATAAGAAGCTGCATTTATTATGTGATTATTAATGCAACAATTAAAACAAATAGAACTGACAATGGCCTGACGTATTCCTTAGATTCTCCACCACGTTAAAGAGATTTAACAAAAACCAGATAAGTACGTGTAAGCAACATGATATTCAGCATTAAATCATGAAACGATGACCTGGTGGGACAGCAAAGGTATAACTGTGACAGCAGCGATATTCGTTACAGGAAACAGCTCCTTTACATCCTGACACTGCTGATAAAAAACATCTGATACCTTCTTCTAAAAACTCACATCCTGTTCTAATTGTTCAGGTCAGAAAAATGTTGTGTCATGTCACATATTAACCTTTTTTCCTCAACGTGCTGATCTGTCAGTTAGACACCAGCAGCAGCTGAAAATGACGTTGAATTCGTTAAAATGTCATTTTAAAACAAATAGAAAGTGTCACTCTTCTAGATGGACTTAGCAGGAAGCTTTATCTATCCCTGTAGCTGCATCCATACACACGTCTTAGAGCCCTCACTGTGAACCAAATGTAAATAAAATGCTTTAATTGGAAGCCCTTTAAGTCTATAGCTGAGATTTAAACAGTCTCAAAATGTTCCTGAACCCAAGTAAACACAAAGACAAAAGCACACAGATGCAGAAACTGTCCTGAGAGTCAGCAGAGTGACTGAACCAAGCAAGCTTTCTGGTCTTCTTGGCAAGACGAGCTGAGGACATTTCTACTGCAGCAACAACGAAACAAGATGACAACATGCGATAGGATGGCAGAGGGTGAGAGCATGCAGGATAAACCAAAACACAATTCATGCATTGTGCTTCTGGGATGGCAGGACTGAGGGATCAGCTGATGAAACATGAATATATCATACACAGTACAGTAATTGCACTGCTTCTAAATGGAGTATTTTCTAATAAAGCCGATTAATGTAGTAGAAATGAAAATAATAGACGTGATTATCACTAAATAACAAATGAGACGCCTTTAACATTTATGATGAACTAAATCCAATCCTTAGAAGAAGGTGGATCAAAACAAGCCCTGCTGTAAAAGGCACACACACATTTAAATACAATCTAAACGACCAGATGGCATCTTTCACAGATTTCAAATTTAAATTCAGAAGAAATAATCAAGTTTTTATCTCAGAAGAATTGCAGTTACTGTCGGGTGATGAAACCCTCATTCTGCCATCCCATAATGAAACCTTTACGAAGACACACACGTTTTAGGCTTTTTGTTAACATGGACAGATAAATGAATGATTATAGAACCAGGTAGCATCTCTCTCTCTCTCTCTCTCTCTCTCTCTCTCTCTCTCTCTCTCTCTCTCTCTCTCTCTCTCTCTCTCTCTCACACACACACACTCTCTCTCTCACACACACACACTCTCTCTCTCACACACTCTCTCTCTCTCACACACTCTCACACTCTCTCTCACTCTCTCTCTCTCTCTCTCTCTCTCTCTCTCTCTCACACACATACACACACTCTCTCTCAAAGCCACTTTATTTCTATTCTTCTGTCTTTATTTTGCTCTTCCAAATCTTGCGATCTATTCCCCGAGTCTCCAATCACCTCTTAGGGCAGGTATGCTGGGAACACACGGGCCCGTGCAAAATGTCCCGGGCAGCAGGAACAAACCACTCTCGTCCATCTTCCAACGGGGGGCTCTATCCATCGGGGGGATGGCGGCAAAGCAATTCAAAGAGCAAGTGGCTTGATTTTTCATTCCCACAAACAGAGGGTTGAT